ACAAAAAGATTTAATGAATAACAGATTATTTTAAAATATTTATAGTAAAAATTATTTACATATACAATTTTAAATAAAATTTTAAACTATTATTTAATTTTTAAGATCAATTTTTGACAAAATATAAATCTTGTATATTTTTTTGGTTTTTTTAAATATTTAATCTTTCATTTCCTGTTGATAATAAAAACACAAATAAATGTATCTAAAAAAGATTTGTTAATAAATTATTTTTAAATCAAAGGTAATGCGCTTGTTATTTATATACTTAAGAAAATTAACATAGATACGGAAGAGTAGTCAGATTAGCTGTTGTTTAATTTTAGGAAAACATCAATTCATCTTGAATTATAAATATACTAAGATAAATAAGCTTTAATATAATTATGTCAACGAGTTGGCAAATTTTAGTTGCAAAATAAGTGGCGCCCCCACTTATTCTCTGCCAGAATCGAGATAACCATTCAAAGTTTTACAAAACTATTATTATTTATTTATGGATATAAACTGCAAAGAGTGCGATGGTAAAAATTTTTACTCTGGAAAAGCTTTGAGTGAAAAATTATTTTTTATTTATAGATAATATTGTGTGATGAAGTAAAAATGAATTAAATATAAATTTAATCAATTTAATTAAACAGTCCTTCAATGAAAGGAGCAATTTTTGAGTAAATTTTGGAAATATTAAGCTTTCTAGCCATTCATTGCAACTTTAGGGAAATCGAGTTTTCCAAGAAAGACTCCATTCGACCTCAAACAAGTAAGCCAATTACAAAAAGGTGTAAAAATTACCTTCACGACTTCACACCATATTAAGCCAAATGACACAAAAAAGGCGGCTCAGTTTCCTGTAAAATGTTAGTAGCAATAAATATTCGTAAAGCCATAAAACAATTTGGCTTTCTCGTCGGCGCACAATCGCTGATCTCGGCAGCCTTTTTCTGTCACCACAGTAGCAGCAGAGGCGATATGCAAATTCCGAGTATCGGAGGTTGCGGTTTCGCGCACAAAGGTGAACCGCTAATTTGAATAATAATCAGGCACAAGCAACAAATTGTGCAAAGTGGCGGGTCTGCTACACAGTGAGCGACTTTTGCCGCGAGATCTGCTCTTGTCGATTTTTAAAGACGGCGCCGAAGACCTTGCGTTGGAATGGAGACGATAATTGCACTGTGTATTGAAGCAAATTATTTTACAAGCATAGGAAGTACTTTAATTGCATTGTTTCGTCGGGAAATATTGCAAAGTGCCTTATATTTCAATAAAGAAAAAAGGAATATGCTTATTGTATTGAAAATTTTAGCTCTGAATGACAAAGAGAACTGAAAAATATAATAAAATGTTGAAAAATATCCGAATGAAAAGAGGGAGAATTAAAATTTTTAGTCGCGGCAGAAAAGTGTTGAAAAATTTGTAATAGAAAAAAATTAGTCCAAATTTTTTGTGCGAAGAAACTTATTTTTATATATAAAAAAAATAATTAATTCTATAAAATTTCTTCGAAAAAAAGACTCTCGAGTTAGTAAACCTGTTTTTGGGCTCTATGCAGAGATATTCTATGTACACAATGCGGAACCAATAAATAACCCATTATGAGCAGATTACACTCACGCAGGCGGCATTCCGTCAAATTTCCTTTTCGGGTGCGAAGGCCGCCGACGCGGTGGAAACGCGATCCGATCTCTGATCTATGCGCACGAACATAAATTGGTCCATTAAATCAGCGAGCGTCTTGTTGTCACGAAAGAAAACATTTCATTAATTGGCTTTTCTCTTTGTTAATTACTTCGTACCTCAACATAAGTTGCTGAAATAAAAAACTGAATAACAAACAAGCGAGGTCATTTCGATAAAAAAAAAAGACGCGGAGGAAGTTGCCGCGGAAAACGCGAGGCGATTTTGTTATTTTTCTCTGTGCTAGTGATGCGGAAGAAAAAGAGGGTCCCGTGTGTATTGCTGCGGTTTATAATCGCCCCTCTATTTTTTTGTCCGCGATTCCTGACGGCCTCTGGAGCGCCTCCGCGAGTTTGTCTCTCTTTCAAACTTTTCGTCGCTGGCCATGCCTAAGGTCAGTCGTCCCGCCAATGTGAATCACCTGGACATTCAGACGACATGGATTTTCAATAAAAAACCGACCGGAAAGTAAGAATGTTTTAATGGTCCTTATAACAAGCAACCATTGTTCTGAAGCCAAAGCTGTGTACATTAATTTGCCAGTAATAAATCAATGGAAAAATGTTTAATAAAACATTATTTTTTCATATACTTCGACTACATTTTATGTCAGTCTGTGCGGGAATATTGTTTTCATGCATTCAAAAGAAACCATATAAAATGAATAAAAGAAGACCTTAAAAAAATGATTACAGGTTATTAATTGGAGTTTGAATAAAATTCAGTGTTGCATTGTTAAATTGGTTGAATCAATTTCAAATTAATTGCAATTATATTTATACATGATTACCTACAACACTGAGAAAACGGATTGGAATCTGTCTTTTTTGAAATAACATTGAGTTCCAGCAAAAATAAATAATTTTATTACATAAACACGCATTATTTTACTGTTGATATGATTAAGTTTTTTTTAGAGTGCATAGCACAAACTAATTTTTTCTTTCAAATGAATTATTGTTTAAATTTATTAAAATAAATTTAAATAAACAAATTTGTCTATATTTTAAAATAAAATCATATTAAATTTGAAAGCATTTCAAAATAAAATATATTTTATAATATTTTAAAACATCGCATGCAAAATAATTTACGCTGCCATTCATTCATAGAGAGAAAACAATTGCAACAAAGATGCAGCTAGTTTTTTGTTACTTGCATATAAATATGTGTTTAATGTCATTTGTGTGCTGACTTTTGTAACATTGTCATTCAAAATATTTAGTAAGATGGAAACAACCTCTATCCGACAGCATGCAAGATTTTTATTGAATGCGAGTTGAAATTGAGCGTATTCGCTCCAGTTGCAAGAAAAAGGGAGAATTAATCAAAATCGTCTTAGCATATGCAGCCCGCACGACACAGCTGCAGTGGTGTTGCTGACTCGCCAGTTAAGAGAGAGCACCCCTATGTATCAAGGGATGTGAAAAATTGTATTTCTATTTTCACTGCTTTAGAATTGCAAGAGAAAAATTCAATTATTAAAATTTATATTCCTAAAGCTCTAGCAAAATAATGGTCATGTTTTGATTATGTTGGGCTTGAAAGGGTTATTTATTTTTCTTGTCAATGAGTGACCTTCGAATAGTTAGCAGCTCCAGTTTCGAACTTACTAACCTCTCTGGCGCGTGAACAATGAATTGTTTTCAAACAAATCGCCAGCCGATCCACGCCCCAATGTCATTCAAAGCGATTTATAAATGATTGGTAAGCAAGTCACAAAATCGCGTCCTACATATTGGATGCAATTAAATTGAGATGCTGAAACGCCGGCGAGTGTCGTTGGCAAAACGCGCTGCATATAGCGCCGGCATAATAAGGCGCTGCGGCCGACGCGTCGCACACGAGTGATTTCGCGGAATCTGCCTTTTACATGCGCTAGCTGCACTCACACCACACACCCGCGTTGCATAACAAACGCGCGCGCAATCGGGCTGACCGTAATGAGCAATGCTCATTTATATATCAAAGCATAATATACACTTTTGAGCCGGAGCAGAGCAGAGGGCGGCAAAAGAAGAAAGCATAATTTCTCTGCAATTTCTGCAACATTCACACGCGCCACTTGCTCAACTATAAACCTTGATTTATTCGTATGCAGTGCACTTGTCAACCATCGCTCTCTCTTATCATTCAGACAGATAAAGTCATTAGCTTTTTGATCAATTTATCTCTGTATCGTGATTTTCTTTCCCATGCCTGAATAAATTTAACAAGCAACACACTCGCTTGATATGTAATTATTTACGGAGCTTGCATTATTCAATATATTCGCTCTTTTTTCTACAAAATAAGATGAAGATGTAAAAAGCAATAAACCGGTTTTCAATATTCAGACAAATCTGACTAATCCGATTGATTTCATTCTAAAATATCTCCATTACCCACGGATAAACCTGTTTTGTGGCCAAGTACACAGTTTCTTGCATGATCCAAAATTTCAATTCATTTTTCGGTGCATGAGATTAATGAGCTTTTAACACATCATTGACTCATTATTTAGTTAATTATTCAATACATGCTGCTGTCCTTACTTAATGAAAGGTGTTTAAAAAACCAACAAGGTTAAGAAAGGAAATTGCTATTAATAGAAATGGCGTAGTATTGCTCGTCTATGTTCATATATCACTTAAACATTTTCCATCAAAAAATATATTATTTAAATATTCAATTTTTGCATTTAAAAAATAAATTTAGGAACATAGACTCTGTCATCTCCCTACAAAATTTGTAATTTAGAGTCAAATAATTTAAACTTAAATTCAATCGAATGTTGTTTTAAGCAAGTAAGAAGTTTTAAGTTCATTGTGAACAAATTTTGAAATAAAATACCTTGGTTTACAAAACTTATGTAATAAATTTTATCACATCATAGATGATCACGATTTTGAATGATTTCACAGGGGACATAAATTTCATCAGCGCAAGCAAAAGCCAGGACTGCTGGCAGTGAGCCCAATGTCAGTGGCCAGTGCACTTCTACTTTATGATCTCAAAACAGAAGTTCAAGCGTTAAACAACAAAAGGCAGTGAAAAATAATATAACATTAAAAGTAAAAAAAGAAAAGCAAAAATTAAAAAATCAATCAATATAAACTCTGGTTTATATATTTAATAACTGAGCGTTTGTTTTATTATTTCCTGGAGTCTCTGCGTCTCCTTCCTTTCGGAAACCACTCGCACTTTTAATAAGCAGATAATTTCAGACGTCTGACGCGCGCGGGCAATAAGTGGCTGCTGCAGAAAAACAGCTCTCGATCCCACCTTGACGCGCCAGTGACAGAGGGGCGCACGCAAAAATCAATAACATGTGATTCTCACGCGGCGTGGTGTGCGGTGGCGGAGGACCTTCTTTGGTCCGCCCTACTTCCGCCACAACCTCAGCCGGTCACATATAAAGGGCCGGCGAGCCTCACAGCCTCCACTGTTCTCTTCCCTGAGCTCACAGGCACAGACAACATGCTCCGATTTGTGAGTCCAGCACACGTGCACCTCTCAACTCAAACTTATTCAATTTGAAAATCGCTTTTCGCAGGTGGTGCTTGCAGCCCTTGTGGCCGTCTCGGCGGCGCAGCACGGCCAGTACGTGCGTGGCCAGGACGCGGCCATCCTGAGCGAGGCGCGTTACCAGAACGGAAACGGCCAGTTCGGTGCCGCTTACACTCAGGAGGATGGAATCGAGTTCAAGGAAGAGACCGACGCCGATGGCACCCGCCATGGCTCCTACAGTTACGTCGACCCTAATGGTCAACGCCGCACCATCTCTTACACCGCTGGTAAGCACGAAAACACATAAATTCTTCGAAAGCATTTTATATATATTTTTTTAGTTAAAATATTTTTTACAAGTTATAAAAAAAATAAAAATAAATTTGATAAAATAATCAATGAAATTATAATATTAAATTTTTACAATGAACATTCTCAATTGAAATTTGCTATTATTTTAGCTGCCGTGAATTTCACTACTCTATTTAATATTTCTCTCGATAGTCTTTAATTGTTCATAAAAATTAATTTCTTTTACAGGCAAGGGAGGCTTCAAGGCTACCGGAGATCACATCCCCGTGGCCCCTCCTGCCCCCAAGCAGGCCGCTCCTCAGCCTCAGTACCAACCCCAGCCCCAGTACCAGGCTCCTGCCCAGCAGAACGATTGGGACCAGACCGGCCAGTGGAACCCCCAGCAGGACGAGCAGTGGAACCAGCCCCAGCAGAAGCAGTGGGCCCAGCCTGCCGCCCCCGCCCAGCCCGCCGCCTACAACGCCCAGCACATCACCGACCCCCTGTGGAACGCCCACACCCAGCCCCACTGGGCCCAGACCCTCCAGCAGCAGCAGCCCCAGTACAACCCTGCTCCCCAGCAGCAGCAGTGGAGCATCAACAACATCCCCGCTGAGACCACCACCCACACCCCCAGGCACTTCCACCCCCCTGGCAAGCTGAGCCTCAGCCGTAGCAACGACGGATACAGCTACACCTTCAACAAGAACTAAAGAATTTCTCTCTGCTTAATTTTTTTTTGTAAAATTTAAATTTTAGGAATTACTTTTTTGCTGTTCCTAAACTGAACTGAGATGGTCTGACTGCGAAAGGGCGTTTGTGCGCGCGCGTGATTTTGTATGCGTGTAAATATATTTTTTGCAAAAAAGCAAAAAAATGCAACATAAAAAATTGTGTATCCATTTTTTCTCCACAACCTTCTAATTCACTTTCGATCCACGCAAATCGATGAAGTAATTGCGGCCGATAATCGCTTTGGCACATCGCGGTGCAACACTCTCGCGTGTGTGCCCTAATACGCGCGTTACTGACCTTGCTGCATCTCTGCGGCTGGCTGGGTGTGGTGGTTACCTTGCCCTGGGCGTCGTCTCATCAAATCTCACAGATCTCGACTCCTCCAGCATTAGCAAGGTCGGCGGCAGGGCGGGCCCCGGAAACGGACCCAAAGACCCAAGTAAAAAAAAAATTTAATAATGGATCATTACCAAGAATATACTGCTGATCAAATCGTTTAATGAGTTGCAACTTCAGGCATTCAGGTCTCTTCGCATCGTGACTGAATGTGATAAAATTGAAAGGAAAAAATACAATGATAAAGCGAGTCGGCAGAGATTAAAGGAGGATTTCATCTATGACGGTCAGTTGGCAAGATACACGAGTTTTTATATACATTGTCAGTTGTAAAGATATGGTGCATTGGCAAAGGCGTGAGTAAGGCGCAAATACTCGAGATGCTTATTGTTGTTTTGTTTTACTTGAAGGTTTCATCTTTTTTGCTACATTATCCAAATATGAATAAATCGTTTTAAACATGATAAATGAATAATTTGCCCAAGATAAATTCTAGATTTTGAATTGTAAGTTTGATCTATAATCTTTTTTTTTACTTTACATTCAAACATTACAATAATACGACAGAAATCTGAAAACTTCAATTGTTATGTGGCAAAAAGAGGCCCCCGCAATTTCGTGGTGGCCCGTTAATGTACAAAGCTTAATATAATAGCCTCAAAATTAAATAATGAATTATTTCAAACAAATTAATTACTTAATATCAATTAAATTTTACAGATATAAAATGTTTTTTCTATTTATTAAAGACTTAAGACAAAATTTCAAGTGGTTGTTGGCATTAAATTCTAATCTCGTATTCGCTACCAAACGATTTAATGAAGAGCCGCACGCATAACCAATTGATGGAAAAGGTTGACGCAATTACCAGAAGCAATAAAACAGAAGCGCTTCTTTTAAAATACCAGCGCCTGCTGGGAAAAGCATAAGAAAATTGTCGAGTCTCTTGATCGTCTCTTGAAAGCAATATTTGTCTTGAATTAATGTACTCTGTGGGTAAGTAAGTAGCGACGATGAAACATTATTCGGTATGCTTGGAATTCTTTAATCTCTAAAAGCAAGCACTTGATCTAAACTACCTATCTCAACGCAAGTCTGCCTCTGACATGCAGTTTTCATTGTTTAATTACAATAATTTAATACATTTAAATTACTGAATATTAATAAAAAATAAATATAAAATTTGTTTATTAGACATCAAAATATCAGCAAAATATAAAAATAAAAACACATAAAATATGTCTAGAATTGTAAAGTCGATAAGAACAATCGATTGTTGAATATGTATTTTAAAATTGTTTTTTATTTCCCCTTTTTTCTCAATAAAATAATTATTATTTGTGCATGATTCAAAACTGTGATTAACTTATTTTCCAATTACTTTCTACGGAAATTTATTGCACACATTATGAATTTCTCACGGAAGGTGCACGCCTCGTACATACGAATCAACTCTGGATTAATGCATTGGTTCAAAAGTTGCATTCCGCCACTGATTTCATTCCCATGATTAACAGAATTATGACAGTTTCAATACCCAAAGCAATTACTTAACGCTTATTCGTCTTGCGCATATAATTATATTAATTTTGTTGCGCGTGATTTGCTCAGAAGGCGCGGAGGGGCGTCTGAGCAAGTTTGTTTAGGAGGTGCTCCTTAATTGCCTTTGCTCTCGAACGCATAAAACCTTATTACCTTTGAAAGGTGGCGATGTTCGAGCAATTGTTAACGATTTGTTTGTACATACGCGTAGGTCTGACAATGCGTTGATAATAAATTTCAAGTTAACTCGAAGAAATGCTGTGTAATTTGCTCTCCATGTACGAGAGTTGCAAAATCAGCCTGCAAGAAAATTGTTTGCTTTGAGCCAGAAATGTACAGGAATTTTTTGAAAGTAATTTTATTTGTTACAGGAATTACCGGCAATTAATTAAATAAAATAATTGTAAATAGGAATAAATTAATTATTCATGAGAAGTGAAAGTTTTTATTGTAGGACATTAACGCAGCTAAATATAGAATATAAGAGGCAAATTCCCAAGCATTTAAAACGCATTAAAAATTCTTTATATAAATCTTGCCATTTATTATGTAAGATTTTTTTAATGATCAATGTAGGATTCGATTTCTATACTGATTTATTATTTGCACAGCTTATTTTTATCTTTCTTTATTTTCGCCACTGAAATCATGAATGGGACTTTGGCATAAGAAAAAATAAATGAAAAGACAACTGAAATTTATTTCTTCATTCGCGCACACCTGGTTTGTTGAGGGCAAAAAATTCACAGCTTGATGTAATCGCTCAGCAAAAAATTAATGTGCCAACATTTTAATTTAATAACGATTCGCCGCGGTCACTCGGCGTGGTGCAAAAAGAGTGATAAATATTTATGACCGCTATCCATTTTCTTCCTCAGCGAGATTCTCAATTTTTTTCTATACACGTGCGATTGAACAAACGGCCAGATAGCAGACGCACAGGTTGTATAACATTTGAACCAGTTTGCCGGCGCTTAAAAGTCTCATAACGTCCTCCGCAGCCGCAACTGTAGCCCTATATCAATCAAGAGTATATATGCGTAAGTCTAATTGTATAATTATAGCCGCCGTCAAATCTAATTGTGCGAGGTGCAATTATACGCGCGCTCGAGCCGCTCGAAAGTCGCGATAAATTATTCGGATCGCGAATGAAGATATGTTTGGTTACAAATTGTGCAACAAGTTAGCAGTTTTCTCTTATTACCTTGATCAACATATACGGCACGTTAGAAAATACTTCTTTTTTATTAATCATATTGGATTTAGAAATTTGTAATCAGCTTGCAGCTAATAATATAGAACAATAATAGTTTTTTTTAAATAACAGCAGTAATAAAAAAATTAAATATACATTTTTTTTGCGATTTATTTATTTTAATTAAATTGTTTGTTTTAGTTTATATTTTAACATAACATTAATAAAAAATTCAAATTTAATAATCAAGATTATCAAGCCATAAAATACTTACATAATTAATTTGAAAAGTATCACTTATTTAATAAGATTACAGTCAAATTTAAAAGTTTAGATAATAAATATTTATATCTTGTTAATATATAGATAATAAAAAGTTAAAATTTCTTTGGTCATTATCAGAGTGCTTGTTTATTAATTTACCCAGCACAACCCAGCACTTTTCAATTATTCCAATTCCGAATTTTGTCATTGACATGAATTGAATATTCTACAAAAATCACAGCTCGATGTTAAAAAAAATCCTTTTTTTTCAACTATTACTTTGTATGTTTCAGTTTGAACATAAAAAAGGTCAATGTCTGAATGACTGGAGTGTGATCTTGACAGCCGAATTGATGAATTGCAAAAGATCAGTGCGCGCGAGAAAGCGCACTCGACATATCGCGCACCGACTTTGGTCGCAAGTTCTGATAATTGGCCATTTGCAACGCTGTAAAAGGATGTAATGAGAGCAGCCAGTTTGATTCGTACGTGATCAAAACAAGCTCGCCTCTTATTTTTAATTGGCCGTCCAGCGTCAAACTCTCTGCAATATTAACGCAAACTCTTTCAATTTCAGCACATAATGAGTTGCCGCGCGGCCAAGGTTGATTTTTTCATTCACTTTTCGTCTTCTTCTTTAATCGTGCAGGGCGTATAATAAGCTTCATTAAGCAGTGGCCACTTTTTCCTCTTAATTTACTGCTTTGTATTTGTTGGCAACTTTTTTCGCGACTCTCAGCAGCTCATCAAGGATCGTTTGCGCTCGTAAACTTATGAACTTATATTATTCGCGCTGGCCAATACAAGCCTTGAAAGAAGTGTCTGCTCTCAGCTGCTGTCCGGCATAAATGTTTATAAATTTATTTATGGCACGCCTAGCCGCGGCAAGCTGAGCACAGACATGCTCCACTTGAAATTTATTAACTAGAAACAACAATAAATGCTAAATTATACACCTTGACGTTTCAAAGCAGCAACAGGTTGAAAATAAATAATTTTACGAACTACCTCCTCGTCTCCGCTGCGTGCCCTTTTATGTATTAAATTATTCCTTCGCCACTTTTTTTATTTCAAACAAACTTAATAAACAAACTTCCACCACAAGTTTACGTGTTAATTTAGAATCTTTACACTTGATAATTACAAACGTATAATAACAATTTTAATTTGAATATTATTAATTTTTTACTTGTTAATTTCCCTGCATGGTTTATAGCTTTTGTATGCTACATGTATTAAAAAAAGAACAGGCCTCTTATACCAAAACTGCAATTTTAAAATCTAAGAAATTTTAAAAATGAAATTGAGAGAAGGCAGTTAAAAAAATTTAAAGAAAAATCCATAATTAAATTAGCATTTATCTTTAGATCCGTTATTTATTCATTAATTAGTAATCATATGAATTTTTCCTATTGAAAAAGATGGCGTTTCATAAGTCATAAAATTAAAAACTTAAATTTTGCCCACCTACCTAATAAAGTAGCAGAAGGTCTAGGATAGGTCGTTGACTGCTGATTCAAAAGGGACTTGCCGAGGTTTGTTGAGGTCTCACTTCCAGAATGAAGCTAACAATAAGCAAGATAAAGTTCTGAAATTATAATCAACGTGAATCCGCGTGAATAGGTTGCTGCAAAAACAACTGCAGCTGGAACTGATTCGTGACGCAATAAGAGGGTTGCGACGTTGCGAGAACCAAAAAAAAAAACGACCTGGATTAGTGGATTCTGGATGAGCGGAGCGCCACGGCAGTGGCGGCGGAGAGATTCACTCATTGGACTTTCGAAGTCAGTCCAGCTGTCATACCTCAGTTTTGCACATACTTTTGAATACAATATTTTCATAAATATGCAAGGTAAGAACGAATTCTTTCTCTCGCTCATTCCAGTTATGAAACGATTTGATCATTTATTTAAAATTCTTTCCTTTCTTGAAGACGTGAAAATGATTTTTTTCAGTGATATATTTAACAAAACTCTGTGTTTTATTTATATGTGGGGTGCAAAAACTCATGTTAACTTAAGCAAAAGAAAACAAAAGACCCCGAAATCGCGTTCATATAGAAAAGGCCAGCGCACCCATTTATGTACATTTTCCACAACCGTTTATAGAACTCGGAACTCGCCTTTCTTTTGCTGCATTCATTGTAGTCGGTGTGAGGAAAATTGTTGTCTTTTATTTATTAAATCAATGCACGTCTTATAAATATTTCATGATTTTACTTCTTGAATATAAATTTTTACTTAAAAGTTTTATCCTTACAGCATAATTATTATAAAAATTTGAAAAGGCATTAATTTGCTCGGAACTTTTCTATTTATTTATTCGATTTAATTTTTTAATATTGTGTTGAACTAGAAGTTGAGGTGTGAAAAAAAAATAATTAATCAATCAATATAAAAAAAAATGTGTTAGCTTAGGTAAATCTTGAATAAGAGGAAGAATTTGAATAATAACAGTATTAATTACTTTCAATTCTGTTTTCATTTGCAGAATATATTTTTTTTATTATTATTTTCACATAACTCTTTCTCACAAAACTCACATAAAACATTTTGATTAATGGTTGAAGCAGGTGCGAAAGTGAAGAGAAGAAAAGGACAGAACGATATAGACTAGGAAAGGAGCTAAGGAAAGAAAGTCAAGAATTAAGCTAGAAAAAATGAGCAAACGACAGTAATTATTCAGAAAATCTATGTTTCCGATGCATAGAAAGGTTTCAAATGACCCCTAGACCTATTTAGAGATGTTTCTAAGTTAGTCCCTCAAATTTGAAAAATTTAATTTCAATCATGCGACCAACTAAGTTAACAAACAAAAAACTAAAAGCATAGAGAAACTCTGAATTGAGAGAAAATGAAAAAAAAAGTCAAAATGTAAAGGGGGAAAAAGAGAAGCAGATTATGGCGAGAGTTCAAACACATACTGAAGATAAAAAGCACAATTCATTCAAAACAACAAATCAGTCGCACAGCAATCATATATAATCAGCTTCACGTAACTCATGCATAACTCCATTTTTTCTCGCACTGCATTCATTCGTAATTCTGAATTAAAAATTATATCAAAGGAAAGGAGCATCACAGAAAGAGACACAGTCGGCAGTCAGACACACTCAAACGTTGTAACTGTAGCTGTAGCCAGCGTTGGGGGTGTTGGTGACGGACACCTGACCGCGCGGCTGCTGCTGAGGGGCGGCTTGCGGCTGCAGGTAGTTGGACGGCTGCGGCAGTCCGGGGAAGTTTTGCAGCTGCTGGGTGGCCGGGGCCTGAGAGGCGAACTGCTGCTGAGGGTTGTACTGGGGCTGGGGCTGGTTCCACTGGGGCTGAGGGGGATTGTACTGGGCTTGAGGAGGGTTGTATTGGGGCTGAGGGGGGTTGTACTGGGGTTGAGGGGGGTTGTATTGGGGCTGCTGCTGGAGGGTCTGGGCCCAGTGGGGCTGGGTGTGGGCGTTCCACAGGGGGTCGGTGATGTGCTGGGGGTTCTGCTGGGGTTGCTGGGGCGCCTGAGGCTGGGCAGGCTGTTGGTTCCACTGCTGCTGCTGGGGACGACGGTACTCGGGGGCAGCGGGGGCCGCGGGGGCGGGAACTGCCGGTGCTTTGGGCAGGTGGTCGCCCTCAACCTTGAATCCGTCCTTGCCGGCGGTGTACTTGACGGTGATGGTCTTTCCGTTGGGGTCCACGTAGCTGTACTCGCCGCGGACGTTGCCTTGTCCGTCGGTGCTTTCGCTCCTCTGCTGGCCGTCGTCAGTGCGGTAGTTGGTGGCGGTCAGAAGCTCCTGCGCTGTGGCGCTCAACACGCACAACGCCAGCAAAACTGCGCACTTCATCTGCAAAAATAGTAATACAAAAATCAAAATCAAGTTTTAGTAATGAACAAATTTTTTTTGTTTTAAATTCAACAAATTTCATAATTATAATAATAATTTTCCTCATTTTTAGAAATAGTAAAGCACTGAAGAAGAGGAAGTAAAATTAATTGAAATCATAAAAATCTTTTGAATTTGGACAATATTGTGAAATAAAAAACTTTTCAAACATGTATTGGTCCTGTAGTTTTAAATTTTGTTTTCATCTCAACTTACCACTGCCTTAGCCATGCTACTGTTGATAGCTCGAGTACAAGCGAGGGACAAGTCGGTATTGGCGGTGCACTTCTCGTATATAAGGGCTCCTAGGTCGACAGGCGTGCCCGAGCAGAGAAAGTCGGTGGCCAATGCCATGCACGCCCTTGCTGATCTCCACTCCCGACTTCCTCTCCGGAGAGCAAAGGGATGGCACCAAAGCACACAAAGGCTTTGCGCCTTCCATTCAATTTGCATAATCCTAAGGTCTCGCAGCTATTTTCGGGTCCAGTTTATTTTAAACCTCCGCCGATCAAATTTCAGTTTTTTTCTCCTTAATACGATTAAAAATAATTTGTTGACGCTATTAATCTGCTTGGCAAATTTTAGATTAATATATTATTTTTCAAAGATGATAAAAATGTTTTAATTATATAATCAACATTTGCTTTATCTATAAATAATTAGTTACTAAATAACAAATATCTAATATTAAATACTTTAAATGAATTGCTTTAAACTGATATAAAACTGATTTTTTTATTATTAATATTTGAATACATAGTTAATTATGTTTATGTTTTGGATTTAAACATTTAAAATCTAAAACACATTTCTAACTACTAATTAAATTTTAATTTTAAATAATTAAACTTAAGATAACTAAATTACATAAATACATTTTTTCCAATGAATATGTCTATTTAATTTATATTGAGATTCAAAAAGACATGATTAAAGCTTTGGCATATCTTCTATTAAAAAAATTTAATATTTAACATCAATACTTCATTTGCAAGTTATAATAAAATATTTCTGCTGTCATATTGTTTTTACTCTAATTTTTAAATTCAGCAAAAACTTATTAATTTTAATTATGGCTAATAGAAAATAATTTATTGTTGCGATTATTATTTTTTTCATGAGCATTATATTGATGCTTGTACATTAATGCTACTTTTTATAATTATATAAAACGGCAAATTTCCTCTTCTTTCTCATGGAAAGCAACTTATCGACCTCGCGATTGCCGTCATCAATGAGAGTGCGCAAAATCAAACTTCATTTTTGCTCCAAAGCCACAAGATCGTTGAAAACCGCAATGATGTTGACTTTTTGAAAAACGACAGTAACGTCGATAGAAATAAACATGACCCTCACTAACCATAAAATAATTTCCCTGGAGCCCTGCTCTCGACGGTGACAGTTTGATTGATCGGTGTCTAACTGCTTTTCATAGGCTAAATTAACTGCAGCCTTTTCGAGTCCATTAAGTATTTTAACGGCCACGTTTTGTGCGAAAGCCATTAAGGAAATCATCATCGTAATATGACCGCAGTGAGCCAGTTTTGGGCATGCATGTCAGGACAAGATCTTTTGATTGATGAACGATGGAGGACCTGCTGCAAAATTCAATTAGATTAAACGGAATCTGAGACACTGTGTATAATTAGTCGGCCTCGCCATTTTAATTAGCACTTACTCCCGAGAGCAAACACTCCGCAATTAAAACAAACGTCAACCGCTCTCATTACGCTCGCCGAACTTGACATAATTGAACGCAATTTTGACTCTAATTCTTAGTTTGGAAAAAAAGTAATGATAAAGCGCGAACCCCGGCTGCAATTTCCTCTCTCATCTCCAACAGCCGTGGGCAAAAATAATTGGCAAGGCCGCGTACAATGAGTGTAAATCAATCTGTGGTGTACGGACGATTGAGCACGCAAGGTAACGCGAAAACGGTCACTCTTCCGCTCGGCCAATTTAATATTGATTTCTATTGAAGCATGTCTGAATTAAAATTAACAATTAATTTTTATTCGACATCATAATCCGTTTAGAATGGGAAAAAAACGTAAATTTAATAATATGTCAATCCACTTTTAGAACTTGGAAGTTAAAATGCACGGAACAATAATAGCCACTTTTTACTTTTTGAAATTTTTAAATAAAATTTTGTTGAAGTGGAAAGCTGTGAAATTTGTTTTTCTTCAAACAAAGAATAGTTAGTGTTTGTTGGAACTGAAATTAGTGGAAATTGAAGAACGCGCTTTTTTAATATAATATATATAAAATAAATCAGAATGAAAAAGTGAAAATGGCTATTAAATTAATAATTTTGTTATAAAATATATAATATGTGTACATTTAACATTTTTAAATAAAAAATGAATTATTACATAATTGTTTTTAAATTTTTAATCAATAATTAAAATTTAAAAAGTAGTTTGAAATTGATAAAAAACTATTATTTAAAATGTTGTTTAAAAATTTTTAATTTCCACTGTTTTACATAGATATATTGTGGTTATTGCAAATTAAGTTTGTCAAAAACCTATTTATAATCCAAGATAAAACATTATTTTTTTTGCTCATTACTTTTATTAACACTGAATTAGATATAAATGGAAGTTTAAACATTAAAAGATCAGCAGGGCAATTAAAACAAATTAATTAGTGGCGAACAAGACAGTGCTCTCCACCTCATAAAACTTGTTGAACATAAAACGCGCTCACGCACGCTACCTTATGCTTTACTTTACGAGAGCGACAAAGAAACTGAAAGAAACGCTCAACTTTCTTTGTTCGTGTATATTGACATTATATAAGGTAAATATAGGGATACTCTAGATAAAGAAAACATCAACATCACAACGACGTTTTACATTCTAATTGGACGACACAGTGGGGATTCATTAATCCTAATTGTTCGTGTTCGCCGAAAAAAAGAGAAAAACGATTGCTGCCTTTTCACGTAAGATATCGAGCGGCCAAGATGTGTGGATGACATTTCCGAACCCCACCCAGCGATATTGGTCAAGTTGACCTTCGCGCCGCACTTATAAAATAATATAAGTAGTCTTACGCGAGCTCTTTTAATCTGACAATGAGAGAGACTGTAAAATAACATGTTTTTCATAGTCTAGTGGACAACCGCGGCCAACTGAATTGACAGCGACAAATATAAATAAATAATCTGAAATTTATTGGTGCTGAATGAAAGGAGGAACATTAAATTAAACATTTAATGAAGATTGATTAGCTGTGGATGTCAAAAAAAAAAAAAAAAAAAAAAATAAAAACTTTTTGTGTGTTATAATTTACCACCAATTTGTAAAAAAAAAAAAAATATTAAACTGAAACACAAAATGTCTTTTAAGTCGGTTTTGATGCTTTAGTTTTATTTCATTTTTGACATTCAATTAAATTTGATTGTAGTAAAAATAAACAGATAAGTAGATGCGGATAATTGAATTAATTTTTTTTCAACAAGCTTAAGTCACAATTTTAAAAAGTCGTCTGCTCAGTTCGTACCAACATCCTTAAAAGGAAGGCTTTATAATTAACCAGGCGCTGCTGCTGGTTGGCGCAAAGTTGGTGATGCAAATCCAGCCTGACTTCTCGGCTAATGGCTATCATCTTGCGTCAATTAGAGGCTTTGCTGTTAATCCGAGCAACACTCGTTGCATATGGCGGTGACTTGTGTCTGGGAATTTATTTCATTTCACGCAAACACATAATATAATATTCGATTGCGGAGGTAATTCTTTGAATCGAATGGAACGGGGCGGCAACAAAACTAATGGACAAGGCAAATCTGAAGCCAGCTTGATAAATTTTGCCACGGCAACGACGTTATTAAACTTTGCGCAACAAGTTAGTTTCAAGTGTGGACAATTTATGTCTTCATTTAGAATCGGCAAATGCTCGCTCCCTAGCTGGAAAATAAGGCAGTTTATTGCGGTTCATTAATCAGTTAATTGTAAATACCAAACACTTGCTAATGCCGTTGCTGTTGGCGATCTTAATCATATTTCCATAGGATTTCATCCAATCTTAAACTGTCGTCTTTATTTAAATAGAAAAATATTATTTTTGCACAATTTCCCAGTTTAGCTGTACATTAAACTAAAAACAAAGCAGTTAACAAGGAAAACTGAAAATAAAATAAATTATTGCAATAAAAATAATGTTTTAATCAATTAATTTTACCATAAAACCTTTAATAATTATAAATTAGAAAACGTTACATTATTTTAGGAATATTACTATATACTTAAAATTTATTTAAAAAAAATTAATTAAAATGACTTTGTTTAAAGCCCTCGCTCTCGAGTTGCTCCATGAACAGGATTAATTTGAAAGCGCGTGCTTGGGGCCAATTTGCGTGTCGGTTTTAAAGTGTTTCCTGTCAGTTTGATGAATGGATGAAAGATCATAGGAGAGGGAGCAAAGACGTGTGACATAAATCAAATGCATCTCTTTGCGTTTATGTAATAGAGTAATTATCGTGGTCAGTGTAATGTATCATTGCTCTCGCACGTCACAAAGAAAATAAAATGCTTCTTAATACGGGCGAGGAGTTCCTTTCAAACGCCTTTTACATTCATAAATGGTATGAGTTGAGTGATTTACTGCAGGCTTAAGATTTAGATCAAAACTTTTAAATTGATGCTTTGTTTCAATTCAAATTTTCTGTCAATAATTAACATTTTGTGATTCAGTAAAAAAATTAATATTCCGCATTACATTTTTGATTCATGGTTTTCATAATAAAATTGAAAACTCTGATATAATTTATTCGTAGCGAAAGACTTGATTTAAGATTATGTTGCAGATAAAGGAGGTTTCCAAGTCGCAGATTAAATCTCTTCCTCTCTCCATGTCTGATTTCAACAGCATGGAAAATCCTCTTATGTTGAATTATATCGCGTGTGTATCAGAAGATAAATTATGGCTCATAAATTTCCCTCGCATTTAAATCTAATTTTAATTAAAAAACTTCTTTATAAATGAGGTTCGAAAAGCAGATACTTTCTTTCAAATTGTCATCGGCAGGGCGTCGATCGTGTCAACCGACAAGCGTGACATCAATCAGTCTAAATCACAAAAGGCGGCGGCCTTGGCGCCTCTTTTCGGCCTTTATCTGCAGAGATCACCAGAGAGTACCAATTTAGGTATGGCAGGAAACAATCTGTGAGTTTTGAATGATGTTCTTTTCGGTTATTATTGGAATGAAAGGGAATCCAGGATCAAGATCGTACCTTGACATTCCATTAAATTGCCAATTTGATACTCGCCCGTTGGTAAATTAAAATACTATTTCTTTTCAGCGGTCCGGCAATGTGACATGGGTTACTTATTTGCAAAGTGTTGTTACATTCCGAGGTAAATTTTAAAGTTGTATTACAACTAAGACCTTTGAACTTTTGTTCCAGACACACTATAAGAATTCCATAACAACACCCAAGCATGTAGTTTTTGTTTAATAATGAATTGAGCATCAAAACCTTTTCATCAATCTTTTGAAGTACATATAAATTCTTTAATTGTATTTTTTGTTATTTTTGAAAATAGATATTTTGAACGAGAAATATCATTGAAGCTCAACAATATTTGCAATTACTTTTTTCCCAAAGAAAACAAATTTCTAAAGAAATAATTCATACAAGTAAACTCTTATTATATGAATTATATTGAATAATTTTAATTAGGCCGCTGATGCATATTTTTTATGCTGGCATAGGAACAATAAAGTTGCTGGGGCAAGGAAGAAGTGAAAACAATGTATCATAAAATGCTCCATCGCAGCTTCCGCAGCCTTCAGCAGGTTTACTCGAGATCTCTCGGCTCGACCCTCTCGTTTCAAGGCTGCATCATTCAAATTAATTCTTGAATTCCGCACCGCGCCGGTCATCATCAGGCGCACGTGGTCCAATTACTACGGCGCGCCCAAAATTATTTATTGCAATGACACATACAAGGCGAAAATGAGATTATTTCCCTCGCCGGAGTTGCTAATTAACCGAGAGAGCAACGTTTTTACGACCGCGGCTTTTGACCGTGTTTACGCGCGCGTCCGAATGAGCTTTAAAAGTCGCACCTTTGTCGTCAAACTACCATTAATTATTTGGTAATTTTTTTTCTGTGCGCAAAAGTCTCGCCTATCATCATTACTGATCAAGTTTTGGCGGCAATAAATATTCATTCTAACTACGCAATAAATCACGCGCATAGGAAATTAAATCCATAAAATTTTAATGTAAAATGCTAAATGCAAAGGTTTATTTTACGTGGCATAATAACGGGCAAAAATGTAAATGATGCTGGTAAAATGAAACCATTCATTACACACGTCCAGATCTTCCAGCCAAGGTAGATGGCATTTTTAAATTATACAAATTTGCAAACCTTGACCTGCACGCTTGAAAGGTATAAGCGGAATAAAAATTTAAAAAATATAAACAAGATCCTTGATAATATAATTAATTTTGTAGACCATTTTTTGTACTTTTTCATTTAAGAGTTAAGATATAAAAATAGCTGTGATTTCATTAGCATATATAAAATTTTCCTTTCGATTTATTCAATAATAATTATCGCGCCTTCCTGATTGCCGCAGAGGTTTCTAAAGAAGCGGCGTGGGTTTCGCACTTAAACGTATACTTCACGTAATCGTCGCCATGTGTATTACGAGTGTGGCTCAATTAGCATAATTACTCGATGCTGCACGCAGAGCCAAGCGATTTTCCTTTTGATTTCTGACCCCAAGTTTAATGAAACGCATTTTAATGGCGCTCAATTTGTCCCGGCGCTGTAAATTTTAACTTGATGATGTGAATTTATGGAAAATACTTTGAAAGTGCGATATGCAATTAAATTAGTCTTAATTTCTACTAACATTATAGAATCATGCCACTGGTCGGTAAAAGAACAATATTTTAAGCATTTATATTATTTATTTTTATATTTATTCTTCAGTCATGAGATAAACATTTAAAATAAAAATTTTCCATCAAAGCAATACATAAAAATTAAGTAAAAAAATAAATTTGTATCAGAGAAAAGTAAAATAATATTGGCCGGTTTTCGTAAGTAAATTTTTCATCCTTAAGTCTCCTGCGATGAATAAATAATGATTTAAGCTCCCTGATACAATCTGATTGTGACAGCGCGAGTATAGTTTATGGGCGTGCTTATCAACAAAAGTGCTGCTGACAACTTTAAGAGAATGGCCGAGAGCTCTGCCTTGAACCTGAGCTCCAATTGTAGGGCGTAGGTGTCTGTCGACTGCCGGGGCGATCTAGACCGGAACAACGACCAAACGATTTGCTTGTCCGCGGCAGCAGTCGGCGTTGACAAATCGAGCAAAGAAACGACTCATAATTATCTCAATGATCACTGCAGCACCCGCGCAAACGTTGTAAATGAAATTTATATAATTGCTTGACTTGGCCTGTCACCCTTCTTGCCACGCTCTCTCACTCACAATCAGGGAAAGACTGACAGGAGCCAACACCCTGAGCGCGGCTTCTGTTTTAATTAATTTATTGCAATTCCTATATTGAAACGGCGCTTTTTTTCCCCAATGAAATTCTATAAAGAAATCTAATTTTTTTTTAAATGAAGTACAAATTGAGGCAAAATCATGACGGAAAATAAAGAAAATCTAATTTACCAAAGGTTATGAGATTAAATTTTAATTATTATGGCTCAGGAATAAAAGTTGAAGTCTGCTGACCTGCACAAGCATTGCGAATTTTGATTGTTTTTATTTTAAAATTTAAAGTGTTTTTTTTTTCAATCTGTTTGATAAAAATTTTTATGCTGTTGATATAGCATTATGATTATGTATTAAAAAAATTATCTACAGACCCTTGGATAAAAGGAAAAAATTAAATAAATCGCATTTGATTCTGCTCCTTGAACTTTCATTTTCCTCATTTCACTTTTATACTTTTCTATGTTTTCTAGCAATTACTGAGAATTTCAATTTCCACTATAGCAGTTGACAGCATTATTTCGCTCACACTCTGATGATGCTCTCACTGAAAGTAGAGCGGATGCTGAGCCCTTCACGCGTGCAAGGTCATACTTTTCCATGATGGATCCCATTTGGAAAAATCAGGAAAATATTGAATTAAATTCTCACAAATTCTACTGCTGCAGTTTTATTCTTTTTAATAAATATTTTATTTTTTATAAATTCAAAAGATTACAAGAATGACAAAAAAAATAAATAAACTCTTAAAAATGATAATTATGAAAATTTGTTAGATTATATTATTTGAAGGTACTCTTACTTTTTTAATATTTTTCAGCTCTCTCATAGACAGGAAAGCTTGCCATGAAATTAAATTTTGATTTTGTCCGTGTTAGTTTTGGCGACCTCCTTTTTATCAAAAATCAAGCGGTCTTTGGGATTATCGAATTTCTGGGAGGCACCGGAATCCACGTCTTCCCTTTCTTCGGGGTTGAGCACCCTCAGAGCGTCGACAGAGCGACTTTGATCATTCTTCTGATTTATTTGGAGCGAAGGTGTCGAGCCCAACTTTCTTCTTTTCAGCATTTTCTTCTTCCTGCGCCTCGACTTTTTTATTGTGAAGAACATTGTTTGCGTCTCCGATGTAGTTGAAGTTTGTGGTGCGTCGCCAGCCACCGCGCCAAAGGGCGCAATGCCATCGACGCGTGCACCGAGGGGTGCGATGACATCAAGGCGCGCTCCCAAAGGCGCGAAATCTGCATCTGCAGCGATGGGCTGCGCTAGAGGTGCACCTACAGCAGACATCATTGGCATAGGCTGTTGAAAACCTCCAACGGCATCTTGCGCCGAGACCAAGCACAAGAACGCCAGACTCGCTGGCAAGATCTGAATGATCGGCATTTAATTTATTAATTATAAATACCTTAAAATTATTTTTTTAATTTCAATAATATATTATTATTTAGATTAAGAAATTTGAATTAAAAAAATGTTTTTTAGACAAATTCAACACACTTTTGTATTTGTATTTTTTAATTTGATAAAATAATTGAATTAACTTAGAAAGAGATAATAATATTCATAATTACCACCAACAAGCTTCTCATCTTAATGTTCAATGCTAATAGATGAAAATTCTAGATTTTTCAAATTGATGATGTTTCACACAGGATAAACGCACCATTGGTGGCGTCAGACTCACATAAACTACAAAACTTTCCGCGTGATGCATAATATGTAGCAGGAAGTTTCCCCCTCTTTAGTTTTGCATGTTCCTATTTGAAATTTTTAGAAAAATTGTTTGCTTATCAATCAGTAAAAAAGAAAATTTAAAAAGTTAAAAAATAAAATACATTGTTAATTTAAAAAAAATTATAAACAGTAAAATGTATATATCAAATAATTTATTGCCTCTAATAATTATGTTATTTTAGTATTTTTCCAAAATAAATCAGATTTTTTTCTTTCAAATGTACTGTCTGCTCTGCATTCTGTGCCAAGGATCATGAATAAATATAGGTCAAAAAATAATTTTTACAGACCAGCGTAAACACGTTTTAACTCTCAACAGTCCTTAGCAAGAAAATAAATTAATAAACTAGAAGGTGGTTAATATGAATACCAAATAAAATGATCTGCAAATTAAGTAGCATAAATATCACAACAGACGTATTTATTTGCACCGCTTAAAATATTTGGTCACATTTTGCAATTTCATGTCTTCCGAAATAATATTTTCTAGGCACAACCGAATAATCATCTAAGAAACAAGCAATCTACAGTTCACAGTCGCGGAATTGTAATCAAATCACTGAAGTTCTGTTAATAATGCTTTCAACTCCGTTCTTCCAAAGAGAGTCAAAACACGAACCATAAAACGAATTAAGGACACTTTCATTGCCTCGACCCTGCAAACAAATATCAAACTTCGGTAAAAAATTTTTAAGTTTCCAACTGTAAAATTTTTACCAGAGGTGAATTTCAAAATTGCATCTCATAAGTAGACCTCTGAACCTTTGGGTGACTTTTGGGTGGTCTGACTTAAACGCGCCTTGAGAGGCAGACCTGGCCATCAGGGTGTACCTGTCCACAGGATCTCCATGCTCCCTGGCGATTGATCGGATGGTATTGATGTTTCTGAAAGGTTTCGGATGCAATTAAAAATTGATCATGAGGAGATGAAATGTTTTGAAGATTTAGGGGAAGAAATTTAATTAGGCCTTGAGGCAAAGAGCAAAAATGTGTGTACCTGATGACAAGCATCATGACATTTGGCATGGACCTGAGTACGTAGGTGATCCGGTCAAATCTTTGTCGAGCCATCTCGGTCATGTATTCTAATTCTTTGGCCGAGATCACTGCGTGGAGCGCCTTGATGGGTCGCTGCGTCAGCATTTCGGCAAACAGCTCGGCCTCATCTGCACACACAACACCTTTGCTCTTTACCACGGCCACAATGTGTCAGTTTCCAATTATTAAAAATATTTAAAGGGTTTCATTTTTTTTGCAACTGGGGATTTTGGCACCTAAATATGAGCATCAGCTTTGGGGGAATTCCTCGATACATTTCGAGAATCTTGTCGTGCAGTTTGATCATTTCTTGGCGCGCCCGTTCTCGGGTGTCTGCGGGAAGTTTTCTCAACATGGCGTGTGTGATCAGTTGGCTGCCCTTGCTGTCAAAGAAAAGTGAGAGAATGTCTTCCTCTTTTTTGTTAGGCGGAATATAACGCTGGACGACCGCTATGCAAAATAGCCGATAGTCAGATTCTGAAACAGAAGTCTGTGAACCTCGGCCAGCACAAAACTTAAAACCCCAAATCACATGCAGAAATTTGGAAATTATTGAAAATATTTCCTACCATTGACTCCAAGTTGAGTGGCGAAGGTTTTCATTCCTCCGTAGTCCCTCATCACAATGCAGCGCCACATGTTGCCCAGGGACTTTCTCACTTTTTGTGGCAGCTCTTGGTAGAGACCGTGGTCAAGAAGCACCAACTCAGCCTTGTTATCTTTTGCTTTTCTTACTAGAACTATATGAAAATTGGAAAATAAATATCCAGCAAATATGTTATGCTAAAATTTACTGTTTCCCGGGTGGGGGTCAGCGTGCACAAAACCAGTGTGGAAAATTTGCTCAGCGAAAGCGTGGATCATTTTCCTATCTACGTCGGCAAGATCAAGCCCAAGCGTCTCAAGGGCGCTTCTGTCACTAATTTTGGCACCTTCACAAAACTCCATGGTGAGCACTCTCTAAAATTAAGAAGAAAGTAAAAATAATTAATTAATATTTAATTTACATTTTCATATGCTAGGTGTCAGAAAGATCACATTTGGCTTTCTAAATTAAATTTTGAGACCATAATAAGACAAAGCTCCGCATTTATAATAAATTAAGATATATTATAGAAATGGTTTTGTTTATTTTATTATTTTATTTTATGAAAAAAACCATTATAATCAAAATAATATAATTTATATTAATTATAACAAAGATAAGATAAAACTATCAACATTAAATGTAAGAATAGAAACTTACAGATGTGCTGAGGTCCCAGTGAACTTTAGGAACATACACAAAAGGCAAATGTTTCAGGTCCTTGGCACACCGTTCAGAATTCTTTCCCTCGTGCAAGAAGTCCAGCTCCTGCTGCAACGTTCCTTTTAACTCCTAAAAAGATAAAAAAGATAAAAAGTAAATAAATCCATTTTAAATAATTTAATAATTACATCTAAGACCCAGTGCAGGTCGAACTTTGGGTGCATCCAGCCGATCAGTTTGAGCAGGATGCTGATTGTGGTTAAGTCTCCGTGGAATCTCTCCTGCAGGTCGATGTACTGCACTTTGACGGCTACAACTTTGTCGTCTCGAGTGACGGCCTTGAACACTTGGGCTAGACTAGCAGCGGCAATGGGATCCTCGTCGAAAGACTTGAAAACCTCTTTGTGCGACTTGCCAAAGTCTTCTTCGAAAAGCTGCCGAACTTCTCCCACTCCTCTCATTAAACATTGGTCTTGAAGAACCTTGAAATATTCAATGAATTAAAAAGTGGAAAATTTACAAAAAAATATTTGAATCATAAAATTAAAAAAAAAATTAAAACTTAAATCTATTACTTTTAACGTATTGATGTACTGTGGAGGTAAAATGTGGTTCAGGGAGACAAGGCCCTGGCCCAATTTGATGTAGAGACCTCCGTTGCCCAAACAACCCTCCAGCAGTCTTTTGGCAGACCTTTCGTGCGCCCCTTCCATCACCAGCTGGTATTTATGGTCATCTTCGTCCACGCCAAACGTCGTCCACCAATAGTCAATCGAAATCGCCATACCAACCCTCAAAGACCTAAACTTTAAAAATTACTAAAATTTTCAAAAGGCAAATTGGCGAACAAACCTGAGGAACCTTCCAATTCCTCCAAAGGCGACCCTGACCGTCCTTTTCTGCTGCTCTTCCAGGGTCTGGTAATAAGTTGTGCAGCCGACGACGCCAACCCCGATCACTGCCACGGCAATCTTGCCCTTTCGTCCCGCAGGTTTGGCGCTCGTCTGCTGCACAGGGTGACATGACCTTTTGACCAGCAAAGGGCCTGACAGCTTACGTAACGGAACCCTTGTCCTTGCCCACATTTTTTAGCTAAAAATTTAAGTTAAAATTAATATTTATTAAATTTTTTTTTAGAATAAAATTTTAAATTAAGAAAACAAATATTTTTACTAACCTTTAAGGAGACACTCCACTTATTCAAATAATATTTTATGCTCAAACCATAATTGACATTGGCCGACTTGAATCACTTTTTAGTGCGCTGCGCACTTTGGACTCGAATTTGGCATCTAAAGGCGTGGCAATGACGGACCAGGCTTTCAAAACGTGATTAATTTTAGATAATCAATTTCAACTCTTGAACTGCGCGAATCGCAAAATTCTTGTTACAAAAATAGTCTCGAAATTACATAACAAAAATCGCATGTGAATTGCTTGTCGCAAATCGCAATGGAAAATAACAAACTCGCGCGCCGCTCGATGAGATTTTGGCGAACTCCAGAGGGCGCCAAAATTCAAATTACATTCAGGCTTCCTGGCAGACGCGGATGTGTGCCAAGTTGCCTACTCTAGAGTTTACAGGGGCTTTGTTCGTTGTTTGAAGAGCGCTTTCTATTAGGTTTATCAAACGGCTCTGCCGACTTGATGAGAGGGATAAAAAAAATGAGGACAATAACTAACATGATCGGTAGGCGGATCATGGGGATGATTGCTCCTTGTAATCACTTGCAAAATTTAATAAGGTAGCCAATTTTATAATAAATTATGAAATGTGACGATGAATTTAAGTTTTTTTTTTATAAAAATGTATGTCAAATTTTCTTGAAATAAATCTAAAGAAATTAAATCAAGCCATTTTTACCTTCCTCAAGTTCAGTAGATTGAAGTAAGAAATAAAAATGATTTTCCTTTTTCAACAGCTTTCGGCATTCCTGCTTATTACCAGAATTATTTGGAGGCTCTTCTCCTGCAAATGACAAACTGAAGAATGCTTTAGTGTGTTCAATTTTTTTGAATTATTGGAGATAAAGAAAGGAATTTGTTAACTTTTTTCATTCAAAAACCACCGAAGCGTCAAGTGCAGGATTTTATGCCGGAAATTATTGGCCCGAGTTTTGCTCGTTCTTTCTTTTTTTGCTCGCTCGCGAATATTTCAATTTATTTCTCTTTTCGCTTCCACTCTGGTCGGTGAACAGGGGATGGTGCGTACACGAGAGAGAGCTATACTGCGAAGCTTGTTGCTGGCCGGGGGTAAATATTGCGTCTGCGGGGTGTCTGGGTCCGGGTGGGAGGGGGTGGATCGATAAACGTGCCGTGCCAGCAGAGCCCTCAGTCCCTCCTCGACCGGCCATTAGGGTACGTTGAGCTTCACATGTGCGGGCGGCGGGTGAGTTTTGCCAAAACAATTTATTTATTATTAATTTTCCGCTTTCGCCCAAACCAACCCCATTCTTTCCAAGCCCAGCCTTTTCTCCCTGAGGTCTGCTTTCTTCGGAAAGCTTTTCTTGAAAAACAGAGCACGTTCCGGGGTGCAAAGTCGAGTTGATTTTTTTTTGTCTTTCTCCGGGTTTTGCGTGTTGTTGATGCACGACGAGGCTTTCCGCAGTTCTCTTTCCAGCCCCGTGGCGACAGGCGAGAGACGAATAATTGTTTAGCTTTGAACTCGTTTTGCCTTTGAAGTGCGATTGTTCCTGCGTTTCACCCTTTATCCAATAAAATTGCTCGTCGTCCGTGCCGCGTGCTGTTTTTATTCACGCTTTTTTTACACGGAACCTTGGTAATTGTGCGCTCAAGTTTTCAAGTGGATGCAGATTTATGTAAATAAATTCGAGGCTTAAGAGAAGAAGCAAAACAAGCCTGATTCGAAAAAGAATTTTGTCAGCCCAAGAAATTTTAATCTAATCCTCCTCTTGAAAGTTAAAATCGACACATTTTATTATAATTTCTTTGTTAAATTTTTACTATTTCATGATCAACAGAAGAAAAGTTACTTGCGTTTCACGCACTTGCAAGAAGAGATTGAAAAAAAGTATTTAATTATTCTATTATTCTAATTAAAAAAAATAAAAAAAATCCTCAATCAATTCACCCTCCACAGCTACAAGCAATTAAAAATCCTTTTGAACTTTGTAAAATAAAAATTGTGCATTTTATCACATTGATTATTTTCAAATTTTAGATTATAATTAATAATTATAGACAAGCTAAGCTTTGAAACCAAAATTTTAAAAAATTTCACAAAATTCCATTTGTATATAGTTTATATCAAAATGGCTTCAAATATCTCCAATAAATATTATTTTTCCTTAAAACAAGTTCCAAAATGAATTTCTTTATTTTCAAACTACGTCACATAGGGAATTTATTAATGGCATTTGATGATCTGAAAATGAGACCAGTGAAAACTAGTATCTAATGAGGTAATGAATTCATGATCTCTATTATTATTTGTCTCTTTCACAAGTTTTGTTAGGGTTTTAGTTTCATGGCTACGCCATAAGCCATGTCAATGAACGAACTTGGAATTGAAATAAACTTTTTTTGTAACTTATGTAATTATTTTTCTTAAAATTCAATAACATAAAAATGTCTTAACTTAAGTTTCAAGAATGAAATTAAAAATTACTCAACAAAAACGTGCTGAATTTGTGAATTTCTGTGTTATTGCTTGTTGTTTTTTTTCCAGAGATAAAAGAGCGAAAAATCTGCTTTTATAGTCCCTTGTGGTGTGACACGCACAGCCAAAAGCTGACATTACACCCTTTTTTAATGGAAAATCTGCGTTTTCAGTCATCCACACATTTTAGAAATTACTCAATTGCGCTCACAAATGAGAAGCACTTTTTTCATGAAAAAAAAAACAAGCGCCGCGGGACCGCACGTAATGATGTAACCTCACGCATACGAGCGACCGTGTGTCCACATCACGCACGCTAATGATTGTTTACTCCCGTTTCCCGGCAAACAGTGCTTTTTCACTCGGCCACGCGGTTGATTACTCTCGTCAGATAACGACACTGACCGCCAAATCCTTTCAGCTGAATGAAAACATTATGCAATTGGAGATTTGTGGAGAGTGGAAAAAAAAGAAGTAATTCAATAAAGCTAAAAGCCCTAGTGGGGGTAGAAAAAAATTATTATGAAATGACATGGCTGGAGCGAGATAGGATCTGCGGCGCCTTTTAACAAATTAATGAGATGGCCATTAAAGCGTTGTGGGCTGGCGAGGGTGACGAGGCTGCATTGTTTACCGGCGATGCGAAGAACGGGTAAACGCCACACAAGCGGGCAGGTGATGCTCTGCTCTCGGTGATCGATATCGAGTCGTGCTCAATTGGTCCAAACGACGTGTGAGTGAGAGCAACCCCGTGTCAATGGGGTTCGAGTTCAATTGCACCCCACGGCTGCGATCGTTAGCCGCGAGTCTAGATCAAAACCACCGTTGGGCTACGCATCAATGCAATTCAAAAAGTTCAAAATTACTTTGCAATAATAAAGTAGATATAAAAACATTTTTTAATTTGCATTTAAAATCTATATGTAATTAAGATATAGAATTGTTATAGGTAATAAAAAAAACTTAATATTAAAATAATCTTTGTTTTTAATAGCATTAATTTTAATTTTTTTTTTTGTAAAATTTTCTAGTTTGTAAAATTTTAGATTTTATTTTTAGGGTAAATAATATATCTCTAAATTTGTTAAACAAAATATATTTTATAAATATTAGGGAACAACGGTCAATTTTTTTTGAAATTGAACCAAACTTGCTGTAAACTTTTATACTCTCCTCCTAGTTTTTAGCGTAAATAATCTCATATCTCATTGATAATACATGATTTCAACGGTGCTTCGACTACTGTTGAATTAGCAGCAGAGCAGAATGATAATAAAGTGTGCCAAAAATTAATTTCAAAAATATATTCAAATTTTTTATTTTGATTTAGTTGGTAATTTTGTTACATGACTGTGTCTTCATCTCCATGATCAAAGGATATAAAAGGATTAAAAAATTGTGTTTTTCCAATTTTGCTGATTTTTTTCTTGCTCATGAACAGGGGTTGCAGACCATGACCAAAACTGGTATAGCCGTTTGGTTTTTTAATAAAAATCAACTTTTATAGTGAGGAAAAATTCCGATCTCTTCAATTCCATGGATATTTAAATGTCTCATTATTGTAACTATTAAGTTAATTAATATAAAAGAAAATCTTTTCTCCAAAAATGTTTTTATATTTTTGGGCACAAATCCCCATTTGTTGATTATACCTGAATGCTTTTTTCTCATCCACTCTCTTATTTTTCTTGCAGCAGCCCCTGACAACAGCCGACGAGAAGAATTCATCCCTCTTGCCGAGTGAACGCACCATGGCGGCCTTTCATGTGCAGTAAAGTAGAAGGTACGCGTCCTCTCTTGTGTTGCGCTCTCGGTGTTTTGGGATTTTTTTAATTAATTTAGTTAACAGCGCCTTGCGTGGCTCCACCACTCAAGCGGTTTCTCTTTTACTTTTCTGTTTGCGTGCGCCCAAAGAAGTCATGCAGGCTCTCTAGCTTATATGGCAAAAAAGGCTGCGGGCAAAAGGAGATGAAAGGGCTGCTTGATGTCTAAGTAACTCGTGCCTCTTTTCAGAAGTTTGGCACATTTCAGCAAAGCTGTGTACATTTTGAGCAGAAAATTTAATATCTAGAAGATATACAAATAAATTGGTGGAATTTTTATTGCAAATAAATAAAACGCTCTGAAGTACTAATTATTTTACGATGTATTCCAGTTTTCTCCTTGCTCATTTTGTTAATATATACTTTTTTTATTAATTTAACCTTCCACTAAATACAAGAAAGTTGTAACATTTTTGAGGATTTAAACATAATAATTGTAAAAATGGAAAAAAATATTGTAATTGAGAATCCACAAAAACTAATTTAGAGCATATTGAATGAAGTAATTTGATTACATATTAAAATTTTTATAAAATTATGCTATAATTAGATTTATTTTAACTTATTGCGCTTTCTTGTTATTATTGGTTTTTGCCTCGCCCCCGATTGCTATAATCACAGTTTATACAGTAATATTTGAAGAAAAATTAGTGTGAAAGAAAGGATATTAATATAAATTATTTAACTTAATTTTCAATTTCTTTCAAATTTTTAATTTCCAAATTTTCTCCTTATCTTATCTTTAAATTTAAATAAAATATAATTATCAAGAAAACTTCAAGAGATGTATCCAATTTTGTAATTGAACACTGAGAAATGAGACAAGAAATTTAACTCGATAGAGCTCAAGTTTTTGCTGGATCAAATCTTCCGCATCAGCAGAAGGCGAACTTGTTTCTTTATTCATGCGTCATTATTTGGCGGTTGCAGATGAGGTCGCGCAGCAAGAAACGGGGCCGCAGTGCGACCAGCCGCTTGCGAGAGCGGGCCAACCTGTCCTTCTGCATCGTGGTCATTTTCTTCGCCGTCTTTGGCATCATCGTCCTCACCGAGATCTTCTTCATCGACGAGCGGCCCGGCCCGGCGCCGATCGGGGCCCACCGAGGCCCCGACTACGAGGAAATCGTCCTCTCTGACGACTACCTGCAGCTGTACAAAGGCCCTGACAACGAGGCCGCCTCGCACCTCGCAGGTCGCGTCCTCGCCCCGGCCGCGCCCTTCGTCGTCCGACCTGAGGAGGCCAACCCTTTCCCGCCGCCGCTGCCAGACGCCGGCTACATCAAGTTCAGCAACCTCACTGCCAGAGATGCGAAATGGCAGCCAGTTCGCGGAACTAGGTAAGAGGAAAAGCGTCAATTTTATTTGGTGAAAGAGAAAAAAAATCTCAAAAGTATTGTAATTTGAAGAATTATTTAAAAAATTCATGTTTTCTTTTTTTTATTTACTGTCTTGAAGGGGGTAGATACAAAAATTGATTCTATGAGCATCAAATGGAGAGTATTAATTTTTAATTAACTTAATAATTAAATTCTTTATTTTTCATTTACGACACAGAGCGTAAATTTTACACAATTTTTCCATAATTATGAGAGAAAATTGGTTTTGTTGCGCCGAAGAAAAGAAACATGCAAAATTCATTTTATTATTTTCAGTTTTGTGATTTTTTTTGCTTTTTATTGATTAAATTAGTAACTTGTGACTCTAAATCGCCTTTACGTGGAATTAAGTTCTGAGACATGTGAGGCAATGCGTGCGAGCTGCGTGCGGGCTGCGTGTCAGTTTTGCTTTGATGAAGACATCTTTAAATGTTTCTGAGCAAAATAAATAAGCAATTTGTTAGATACAGATTTTTTTGTTAGCTTGGACAGCTGTTTTGACTATTGAAGCCTCATCAGCAGCACTTTGCCTAGCAAAGCAAATTCTACTCGCAGCGCACAAATACGCCTGCTTGTTTGCCTCTCGGCAACCCTCAGAGGAGGAAAATGAGAGTTTTTGGTTTCGAGTGGTTTCTCTATAGGTTTTAAATTCTCAAAAAACTTTTTATTCATGTTTCATTCAATTTCATTGAATCTCTTAAAAAAACTGACCTACCGAGTCACAAATCTTGCTTCAATTTTAAAGTACGTTTCAAAATTCAAACAGGAATGATTTTAGTTTTAAATCTTTATTTTTCTGTATACTAAAAACTTTTCTAGCCATTATATTGTTCAGAACACTCATTTATTGCAAACAATTTGAAAACACAAAAATATATTTTATATTCAATACAAAATTTTTTTATAATTTAGAATAAATTTTCCCAACTTCACCGCCGCATTGCTGATTCTTGACTGCTCCTAGGAAACACACTCGACCAAACACTTTTTTGATTTCGCGTGCACGATCTACTTTCCGAATGGTTGTTTGGCGACAGGCCGACCGCTTCACATTGTACCATTAATAAAGCCGCGTGCAACTCGCGCAAATTCATTTAGCGGCTCTACGTGCTCTATTATTTTGTTGGTGAATTATGCATGCGCGCATTAGTGAGTGATTGAAGCGCGCGTCGATTGCCAAACCGCTAAGCTCTCGCGCGACATCGACATGATTACGCGATAATGCATGCAGTGCGGCATCGGGAATAAATTGATTGCTTGTGTTTTATGTTGTGCTGGCTGAACAACGCTTACTAACTTTTTTGTTACTATTTTTAAATTAAATAAAATTTAAATTAATATTTTATAATGTAAATAAGTTTAATTTACTATAATTTACTAATAACATTTAATTATATTATAATACATCAATTTTTATTTGATTTTATTAAAATTGATACTTTTGAGAAAACTCTGAATGATTTTTTTTTAATTGTTATTATTTTTTTTTATAATTCTTTAAATGTAGTTTGAAAAAAGCAATCAATAATTCATTAAGAGATAAATTCTATTATCACTTCATTTTCTATATTTGACCGTTTATGATTAATTTTTTCCTAAAATTGAATGAAAATAAAAATTTAAATCTAAATCAACGTCAAAATTTTAATTTTTGTGAATGGAAAAATTATTGTGAAAATAGACGATTAAATAAAATGATGCAATCAATTAAAAAAAAAGATGATGTTGACTAACTTCAAATCCTTCAAAAGCAATTAAGAAAAAACTTAAGTAAAAGATTTTTAAACAAAGTAAATTTTACGATACAACATTCAGTTAATTATTTTCTAGGACAATGTCCTGAACGAGGGTTATAATTTTCTACATTGTAATTACAAGCATGTCCCTGCCCGCACGTTGATTACACTGGTTGCCTTTTACAAATGTTTCAGGTTCAAATTCTACGTGTACTCGGCGTTCTACGATAAAAGGGCGAGCAGGATGATAAGAATCATTGGAGCGACGCGCACACGAAGTCCGGAGCGCGTGTGGTGTCGCTTTTGGTACGACGAGGAACCAACCACGGCCAATGCCAATGCCACCGTTTCACCAGAGAGACGCAGGTGCGCAATGCCAAAATAATTTTAATAAAAAATTCGTAGTCTTCGAAATCCTTCATCGAAATTCATTTTTACAAGAAACAAGTAAAAAATTAAATTATAAACTTATTTTCTGATTTTCCTCATTTCATCAAAAAGCAGATATGAGATTACTTAATGAGGAAAACTTTTTCTAATTAATTTATGCAATAAACCCATCTGGCTTTGATAAATTCTCATTTTAAGTAAAAAATATAAAATTTCCTATAGCAAAAAAATTGCATAATTGTTCTGTTTTTGGTGTGGAAGTATAAAAACTAAAAAGATGAGTTTTCTTTTGTAGCTCTCGACCGCAACTAGTGATAGCCAAAGTGAGAGTGATCAGGGAAAATTGGAATCTGAAGTACAGCGCGTGCTTTGTGATCTGCCCCTTGCCGAGGTCAAACGGCACCGACGAAGCGTGGCCGGTGCCCAACAGCGTTTCGGTGCTCGCCGGAAGGGTGTTGCTTCCGCCGGCCAATCGGCTGCTCGTCAACCGGCCCGGCAACATGACCAACAAGGGTGAACTCGCGGTCTGCGTCAAACCACTCCACTTTTTCTACAACCAGGTGAGTTATTATTGCAGAATCATTGCTTCGTCGCTTTTAGTGTTTAGTTTTTTCATTAAAATTTTTTTAAATATCTGCTGCTAAAAAGAACTTTTTAAAGCAACTGTGCTGGATGCAACGAGATGAATTAGCCAATAATTTTGTTTATCAAATAATTTTCTGCTACAAATTGAAAATTCATAGCTTTTTTAATGATTAATTATACTGAATTATTTTTAAGTAGGTTTTCTTTTGTGAGACCAAAGTATTATACTAATTGTATATAATTGATTGTAGAGTAATTATTGCTTCAGTCACTTTTAATTAGATTTACCGCAAGTCACCTTTGAGATTAATGCCAATTTTTTTACTGCCTTATTGGTAGTATGAGCCAGACAGGTAAGTTAACAGTAAATTACAGGAAATAAGAGAAGAAAAATTATTTATTTACTATTAAAACTATTATAATTGGTCAATCACTTATTTCCTAATACAAGAAATTATCAACACTCACTTAATGTGTGAAAAGGTATCGCTATCAGAAATAATTAGTAAAATTCATTTGCTGATTGCTCTCTTGTACGCTCACAATTATATATAATATTTTGTAATGAAACAAAAATATGTTGATTAAAATATAATAAGTTAGAATTATCAGGTAATAAAAATAATAAAATAAAAAAGATCATAAAAAAATTAAATTTTTGAATAAAAATTTAAAAATCAAAGTTATCAAATAATGAAGTAAAAAAATATCCAATTTACTTTTTACAAATTGCATGCTTTTCTTAAATTAAAACTTATAGTTTAAAATTTAATAAAAAAACATTTACAAATTGCACAATGACGTCTCTACATTTTATGTATTAAAAGGGAAAAATGAATTTCATTTTTGCAACCACTTTTATTTAATGTGACTTGAAAGACAATTAATTAAATGGATTATATATTTCAACGTGCAAAGGTTACACAGGGAACACTGAACTGTCAAAATGTTTTGAAAATTTAAAAAATTGAAAAGGAGCAATTAATCTGACTTATTATTGATGTTCTAATGAGACCGTTTTTTAATTTGCTTTTAATTCCAAAAGGCTTTTTTTTAAACATGAAAGGGACTTTGCTGTTTGCAGGTTTGGTCGCTGCTGGAGTGGCTCGAGTTCCAGAGCATCCTGGGCGCGGTGCACGTGACCATGTACAACCACACGGCGGGCGGCGCCGCAAGCTGCGTGTTGCGCGAGTACGTGGCGCAGGGGTTCGTGACGCTGCTCGACTGGGGCAACCTGCCGATGCTGTCGCAACGCGAGATCCGCACCGAGGGTCTGTTCGCGGCGCTCAACGACTGCCTCTACCGCAACATGTACACGCACGCCTACCTGGCCATCATCGACCTGGACGAGTTCATCGTGCCGCGGCGCAACGACTCGCTGCCGGCGCTGCTGGGCTGGCTGACGCGGCCCGGGACGAGGGCGGCCGGCTCGTTCTCGTTCCAGAACGCCTTTTTCTACCTGCAGTGGCCGGACGACGAGAAAGCCGAGCCCACCGAGCTGACCACGCAACGCAAGACGCGGCGCCGCGCCAAACTGCACCCGCACAAGCAGCGCTCCAAGTACATCTGCAAGCCCGAGCTGGTGGTCGAGGCCGGAAACCACTTTGTGTGGGAATACGTGCCGGGCAGGGGCACCCTGAACGTGCCCGCCGACGCCGCCATCCTGCACCACTACCGCGTGTGCGAGTTCGGCGGCGACGACTGCGTCAAGGCCGCCTCGGTCGTCGACCGCTCGGCCTGGCGCTTCGGCGTCCAGCTCAGGGAGCGCGTCGACCAGCGGTGGCGCGACCTCAGGACAAAGTGTGATTTGCCGTCCGCCCCTGTTAAGAACCGCCGCTAGCTGAGACAGAACTTGTGTCAATATGTGTTCTCGTTCGTGTATGTACTTCAATAAAATGCGTCCCGACGGCCCGATAGCATGTGTATTTATAACAAATAGGGACGATTCAAACTGAAACTTTTTGCAAATTTCAATTTACCAAAATTGCTAAATTTTTTTGATATGGTTGAATCGTTCCTCTTTCTAATTTTGTAACTTTGATTTATCTTTTTTCCGCAGTTTCACTTACATTTTAAGTACAAATTAATGCCACAAACTAATATTAATTTTATAATAATAGATTTTAAGTTTTCTTAGCTTTTGCAAATTTACTTTTTGATTTTATTCTATTTTCAGTGTCAAAAGTGAGATTTATTTAATCATCATCAGCGCATATTGCAGCTAACATTTATTCTCAGTAAACAGATTAATTGTGAAAAATGTGATAAATAAACCTTGCTTCATTTAAAATTGCATAAATTAAAAAAAATATAATCTCACTTTTGTCCCTGAAAATCGCGTTGATTTCATTGGAAAACTCTTGAGACAGCAAGAAACAAAAATAATACACGTTTTCCATCTTCCAGTTTTGCGCACAAGCAAACGTATAATTATATTTTATAATAATTTCTGACTAATTTAATACAATTTAAAATGTATCAATTGGGATCATATAAGTTTTACAATATTTTATGGACGGTAAATTATTTCATGGAAACAAATGAACTTCAATACAGAGAAGGTTGAACTATTTTTTTCTCTATGCATTTATCGCACAAATGTGTCTTTTTGAGCTTTCACGTTGTGCAGCATTTTTAATTTTCATTATCCTCATTAACTGCTGGTCTTAGTGTAATAAGTATGTATCATCCAACCTTGTACTGCATACTTCATCTCTGGTCATATTTATGTATACTTTTTCATAACGAGACACATAATATCTTTATATTCATAAAAAAAAACATATACATAAGCTAGAGTATATTTTAAATGCCATGCCAATTTTAATCAAAATCATAAATTTGATAATTTTTTTCTAAACTGAGGACACTGATTGATTTATTTATTTAGGATTATTTTATGTAAAATTATCACATTAACATAGAAATATATCTTTCATCATTTAATATGGTCTAAACGTCTTGTATACTAAAACAGCACACAGCTGTGGCTCTTGTATATCAGTGATTTATTTTTGCTATCAAGACTCAATTTCTTCAATTTCTAGTCATTTATCGTGCCATGTATTTACTTCCCTTTCATATAAGTTAAAATATTATTATTAACAATTATACCCTCGAAAAAAATTTGAAAGCGTAAGCCGAAAAGGAGCTCAAAAACTTGATGATTTCATTTTCTGTGATTTTAAGTGTTTTGAAGTACTTGAATGGAAATTATATATTTCAATTTGATGTTTTTCTTTTGTAAAAAACCAATAGCGAAAAAAGTGAAATGTTACGCAAAGTCACCTGGAAACAATAAACATACGTTGATTTTGGAAATAAGTAATATCATATCAATGTTGAAAAAAGCTTTTGTAAAACATGAAAGACATTCATGCAAGAAACAATAAAGAATATTTGTACCATACGTGACAGAAAAATAAAATATTGAATCTCAAATTTTTTTTCTGAAATAATTCTTAAAACGAACCAGCTTTTCTCCCTATTTTTAACCTAACACAAACGTGTTCTGGAAATAAGCAAGAAAAATTACAGACGTTGACAATACCCTTCAACGTATGTCATTAAGTTTATCACGATCCAGGAATTCCACCTCCCTGCGCTTCTGCGGGTTGCTGCAATTAAAACAATTTAGTTTATAAGCATGTTTCGGCCATTCCAGTTCCTCAAAGCAATTACCAAGATTCTTTTATTAATTTTTGGCCTAAATATTTTTCTGCTTAGGCCTCATAGCTTCAACCGCAGTTGGAATACGGATCGGTCTTCAGAATTATGGCAGCCTGTCTTAGGAGCAAAGTATGTATGAATAAAATTATCACTATAATCATGAAAATCTAAATTTTTACCAAACGAAAAGCTTCAAGTTTTTTGTCTACTCGGCTTATAAAGACTCGAGGAGTTTGGACGACAATATCGGAGCATTGCCTTTAGTTCGCATTATTGGCGTCGGGAAGCTGAATGAAAGAGTTCTGAATAAGAGCAAGTCATTAATAATTGACGAAGTTGCATACTGTCGTTTTTGGAACGATTTGGACTCCATCGGAAACGTGAAAAATATAAGGTAAAATTTATAAAATACATTTATAGTTTAAGTGATTAAACTGATATCTCAAAATGGAAAGTAAGTTTTCACAAGCGTGACTTTTTGAGGTTATTTGAAATTTTTTGTTTAAAATATTTTAATAATTGGTAAAAATTGATATAAAATATTATTTATGATATATCAGATTAAAGAAAATTCCTCTTGATTTAAAGACATTAAAAATAAATTTAATGAATATAATTGAATGGCGTTTTCGTTTAATAATTTTCATGTCAGCAGTGAGGTGCTCGTCAGAGCAGATGTAATGCCGATCAGCGAGAATTGGAATTTAAACTACTCCGCTTGCTTTATTCTGTGCCCCACATTTAACACTTCTTCACACTCAATGGTCTCCATTTACTCCGGCAACGTTATTGAGCCCTTGATTGAGACTGGGAATGCACTTGAGTTTCCAGAACCAGGCAATCGATTATTAGTGATTCACCAACTGGACCAGAAATTCAACTGGAGCGAAAAATCTGACCTGGCAGTCTGCGTCAAACCACTCCACTACAATTATAGCAAAGTATTATTTTTTCTTCATATTTAAAAATTTAAATCTTGAAACGTATAAATTCACGAAAGTGCGCCTAATTTATTTTATTTTAATTTACTATGTTTCTAATAAGATATAAAATTTATCTCATTGTCAGGTATGGGAATTAGTGGAGTGGATCGAAGTGAACAAAATTCTCGGCTTTTCCCATTTCTATCTTTACAATCACGAGGTAGCCGCAAACCTAACTTGCGTGCTGGACGAATACTCACAATCTGGAGATGTGACCCTCCTTAATTGGAAAAATCTGCCACTCGCCTCGCAAAGTGAGGTCAGAACGGAAAATATGTTCGCCGCCCTGAACGACTGTCTTTACCGAGGGATGCGCAAACATCGATTTCTGGCCATGTTCGATTTGGACGAGTACCTTGTCCCAAAGAAAGATCACACTCTGATCCAATTAATGGAGAAACTAAACAATCCTCCCAACAACTCGGTTGCTTCATTTTTGTTCCGAAATACGTTCTTCTATTTTCCATGGAGGAAGGAGCCTTCCTACGAAGGCCCCGACTTAATCACTTTGAAGAAAACTAGGCGCCGAAGTGATGTTTTTCCGGAGGAAATGAGGGCAAAGTTCGTTTGTAAGCCAGAATTAGTGACCGAGGTGGGAAATCACGGTGTTCGGGGAATGGTGAACGGTTTTCAGCAAAGGTCTGTGACCCCAGAAGAGGCCTTAATGCACCACTATCGCTCCGCCTGCGAACTGGGTGGTCACAGGTGTCTCTTCAGTAAGTCCGAGCGGGACAGGACAATGTACACGTGGCGCGAACTGATTGTGGGCAAAATTAAAAACGCGGAAAAAAGGATGGTTGAAAAGTGTGGCCTGCACCCTTTAGGTACAATCGACCGTAATTCATCAGAACCTTCTCCTGTGCCATCGTTTCCAAATTTTGAAGCGATGTATGACTATTGAAATTAGTCCAACTTTCATTTCCACTTAACTGCACTAAAATTTTATAATGTCAATGTATTCATTTAATTGAAAATATGATCATTTTTATTTTAATTATTTATTTATTTATTTATTGTAATAAAATCAAATTTAATTATTTATATCTTATATGAAAAATTTATTTATTGTATTTACTCTACCATTGCGCAATATTTATTGAAAGTTCAATGAATATAAAATAAACATTTTTTTGTAACTTTTTTTAAGAAAAATTTAATTTTAGATATTTTAAACAAGTTCTGCATCTTGTTACAAAGCATGATATGCAATAAAATAAATTATTCCATGGTTGATTGTTGATTGTGAATAGTAAATTGGTAAAAAAAATTAAATTATAAAATAATATGTTAAATTTAGTTACTCTTATTGAATTTGCAAAAGATCATCAAGGATCAAGGTGTGGAAGAGGAAATTTAGATAGTTGCTGTGTTTACGCACTCGTCTTGTTGATGCAACTCGCGAAAGATGAGATGATCTATCTAAATTTCCTTTTTTATGCCTTCCTGATTGAATTCAATTAGATTAATTGAATTTAATTTGTTATTTTTATTTTATTTTGAAGTATTTAGTTAGAAAGTCAGGTTTATTGGAAATATTGCCATTTAAGTCCTTAACTTTTAAATAAAAAAGGAAAGGGTAAATTATGGCCCACACAACAACTTCCGGTTGATATGACTTTAATTTAGTCCCACAAAATGTTCCGTCCCATCAAGTTGTGCCATGCTCTTTTTCGTTGCCTTTTAATTGTTATGGTATGGAAGTTGATGCACTTGATGGTTTACCGCTACAAATCATCTGAAGAGCTGGAGACGATTACAGAAAATTTAATGGAAAAAAGCGACGCGCCTCAAAATTTGCGCGCAAAGGAGACAGAAAAAGTGTCTGCTGGTCGCCGTTTCTTCAACGCAACTTGGCAGCCGGTGATAGGTTCAAAGTAAGACAGATGATACGTTAATTTAATTAATTAATTCTGTACATTGTTTTATTCTTAATTCAGATTATAGCTAATATTACATTTCTAAATATCAGCTTTTAGAAAGTTGAGCCAGTTATTAAGTTTTATATTTAAATTTATGATGTACTAATTTGTTTAAATTATTAAATAAACATTACTTTTAAGCTTAAACAGAACTTTTCCAACAACTAAAAAATAATAAATTAATTAATTAATTATTTTGTGCTCTGTGCTGTTTAAAATGATTTATGAATATTTTTGCATTAATGGTTTTTATTCAATCAACTTATTTTAAAATAATTTAATTTTTTTTATAAAATTATATAATTAATCCTTCTCTATTGCCAGATACAAATTTTACGTGTATTCGGCGTTCTTAGAGACTAGAACTTTAGAAAGGAAAAAATTCCCTACTTCCCCATTCATCACAGTGATTGGAGCCGCCCGGCTGAAACCCCCAGAAATAGCAGAAAGCGCCTATTGCAGATACTGGTATGACGATGTCAACCTCAGGGTGGACGTAACAAAGTAAAATAATAATAAATAAATAAAACCAAACCAGATATTAAAGAGACCAAATTAAAAATGATGCAATTTTCAGCAGTCCGATGTTTGTGGCAAAAGCAGCGATCGTGCCAATCAGAGAGCACTGGAACATGAATTACTCGGCCTGTTTTATTTACTGCGCTATCGTCAACAGTTCAAATGTTGCATCAGCCGTCTCTGTTTTTGCCGATGCAGTAATGACCCCGTTCATTAAAGCTGACAACCTAAATCAATTACCAGAAGCTGGAAATTTTCTCCATATAAACATTCAGCCGGAAAAACGAACAAAGCGCACAGATCTGGTTGCCTGCGTTAAACCCTTTTATGATGAATTTGTTCAGGTACAAAAATATTTAATACATTGATAATAATTCTTAAAAATGTAGTTTTTCTAAAATAATCCTTGATTCAATATTAATGAATATTTTAAACAAATTCCTGATTTGCTAATAATTTCACATTATTTATTTTTTAGGCTTGGAACCTTGTTGAATGGATAGAGCTAAACAAAATAATTGGATTCTCGCATTTCTACTTTTATTACCACCATTCTTCTGAATCAGTCAAATGCGTCTTAGACGAGTACGTGAAAAATAGAACAGCAACTTTGTTCCTGTGGCAAAATCTTCCTCTAAAGTCTCAAAAGGAGATAAGAACGGAAAATATGTTCGCCGCTTTGAACGACTGCGTCTTTCGAAGCGTCAACATGCACAAGTACGTGGCACCAATTGATGTAGATGAATTCATCGTGACAAAAAATATCTCCTTGCTGAAATTTCTTGACGCTTTTGATAATCCGAACCAAAATGAAGTTGCTTTTATTTTTCGGAACACCTTTTTTTATTTGCCGTGGCCAAACGATCCTCATTACTCGGGATTGGATTTGGTCACGCAGAAGAAGACAAGGAGAATTGCCAACGCACATTCACCAAAACGAAGGACCAAATACATTTGCAGACCAGAAGGAGTGGCGGAAGCTGGGAATCACTTTTTGTGGGAAATGACCAAAAGGAAATCGGAGCAAATTGTACTTAAAACAAATGTTGGCCATCTCTTTCATTATAGGTCGTGCGAATATGAGGAGAAAAATTGTTTGGCGTTGAAATTTGAAGATGACAGAACAATGTGGATTTATCAGAAAAAATTGATTGAAAAAATGAAGGCCATTGAAAGGGTTTTAATTGAAAAATGCCAGCTGGAACCACTGCGAAATGTTGATTTCGAAAAATCATAGCATTCATAACATTCGGTTGCACAAAAATAAAAATATAATTAATTTATAAAAAAAAAAGTAGAATCTTATCTGTCAAATTGAAGAGCTGCCGCGAAAGTAAAATTATTATAAAATAAAAAATAAACATAAATGATTTTTTTTTCAATTTTGATTGATACTAAATATTTGACTTCATTGAGGATGTTAGCAATTAGGCTATAAATTATATAATACTTTTTCATTTCTTTGAGGAACTCATGTTTTTTTTAATTGAAAATGTCCAGGGGTATTTTAAAAGGGTGTAATTATTTTTTTCTTGCAATTAAAGTTTAAACATCTGCTACAAGCCCCATATTGTTGCAAGGTTTACCTGCATTTTGAATCAAATTTTTGCAAGATACGCAAAAAAACAATAATTCAGATGCAAAAATTCATTTGCTTTTGTAGACTTAATTAATTGTTTAATAGACTTTCATAAACAATAATATACAAACTAAAAACTCATAATCACCACCTTTTTTAAACAAGTGGAGGTGACACAAGGAAAGTTTCAAACAAAAAGGTAGAGGGCGAGAAAATAATCACCAGCCATTCGTACAAGTACGTCCTGTTGATATGAACTTTTTTCTGTAAAATGCGTCGCTCCTTTATTTTGTGTGGTGGAGTTTTCTGTTTCACTTTATATATAATAGTTTGGAGATTCATGCCGTCGATGGTTTACCGTGGCGAATCATTTTCTATAATTATGGAACAAAATGGGGAAATGCATATAGCAAATGTGACAGAAGAGAAGCGTGGCGAACGCCGAGCTTTTCTCAACGCAACCTGGCAGCCAGTGACGCACTCAAAGTAAGAAGGGCCACAATTTCAACTTAGTTTATGCTTTTATTTAAGTGAGGTGGAAGGTGGACTAATGTAGTGGTAGCTTTTTTTCTGGAAAGTAGGTTCCTATTATTCATTAAAACAACAATTATGACTTTTATGACTTGTTGGGAAGAGAATAAAAGAATTGTAAAAATTGAATTGAAAATGAATTAAAAAGATTTTAAATAATAACATAATTTCCGTTTTAAAAATCTCTAAAAAAGGACTTTAAAGTCTGAGAGAAAACAAAAAGATGATTTAAATAATGTTTTACTGTATGTACAGCATATTTAAATATTTTGCAGCTAATGTAGTTGTAAAGCTGCATTTATTGAATTCTTAAAAAAAAAACGCTCTTAATTCACAGATATAAATTTTTCGTCTATTCGGCGTTCTTGGATACACGAATTTTGGAAAAGCAAAGGAATATTCCTTCCCCCAGAATCCGGATTATTGGAGTAGCCAGACTACAAAATTTGGAAATTGTGGAACGCGCATTTTGCAAATATTGGTACGATGACGACCAACTCAAATTGGAAACGAAAAAGTAAGTTTTTTTAGTGTATATTTAAAAATAACGGTTGCTTAATATAAAATTTCTAAGCAGCAAGAAGTTCATAGCGAAGGCAGTTATGACGCCAATCAGAGATCACCATGGTCTGAATTACTCTGCCTGTTTTATTGACTGTCCTATTGAGATCAATTCAAAAATACCCTCGGCCGTTTCTGTATATTCCAAAAAAGTGGTAACCACGTTCCTTAGGGATCACAATTTAAAAAGCTTGCCAAAGGCTGGAAATGTCCTTCCAATAAATATTCAACCAGAAAAACCCACAAACCGCACAGACTTAGTTGCTTGCGTCAAACCGATATATGATGAATTTGTCCAGGTAACACACAGAAAATATTTTATTGACATCCTATAAAACACAAAACCTAAGATAGTGGCTCGAATAATTTTTCTCAATTACTTACAAATAAAAATTAACATGCATTTTTAGGCTTGGAAACTTATTGAATGGTTTGAGTTGAACAAAATACTGGGATTCTCGCATTTCTACATGTATTACCGCAACTCAACAAAACAAGTCAAATGCGTCTTGGACGATTATGTGAAAAATGGAACAGTTACTTTGTTCCAATGGCAAAAAAGTCTCCCATTCACTAATAATGTCGACTTGAGGGAAGAAAACATGTTCGCTGCTCTGAATGACTGCGTCCTTCGTTCAATCAACGTGCACAAGTACGTGGCGCCATTCGATGTTGACGAATTCATCGTGACAAAATACACCACCATATTGCAATTTCTTGAAGCTTTTGATAAACGGGGAGGAAACGAAATTTCATTTGTTTTCCGCAATGCTTTCTTCTACTTGCCCTGGCCAGACGATCCTAATTACTCAGGATTGGATTTAACGACACAAAAGAAGACGAAAAGGATAACTGAATTTACTCCAATGAAACGAAGGGCAAAGTACATTTGCAAACCTGAAGGGGTCGCGGAAATTGGAAATCACTATTTGTGGGAAATGACGAAAAAGAATTACTCGGAAATTGTGATAAAAACAGAACTTGGCCACCTCTTTCATTATAGAAATTGCGAGCATGATAATTGTTTCGAGGACAAATTTATAGAAGATAGGACAATGTGGAAATATCAGGAAGAACTGGAAAAAAGAACGAAGACAGTTGAACAGAATTTTGTTGAAAAGTGCCAACTCGATCCGTTACGGAACATTTGACTGCGATTTTATAATTTAAATTTGTTGCTTGTAGTGGTGCCCAAGTTTTATATAATTTATTTTTATTAATAAATTAATTTTAACGATCAAAAGTACTTGCAACAATGTGGAAAAATTATTAATAATAATAGTTGTAAAAGTGTGAAAAAAAACTTTCAACAATTTTTAATTATGTTTTATAATTCAATTTGTATATTATTCACAAAATAAAAAAAAATTAAATACTATATTTTAAATATTATTTAAATTTAATACAAATTATTACGTATATTTCCAATTGCAAGCTAATATTTTATTGAAAATTGAAACTTAAAGCCTTAGTATATTATAATTATGATTTGTTTTTAATTCCAATTTCCAACGCCTCTTGACATTTGCAGAATATTTCAATTAATTTAGAGGTTAAAAATCATTATTTAAATCACGACGAAGGCTAATTTGTACAATAAAAAAAAATTTTGTATTTGTTCCATGTTTCATACTGACGTTTAAACATCTGCTACAAATCCCATATTGTTGCGAGGTTACCTGCACTTTGAATAAAAATTTTTGCAAGATATGCAAAAAAACAATAATTCATTTGCGTTTGTACACTTTTGTAGACTTAATTAGTTTCGCTAAATAGCCTTTCATTAACGATAATATATAAACTAAAAACTCATAACCACCACTTCTTTTTAAACAAGTGGAGGTGACACAAGGAAAGTTTCAAACAAAAAGGTAGAGGGCGAGAAAATAATCACCAGCCATTCGTACAAGTACGTCCTGTTGATATGAACTTTTTTCTGTAAAATGCGTCGCTCCTTTATTTTGTGGGTAGGAGTTTTCTATTTCACTTTATATATAATAGTTTGGAGATTTTTGCCGTCGATGGTTTACCGTGGCGAATCATTTTCTATAATTATGGAACAAAATGGAGAAATGCATATAGGTCTGAGCGCGAATGTGACAGCAGAAAAGCGTGGCGAACGCCGAGCTTTTCTCAACGCAACCTGGCAGCCAGTGACGCACTCAAAGTAAGAAGAGCCACATAAAGATTTCAACTTCATTATGCTATACTTAAGTGAATGGGGCTAATGTAAGTGCATTAGTTTACTTTTATTTGAAAATTAGGGTCCTATTATTCATTAAAACAACAATTAAAATGATCTAACATAATTACATAAACTCTGTTTTAACAATCTTTAACAATAACATTTGAAGTGAGTGCAAAGACGAAATATAATTAAATTTGTTTTAATTTAATTTAAGTTCAGCATTTAAATTTTTTTACTGCTGTGTTATGAAGCTGCGTTATTGATCTATTTGCATCTCTATAAAAAAACGCTCTCTATATATAGATACAAATTTTACGTCTATTCGGCGTTCTTGGACACACGAATTTTGGAAAAGCAAAGGAATATTCCTTCCCCCAGAATCCGGATTATTGGAGTAGCCAGACTACAAAATTTGGAAATTGTGGAACGCGCATTTTGCAAATATTGGTACGATGACGACCAACTCAAAGCGGAAACGAAAAAGTAAGTTTTTTTACTGTATATTTAAAAATAACGGCTGCTTAATATAAAATTTCTAAAAATGTAGCATTAAGAAGTTCATCGCAGAAGCAGTAATGTCGCCAATCAGAGAACACTTTAGTTTGAATTATTCTGCCTGTTTTATTGACTGTCCTATTGAGATCACTTCCAAAACACTCACGGCCGTTTCTGTATATTCAGAACAAGTGATGACCACGTTCCTTAAGGATGACAATCTCATAAGCTTACCAGGCGCTGGAAATTTCCTTCCAATAAACATTCAACCGGAAAAACCAAATCACCGCAGAGACTTAGTGGCTTGCGTCAAACCATTATATAACGATTTTGTCCAGGTATAAATTTTTTTTTTACATTCCATACAAAACAAAGCCTCAAATAATTTTTTTCAATTACTTACAAGTAAAAATTAAGATGCATTTTTAGGCTTGGAAACTTATTGAATGGATAGAGTTGAACAAAATACTGGGATTCTCGCATTTCTACATGTACTACCGCAACTCAACAAAACAAGTCAAATGCGTCTTGGACGATTATGTGAAAAATGGAACAGTTACTTTGTTCCAATGGCAAAATCTCCCATTCAGAAGTAATAATGTCGAGTTGCGGGAAGAAAACATGTTCGCTGCTCTGAATGACTGCGCCCTTCGAAACATCAACGTGCACAAGTACGTGGCGCCATTCGATGTTGATGAATTCATCGTGACAAAAAACTACACTCTATTGAAATTTCTTGAAGCCTTTGAAAAACGGGGAGGAAATGAAATTTCGTTTGTTTTCCGAAATGTTTTCTTCTACTTGCCCTGGCCAGACGATCCTAATTACTCAGGATTAGATTTAACAACGCAAAAGAAGACGAAAAGAAGAACTGAATTTGCTCTAATGAAACGAAGGGCAAAGTACATTTTCAAACCTGAAGGAGTCGCTGAAATTGGAAATCACTTTGTGTGGGAAACGACGAAAACGAATCACACGGAAGTTGTATTAAAAACTGAATTTGGCCACCTATTTCATTATAGAAATTGCACGCATTTTAATTGTTTCGAGGCCAAATTTATAGAAGATAGGACAATGTGGAAATATCAGAAAGAACTGGAAGAAAGTATGAAAGCAGTTGAACAGAATTTTGTTGAAAAGTGCCATCTCCATCCATTAGATAAACTTTGATTCAAGCAGATTTTTTTGGTGCCGTTTTGTCCAGCAATTTATCGTTTTTAAATAAATTGTTTTAAACAATTTAAAGTAAAGAATGTATTTTCAACAATGATGATAAATAAACAACAGCAACAACAATAAAAATTATATAAAAAATTAATAATGAAAATAGAAACTCTTAATCAAAAGTTTGACATGAAAATTTTTGAAAAATACGAAAAATATTTCTTATTAATTTTTTATAATTCAAACACTATTTATAATACTTCCTAATTGAAACCAAGCGTATCAAAATTATAAAAATATACTTAATTGTTTTTTATTATTACTTTTATTTTTTTTTACAAATTAATTGCGTTACCTATTCATATTTACACAAAAATTCAATTAATTTGGAAATTAAAGATTACAGTTCCAAATAACAACACGCAAAATAAAAAAGCAGTTAAAACGTTTACCCACTGGTGGTGGCAAAGGAAATTTTTATATAAAAAAAAAGAAGGGAACATAATCACTCGCCATGCAAGTACTTCCTGTTGATAATTATTCTGTAAAATGCTGCGCTCCTCAACGTCGTGGGGTGCATTTTGGTGTTTCGTTTTAATTTTTACAGCCTGGAGAGTTATTATGCCTTTGATAATTTACCGTGGCGACTCATTTTCTGAAATTTTGGTACAAAACGGAGAGTCGACTAAACGTCTGAGCGCAAACGCGACAGAAGAAATGCCTGACGGACGTCGTTTTCTCAACGCGACCTGGCAGCCAGTTATTGACTCAAAGTAAGAGGAAGCCACGTAAAGATTCATGCTTCATTGTGTTTTAAATTTTAAAATCAGTATTAAAAGATTCAATTTTTAACTGAAAATTGAAACTTCAACCAAAGATTTTATTTATATAAGCTGTTTAATGAAGTTATGGGGAAATTTTAATTGTAAAATAAAAAGTCATGTTTTTGTTGTTAATTGTCGTTGTAAGCAACGTATTTTTAATTATTAGTTAAGGTTCTCAGATAATTGTTAAGTGTGCGTGTGTTTTTTTCTGTTAAAATTAGTGTAGGTAGAGTAGTGTTTTGTTTGTGTAAAAAAAAAAAAAAAAAAAAAATTAGTTAAGGTAATTGTTTAAAAGAAAAATACATTTTCATTTCACAGATACAAATTTTACGTCTATTCAGCGTACTTGGACAAACGAATTTTGGAAAAGCAAATTAATATTCCCTCGCCCAGAGTTCGGGTTGTTGGTGTGGCCAGACTTTTAAATTTGACAATTGCGGAGCGCGCTTTTTGCAGATATTGGTATGATGACGAACAGTTTAAGTTGGAAGCGAAAAGGTAAATTGAAAATTTAAGACAATGACTGCTTAAAATAAAATATTCCAATAATTTAGCAGAAAGAAATTCATAGCAGAAGCAGTGATGACGCCATTCACGGAACACCACGGTCTCGATTACTCGGCTTGTTTTATTGACTGTCTTATCGCGATCACTGCTAAAATACCCACGGCCGTTTCTGTGTATTCGGAACAAGTGATGACCACGTTCCTTAAGGATGACGATCTAATAAGCTTGCCAGACGCTGGAAATTTCCTTCCAATAAACATTCAACCGGAAAAACCAAATGACCGCACAGACTTAGTTGCTTGTGTAAAACCATTATATAGTGAATTTGTCCAGGTATAAACAGAAAATATTTTATTGATTTTCCTATAAAACACAAAACCTAAGAAAAACGCTCGAACAATTTTTCTCAATTACTTACAAATAATAATTAATTCACATTTTTAGGCTTGGAAACTTATTGAGTGGATTGAGTTGAACAAAATACTTGGGTTCTCGCATTTCTACATATACTACCACAACTCAACAAAGGAAGTCAAGTGCGTCTTGGACGATTATGTGAAAAATGGAACAGTTACTTTGTTCCAATGGCAAAATCTCCCATTCAAGAATAATGTCGACTTGCGGGAGGAAAACATGTTCGCCGCACTGAATGACTGCGCTCTTCGTTCAATCAACGTGCACAAGTACGTGGCGCCATTCGATGTTGATGAATTCATCGTGACGAAAAACTACACTCTATTGAAATTTCTTGAAGCTTTTGATAAACGGGGAGGAAATGAAATTTCATTTGTTTTTCAACTCGCTTTTTTCTACCTGCAATGGCCTGACGATTCATATTACTCAGGGGTAGATTTGACGACGCAGAAAAAGACGAAAAGAAGAACCGAATTTAAGAAAAATAGGGGAAAGTACATTTGTAAACCTGAAGGAGTTGCGGAAATTGGAAATCACTTTTTATGGAAAATGACTAAAAAGAAGTACAGGGAGGTTGTTATAAAACCGGAATTTGGAAACCTCTTTCATTATAGAAATTGCGAGCGTGATTATGATAATTGTTGGGAGGACCAATTTATAGAAGATAGGACAATGTGGAAATATCAGAAAGAACTAGAAAAAAGTATGAAAGTAATAGAACAGAATTTGGCTGAAAAGTGCAAACTTTGTCGTTTAGGGAATATTTGATTTAAATGATAACATTTTGAAAATACAAAATAAATATTTCATTTCCTCAGTTCATTTATTTTAGTAAGTCATTTAAAAAATTAGTAGAATTTTAAATTTTCACCTCTATATAGAAAGGGAAAAAATTCAAAAATTGAAGTTCGGAAAATATTAATTTTGGGAAACACTTGGTCCTGCGTGCATTCCTGCGGATAGATCTATATTTTAAGGTTAATTCTTGGTTAATTTTTAAAAAGCAATTTGAAAGTGTAAAAACATTTGTTTCTACCATGCAAAAACCATAACTATATATTTAAAATGAGGAGGGGAAATTTATCACGCTCTATTATTAAAAACTTCCTGTTGGTATGATATTTTTACTTGTAAAATGTTTCATCCAAAAAATTTTGGCGTTTAATTGTGTGCTTCTATTTCTTCCTTTTTGGAAATAATTGTAAGCATATTTTTGTATTTTTTATTTTTCAATCTGAAAATTTATTGCATCTAATCGAAATAAAACGAAAAAAGCTCGTAAATCTTCTTTGGGTGATCTCCAATAGGTAAGGTCTGGTGATTGCTCCCGATCCCAGCAGCTGCGTAAATTTAGGTTCGCGCTTACCAAGAATAGCAGTTTTCGCAACGCGTCTGTTCTCGTTGCTGCACTACAGTGTTCGAGTTCCGAAAACGGCGCCTGCCAAACCTGCGGTAGGCAACCTGTTGGACTCGAGCGTCGAGTTTCGATGAAAAACAAAGCGATTATTTGCTAAAAATAAACCAAGCGGAATTTTATTTCACGCTGAACTTGAATTCGCGGGCGGTAAACAAGCTCGAGTTGAGAAATTAAATTATTTCTAATTGGTCTTCAAGGAAAGAAGATCAGTGAAAATAAGAGTAGGGATTTTTAAGTTTTGCGCGTCTCTGGATTTCCTGGTGGCGCGTCTCGCGCTCGCTCCGAGTGGCCGTGTCGTCATCGGTGGTCAGGCGCGTGCGACGAGGGGCGCAGTTGGATCGCAGTGAGACGTAAGACGTTTGCTAGGGAGGATGCACGCAGTATGTTCGGCTTCTTCAGGAAACAAGCCAAGAACACCAGCAACAAAGAGCACGATCACAGCAGCCATGGGCCAGTAGTGGACGCGCCGGACACGATGACAGTCAGCAACGACGATTTCTCCCCAGACCCAGTCACCTCCGTCAGGTAAATTTTCACTTGCTTTTTCAGATTTTTGCTCAAACAAGGCGTTTTTTCTTAAATTTTATATTTCATTTAAATGATTTTTACTTAGAAATGAAAAATATTTTTACTCGTTTTGACTAAGTTAAATTAAAATGGATATATATTGTTAAAATTAATTTATTTTTATTATAATATGTTAGTTTAATTTTATACTATTTAACATTTTTTTGTACAAATTTTATGAATTAAAATTTTTATTTAAATTTATGATCAACAAAACTAGTTTTGTGCTTGAACAATATTTACCTAATAAATTTTTTATTAAAATTATAAATCGTATTGTGTCTTTTATGAAATTAATTTTTGAAAATTTAATAATTAATATTATGATATCTGTTTATTTATTTATTTTTTCATTTTTTATTTATTAATTTTAACTATGCGAGCTCTCATATATTGCAATTTTAAAAAACAGCAATATATGAATACGTGAGAAACACTATAGTAGAGGCGTGACACGCGCTGCTCACTGCTAATTAGATTTCTGAGACGCAGCGGAATAATGAAATTAATTCTCTCTTGTGGCAATTAAAAGGCATGATGCTTGCTCTCGACTCTCGACAGCTTCTTCGGGAGCAAGTGAACCCGAAGGTTGATGCTAGTTGATGCCAAAGTGTGGTCGAAAATAACGCTCAGATGGATGATGTTTATTTTCGAGCAGATTAATTTCAGCCGACTTATAAATTATCGGACGTGTGTGCGTGCACACAATGGTGAATTTGATATTATGTTGGGTACAATTTGCCAAGAGAAAAATCCGGAACCGAGACTTTCCTTGCACCAACATTGAGTCGAATAATTTTTTTTATCAATTTTTGAATAATAAAAAATCAGTGTCAAATGTCGCTAGAAAAAATCAAATATCTCAGTTTTAAGGAGCGATTGGAATAAATTTTTTTACTTTGAATATCTTGCGCAGCGGCAAAAATAACTGTAAAAAAATTTAATTTTGAGTACCACAAGAGCTGCTCAGCCCACTTGACTCGAACGCATTCACAACTGGGTGGCCGCGGTAAACAACACATCGCAGATCAAACTGCGTAAAAAAAGAGTAGAGCAACAAAAGGGGGCAAGTGGAGCGAGCAGACTGCTTGGGTTTGAATGACGTGATTTGAAATTAGGTCTACCTACTCTTGCCCTTTTCGTGAAATTCAAAACTAGGCTGACCCAGCCTTGAGCCAGTGAAGCACTCAGAACTGTTGCTGGGTCTAATTAATTGGGCGCTTCTAAAAGGGGGTGCGTCTCGGACACCGATTACATCAATGTGGTCAATGGGGTCACACAGTGACATTTAGAAAAAAGAGTAACATGTAATTTTTAAATAAAATATGCACAGTTAAAATATTAAAATGAAAATTTAAGAATTTTCATAATAAAATTTACTATAAATTTTAATTTTAATATTTGCATATTTTGAGCCCACAATTGAACTCAATAAACAATTTATTAGCCAATTAATTTTTTTATAATATAAAACCAAAATTTTGCTGCTAAATATGATTCTATCTCTCAGTTGTTGTAAAAAACAAAAAATTATATGGTTCAAAAATTTTCACAAATTAATTAAATAGAAAAATTTTTAAATTTTTTCTATTAAATCTTAAAGTCTCCTGTTGTGACACTTACATATATTATTGAAATAATTATAAATGCGAAAGCGTGCAAAAATAAGTTGCGAAAGCCCGAGGGGAACTTTCGCGATCAATCAAGAAAGCGAAACTGCGCCGGATAATTTACGCATCGGACGAATAACCGACGAAAACAAAATTAACATGATTGTCGCGGAAGCGAGCAACAGCTGTGCGTTGAATCGGACACAAGAAAACACAGGGCGTGTAATTGGGTCGCACACAATTATTTGGCCAAGCCATTCGGGCGCGGCGCTCGCTCGCTCGCAGACGTAGAGGAAAAAGCCCAAGGCGCGCAGCTGTAAAAATAAAAGGGTGTTCGAAGCAACGAATGAACAAAACACGGTCGTTTCTCGGTTTGTTCTCGGCACGTACGGTCGGTCGGTCGGTCAGGCGGTGTCCGTCGGACGGACGGAGGGCTTTTATTTTTGGAGAGCAGTCGCTTGTTGATGTTGTGCTGACGATGAGGGCGGCAGCGGCAGGATGAAACTCAACTTCAGCTGGGTGGACGGCTTGCAGTCTGTCACGTAAATGACCTGACAAAGCGATCATGCAGAGTGGCAATGCTAACACCTTAGAGCTCTAACCATGACTTCCCGCCAGCTCTTCGTCCTGCACATGGCCTCCAGGTACAGCCGCTCGGAGGGACAAATCGCCGCTCAAGATGCAGAATTTTCTTATATTCTCTTTTTCACCCGGAGACAGTTTAACACGCAATTAATTCTCGACTGCAATACCGACGCAGTTTGTTTGCGCTTTGTACATTCTTCTTCTTGCTCTTTATTCTCTCTCCGCTTACTTTACTGTTGGTTTATTTTTAATTAATTTATTCTTAACCTTGCATTTGTTTCTACTTTATTTAGATGCCTTCATTTATTTTCGAGTAAATTAAAATATATTTAATTTTCTTTTAGATTTCATCGAAAATTCGTTTCTGTGCGGTGTAAATAATTCATGTTTCTTCAATTATTATAAAATTTCTTTTCCTATATATTTCTCTCTTGCTTAAAGATTTCAAGTTTCATGTCTTGAAAATTTTGCATCAAATTTTCTTTTCAGAAAATGTAAAAAAAAAATACTATATAGATTATATTTTTTAAGGAATTTTCAGTTATTAGTACACAAGTAAATAATTACATTTAAAAAAAAGCAAAAATGCTGGTTTGGATGGAATTTGTTTAAAAAGCAAAACATTTCTTGTTCAATATCTGGTTTCATCACGTGGAGTGCAAATGGAAAAAGAAGTGCGCAAAATGTCCGAACAGAGGCCGTCCGAAAATAAAACGCCACCAAAGTGTCAAAGTAAACACCTCCAACGTGCGTTCAGCATCGAAAAATAGAAGATCACGAACTAGCTGTTGCTTCGAAACTTTAATTCTACTCGGAATGCTCAGGATTTTAAGTCGCCATAAAAGTCACGGTGCGCCGAATATAAAAATCAGTTTAATTAGCAATTAAATTAAGCAAATTAAGCGACTCAGAGAACTTTTTGCACTTTTAATCTGGAGCAGTGGGTCAAGCAACGACCTCCAGATTACGCAACCGAGCTCTAATTACCGCAAAGTGAGGTGCTAATTTGGTGGTTGAAGAAAAAAGGGGTTTCGCCAGTTTCCAACAAAGGAGTAAAGCGAGCGCGCGGCCGCGAAAATAGCTGTGCCTAATTTTAAACGTAGACGCAGAGGACGCACATTTTCACGAAATGGTACATCCGCGTACTTTTTTCGCGTCAACCGCGAGTGAGAACGAAAATCGGCGTCGGTCCGGCAACACATGAATCAGGGTCTTGAGATGCCGATTCAAGGCTCCAAACGTTTATTTTTGGATTTCGAAATTACCTTAGTGTTTATTTCTGAGACGCAGACACCGTGAAATTTTGCGTGGCCCTAAATAACATACCTTTGTCGACAGAGTCGTAAAATCGTGGCTGACGAAAGGCTAAAATTGATAAAATAAATATTTTTCGGAGTTTTGGGCTGTAGACAAAAATAAAAAAAAAGAAAGTTTACGCTAAGAATTTAGCAATAGGGTTTGTAAAAATAATAAATTGTTAAAAATAAAGTAAAGGAGCCTTAAAAAATTATAAAAAACCGTATATACATGAAGTTTAAATTTAAACGGGATTATTTAGGGGGGAAAATACAGGCAAGAGGAAATATATTAAAAATGTCGGAACTGAAATTTCTCTTTTCACCTTAATTTTTGTTTAATAGGATATCGTATATACAGTATACAGTTTTTTTAAGAGAATGAATAAGGAAGCATTTTTTATGAAAATGTAGCAGTTGAAATTATTGAAATTTTTAAAGAAAAAAACCATAATTTTTTTTATTATCTCGAGTTCAAATCTAAATTAATGCATTTGAAAAATGATCAGCCGCGAGTGCAGTTCGAGTCTATTTTAATTCTCTAATCCCAACTATTTCTGGCGCACGTTGCAGGAGGCGGTTGGAGGCCAAAGTTGAAGACCTGTCGGCTCAAATCGCAGCCAAAGATGCCGAGATTTTCCAACTCAAGAACTCGTTGGGCGAGCTCACGCGGGAAGTCGGCACCAAGGCGGCCTGCATGGAGAGTGAGTTGAAATAATGCGCGAGTTTTATTTTGGTCCGGCTCACGTGGCCGGGATTTCCGATGAACGAGTGCACTGCCAACATGCGTCTCTAAGAGATAACCGAAAGAGAGGCCAAACACCATCTGGCAAATGAGCCAACCGACGAGAAATCACCCGGCAGTGCAACTCGATTTGGCACGTCAAGTGAATGCGGACGTGTGTTTGTTCCCAAGAATTAAGCGACACGTTTCCTCCCTAAATCACGCGCTAACGCGACTTGATTTATTCGCTGGTCAAAAATTCGCACAGATCGGGGAAGTAGTGAACTTGAGACCTGAGCAGATTTACAACTCTGAGGAAAACATTGCGAATAAAGATTCTTGGCAGTGCACTTGCTTGCGGTGCTTTTCGTACGTGTCAGGGTGGAGAAAACACGTTGCTTAAAACGGACTCGTTTGATTGATACAGGGGTGCAGGCCGAGTTGGATGCTGCGTGCAAGGAGGCTGAATTGGCCAAAATATCCCTGAAGAAATTTGTTGTTGAAAAAGAGAACTTTAGACATCAGAACGACGAGCTGAAGGAGGAGTTGGAAAAGAGAACTAGCAGTTGTAGTAAGTTTCAAGGCCTTTATTTATTTGAATCAATCATGAATCAAAATTAAATTAAATTTAAATTAATTAAATTAGCTGAAATTATTAGATGCACTACATAGTTTAGAAAAAAATTGAATAATTGACAGTAATAATATAAGAAAAAAAATTATCTTTCAGTATAGTTAAATTTGTAATGAAATTAATATTATAATAATTTCTTGAATTATTTATTATTTTATAATCAAATTTACAAAAAGGTGAGGAAGATGATTCTGACGAGGATGACGATGAAGATGAGTCGAGTGATGAGGAGGATGAGAGCAAGGGAGATTTGAAGAAGAAAGTCAAAGATCTTGAGGAGCAGCTCGCCGCCGTGACTGCCGAGAGGGACCAACTTTTGGCCGCAAAAGAAACGGCCCAGAAAGAATGGGAAGAAGAACTGAAGTCTGTGAAAGAGGCGCTGGACGATGCCGTGGCCCAAAAGCAGGCGGTCACGGCGAAGTACGAGAAAGAGTACGAGCAGCTGCGGACGGTCAACTCGGACAGGGAGCAACAGATGTTGGACGATTTTGAATGGAAACTGCGGGAGGTCCAGTCCAGCTCGAAGAAAAAATTGGAAGAGAAGACCAAGGAGGCGGAACGGCGCATCAAAGATATTCAAATCAAGCTGGACCAACGCATTGCCATGCACACCAATGACGTGAGTTGAGAGAGATATTTGCCAACATTTTAGTTAGAAACGCTGAGTAACAATTTCGGACAGTCGGTGATTTATTTCTGTCTCTTCTGCAGGTTGAAAAACTGAAAAAGATCGAAGCTGAAATAACGCAGCTCAAGAGCATGAGTCACGACCAACAACGACTTATCAGAGAGGCACAACGAGAACACGACAGTCTCCAAGTAAGTTTAAAGAACAATGAACCTAGTTTTCGATGTTTTCGCTCTAGCTGCTCTTTTGCGGCAAGTGACGCAAATGAGACGATTTTAACTATGTGCAAAATTTGTATTTAAAAATATAACACATAAGTTATTTTAATTTTAAATATTCATAAGAAAATTTCATATTTCAATTGAATTTCCAGGCAAATATTGGTATGCTGAATTCGGAAATAAGTAGGCTGAACGCTCAACTACTTAAAGAGCGAAATGTTTTGTCGGCTGTGCAGGTAGGAAATTTAAATATTTTAAATTAATGATATCTAAATTATTCCAATTTTATTAGGGTTTGAACCACAGAAAGCGAGAGGAACGTGAAGAATTGTTCAAACAACAATTGGAAGAGCAGAAGAAGCTAATCACACAAGAGGTGAGTTTTTTTAATCCGTCGCCTGCCAATATCATTGGTTATGCAACTTGCTCGACCTTACGGTGTTGAGGCGCAGTGTGCCCTGCGTACTAATTTTTATTTCGCCAGGCTGACGAGCGAATCCAGACGGAGGTGCACAGTCGCCTGCAACACCAAGTGACGGAGGCTTTGCAGAGGAAGCAGGGCGAGTTTGACCGCGAGTTGGCCGCCCAGCAGAGCAAGGCGCAGGAAAAATTGGAAGCCAGTCAGAAGCAAGTGCTGCACTTGAAGGAACAAATGGCCAGGCGGGAGGAGCAGCACCGCAAGGATATGTCCAACGCCATCCAGGAGTCGGACAGCAGCCGACTCGAACTGCGGCGCAAACTGGACAAGCTCGACCTCCAGTATCAGGACAAGGCTGAAGCGCTAAGTGAGGCGTAAGTACTTAGAAACAAAATTGATTATTTTTAAATTATTTAAATTGTTTATTTTTTTAGATTTTATAATTAATTATTTGTTATCACGAACATAATTAATTTTAGGCACGCAATTCAAATTGAGGAACTGGAGAAAAGAGCTAGTCAGGCCGAAATGCAGCTGGTTTCGTCCAAAGCAACTCTGGAGCTGGTCAAACAACAGATGACCAAAGACTTTGACGAGAAGTTCAACGAACTCTACAAGAAGCACCAACAACAATTAGGTACTATTTTTTTAAAATCCCTTTCAGCCTTCAAGGTTAAAATTATGGAAAATTTCAGCAAGGCAAAGAGATGAATTGCAAGAAGTCCACGAAGAGGAAATTGCAGCTCTGCAAGCGCGACACATGGCGGAAATCGCAGCCCTTTGCAAAAACAAAATGAATGTGAGTAGATATTTAAAAAAATTATCGCTTTTTATGAGACAATTAGCCTTATTCAAAATTCTTTGTAATATATCTGCATGTTCCTGATTGATAAGCAGGCGTGTTGTCTCTCAAATTTTTTGTTAATTGTTAAAGTATTAAATTTTTCCAAATGAAAATTAGAAATTTAATTCTCAGGAGTGAACTTGAAAAGAATCTACCAATCTGCGGCAGCAAAATTCGGTTGGAAAGTTTAATTTCAAAAAACTCTTCTGCTTTCCTATTATTTACTTAAAATTTAATTTGGCCTTGATTTAAATTTTTCTACTATTGGGGTATCTAGTTTAAAAAAATGTTTGACGGTCTTGTCTTTTGACTTTTTTGCAGTGGCTTGGCTGGCTGATTCCTAATTCGCAAACTAGATCTTAAAATGTAAGCACTGGTCTCCGTGAGGCTAACGCACTGGCCTGGTGTGTGCTTTTTTCGAGTCATTTGCTATATTTTTATTTCACTAACCTGCATATTTGCAAAAAATGAAATCATCTCTCTAACTAAAAATCACGCGCCGTGTTACAGGGAGACATCGAAATGGTCGATTCGGTCGCCCACCAGGAGGTCCTCAACAAACTGAGGTGAGTCTCTAACTCTTTGCGTGCACGCAATTTAAGTGTCCCCAAATTTTTTATGTTATTTTCGTCCGTCTTTTTTCGTTGCTTGGGCATGCGAGTGAGAAGACAGAGCAGGTCACTCAAGTAGTAATTTTGATGTTTTTCCGCCAGAAGCGTGCCCCAGGAAGCTGTCAAAGTGTCCCAGCCCAAACTGGCCCTCCTCCTCCCCCTGCTGGTGTGGGCGTGCGCCGAATCACCCGGTCTCGCTTTGGCCGCTCTTTTACTCATAACGGCCGCCTTCCTCATGGCCAGAAACACCGCCTGATTTTCTTTTCCGAACACATATGAAAAGTGATAAAAGACAAGGAAAGACCAGTGTCGTGCTGTGATAAAAATTCTTCTACGCATATTTACTCTCTCTATCATTAAAAACTTTCTTTTTCGAGCGTCGGATGTTTTCTATAACTGATAATTTCCGATGTGAAAGACTTTTTCACTAGAATCATTAGGAGTTTTGCTAAATTTTTTAATTGTTTTCGACCGAGAACGATTTAAAGGAGGTCGATTTGTATTTATATGTGACATAAATCCGCAATCCTCTTCAATCCCATCAAACCACTCATTTTTGTCTTTCTAATTGGCTGTGAAGATTTTTTTAATTATCATAAAAGGTCACCTCCTTTCTCTAATTATAATGAATTTAACATATTATTCGAACACGTGAGTTCTTTGTAATGTTCATGATTTATTATCTCTCGAATTTTGCAACAATATTAGTTTAACCTTCACTTCAACTCTCTCAAGTCGTAGAGACGGCAGAAAGCCCCCGTAAGTCGCAATATCATGTCGATTCCATTAACATACGTACTTCAGTGATCTGCACTGTGCTCCACATGCGTGCGTCTGTCCTTCTCTCGCTTCATTTTCATCATTATTTTTAGTAGTTAAATGTTATTTTTGACCGAGCCAGTCGCCGGCCCTCCGGCCAGTGCTTGGCAAGTGTAGAAAAAGCATTTTGTTGCTTCCCGTCTGTATAACTCTTTGGCTGTCGCTGTCCTTTTTTTGTAATTTTACTAATAATAAAGTTAGCAAACAGCTTCTATTGACGTTTTGTTCCAACTCTGAGAGGTTGAATTTTATTTAGAAATCCCACAAAATAGCAGATTTTAAATATTCTGAGTAATTAATTTTATTTTATCTCGTTTATTGCTGATTTTTCCACAGAATTGAATTAAATTACTTATTTTCCCAGACAAATTCTAAGAGTTGAATGGATTTAATTAATTATTGGTGTATCACAAGGCAATCTGTGTCTGCAACAAGATACTGCATCCAGATATTCAAAATATAGAAATGAAAGTTACAAAAAAAATTGGAAAAACACAAATACATAATAAAAATTTCTGAAGAAACCGCTCTTTGAAAATAAAAATTATATTTGTTAAAGTCACATATTTTTGTGATAATCATTTAAAATCTTAGAATTATTGTAGATATCTTGAATTTAATTAACGCACTAACAATAAGAGAGGAATATCAGAAGGCAAAAAAATTTTAGCAATAAATTCTCAATAAATTACGCTGTACTTTACAACTAAATATTAATAATCAAAATCAAATTACTTTTATTTATTTTAACTTCAAGATGAATTATAAATTTTAATAAAATTATCACTCAATCAATAAAAAAAAATTAATTAAATATAAAAATTAATAATTTTACTTTGATTGCCATCAGTGTAAAACTGTATAAAAATCATAATAAAAATATAAAAAAAAAATTAAATTTAGTTAAGATTAATAGCTGCTAAAAGTAAAATAATGAAGTTAATATTTTTCAAAATTAATAATAGTATTTTCTGATCATAATTAATTACAATTTATTTTTTACAGAAAACAAGAGCTGATGATTTCGGATTTGGTTGCCACGATCAGGGAACAGGACCACGCACTCACTACCATGACTCAGGAGAAGAGAGAACTGCAGCTTCAGCTCAGGAACAACAACCAGCAGCAACCTGAGAACGTGATCGCCAGCAGAGGGTCCATGTCGCGAGTTTTACGCAAGATCAGCGAATGTACCGAGCCGAGTCGCGAGTCTTCGATGGATGAATGTGAGGTCCGAATCGAAGAGGTGTTGGACGACGAGGAGACGGAAGTGGCCAACGACTTCCTGATGGTTTTGACCGAGGAGGAACTGCTGAAGGTGTCGCCCAGTCCGTCCGGCTGCAGCTCGGACCCAAAAACAAGCTTTTCCGAGGAGGACGAACTGCAAGTGCCGAGGACTTATTTCATTTGTCACAGTCCGGACCAGGTCTTTCCCGCTTTCAAAAGGTTACGACCTGAAAGGTGTCTTTCTCTGGAGCTGGGTTGCGTCAGTGGAACACCATTCTTCGGCAGGGCCAACAGCTGCCCGGCCAGGCTGACCAGTGACGACGGCTGGGGCGACTGATCAGATTGTGTTAATAAAAAGAGTGGCAGATTTTGTGGAACCAAGCGAGAATGAGAGATTTTTTTGTATAAAAAGAGGAAATAATAAAAAAAAAAAAAATGCAAAATATAAATTTTTTAACTCTATTTTTAATGGCGCATCCACGCTCGATTGCGTGAGAAAATCAGAGCTGATGACTTTTTAATGGTCAACCGCACTTTTTTGGAAAGGGCGACGAGCATTGCGAAGCCAAATGTGTTACTGGCCTTGAACAGGCCCTGCTGAGAATGCTAATTGACTGCACAAAAGACGCAGTTGCGGTCTCTCTTTGGGGGAAAAAAACAAGCGCTTCCCACTTTTGGTTTTGCATAAAAAGGCATAGATTCCAAAATGGCAAAACAATAACAAAAAAGTGCAAATAATCGCTAAATAGATTGCCGAAGCACGATCAAAATTTTCTGTTAAAAATGTTTAAACTACCTGTGTAAACACATTTTTATTTAACAATTAAAGTATTATTTAAAAATTTTACTTTAAAACATAGTTTTTTCATATTATCAAATATGTATTTGATTAAATTCAAAAATGTTATTTAAAAAAAAAAATTATTATAACTAATTATATTATATTTTTATTCAATTTTATTAAATATCTCGACAATTATTATTTTAAATTCTTATGATTACTTCTTAAAAATATAGACATATTATAAAATAAGGAAAATATTATATTATACAAAAAGGAAAATCCCTTAATGATTCAACAGTTCAACACCTTTACGTCCCTTTTAACGTTCAATGCCTTACAATTGAAGAGTTGTGTGTGCGCAGCAATAATTATTATGGCACTCGACCGCTATTGTGAATAATCACGAGTCAAACTAAAGAGGAGTGTCAACAAGAAGGGAAGGACTTCCTTTGTCTCCAAGTCCGATCCTTTGCTATTTTATTTTATTTGAATGCGCGCACGTGAGGCAATCAGCTTGCGAGAGAAAGAAATAGAGGATGGCGCAATTCTCTTGAACTTGAAATATATTGGAAGTGCGTGTCGCAACTGATTTCACATTCACACACACGAACAGTGGTCCGAATCATGATATAATATATTTGAAAAAAAATGTGCTACCGAGAGAGGAGACATGAAGAGCGAAGCATTGACCTAATGGCGCAAATGCAGGTCACGCCGCCCCACTTCGACCGCAGTCTTAAGGTCAAGAGTGAGTGAAAGTGAAATTGTTGATAAACACAGCGGAGCGCCGCCACCAACAGGAGCAGATATAGATTCGAATAATTTAGCCTTTTATCACTCGCGCCAACGCACCTGCGTATCTTTGATCAGTCAGGGCGCCCCACATTTGCCCAGCACAATGTAAAACAAGTTTGGCATGCACGCGTGTTTCAAAACTTGGCATAGGCTAATTGCCTAGTGTTGCACTTCATTTGATCCTTCATAGGCGTCGGAATAATTTTTTTATTTGAAAAGGCGTGTTTCTAACAATAAGGGAAAACCCTTGGTTTTGATTGCGTGTTGATGCTGAAGACACAAAAAATTAATTGATTTCGCTAGATTAAAGAACAATGAGGAAAATTTAAAAAAAAACGTCCTATGGAAAAATCCCTACAGTAATAATTGTTGCATGGGCATTAAAAACAAATTAATTGAATTTGATTTGATTTGTATGCATTTCATAATTCTTTATTGCACACAATTATTTTCAATTCACTGTGGTTTATTCAAACGTCAATAAATACATAATTTTTTTTTTAATATTACGATATGAGGAAAATACGAATGTTATTTCATTAAGCAAAGTCACGTTTGATGGCAAAAAATGCTCCGTCGTCAAACTTAAGCAATATTGAAAGTGCACTTAAAAGCTCTTGTCACGAGAGCAAACTCACGTAAATAGTGCATCAAATGACACATAGTTTGCAAGTTTACAATGTTCTTTTGCAGCATAATTAACTTCATTCAAAAGCAATTATTATTTCCCTTGTTTTAAATTTTTTGAGAACATTATATTCTTAATTTGAATATTTAAATTGCTGAATTTAAATAAATTAAAACCTTAATTTTTCTCACTTTCTCAAACGACCCTGATTTTTTAACGGCAAAGTCAACAGTCAACACCCCTCGCTGAAATAATATTTACTTAAATAGTGATGTTTAATTTTTGAATTATCTTAAAAAACTGTAAAACTTTTACAGAATTACAACTCATATATATTATAGTCATATTTGAGCTTGTGAAATATATGCAATAGAACATGATCATCTGTCATCATGAAATCTAAAAAAATCTTGAAAAAAAATATAAAATTGTTTTGTATTATCTTTTTATATAAATCTATTGCTATTATCTTCTAGTTATGAAATATGCTCAGCAACTTCCTGCTATTATAACAAAAAGCCTGGTAATGAGCCTCACGCCTATTCAAGGTTGAAAAGTGACATTTGTACCTGACAATAATTAACTTGCAATCTCTTCCAACCGCAACAATCCAGCTATTGTTATTATAGAGCATTGATGGAAAATCCATGACTCAAGGCAAAGTTAGCTGCAAAGAGACGACAGACTTTACTCTAATTTTGGGCGGAAGTGCAAAGGTCACTAAACCTTCTGGTAGTTGCATGCAGGTCAAGGTGCAGGTGCAGGCAGGTGTGCTTTTTGAATGCTGCTGCTGACACTTTTTGTGCGTCTCATCGTGCCCTTGGCGGCGCCCAGATTGGACTACAAAAGAACCAATGCATTTCTTTTTGTTGCAGAGTGAGATGGCATTTTATCTCTCTTGCGTCATTCCAAATTGTATTCTCGAAAAAAGTTCTTTTGTTTGCTCATTGACGTGGAGGCGCTAAATGATTTTATGATCGAGGTTTTCACGGTCTCTGTCAATAATTCTCATCTTGACATTTGAGAATTGTTAAGCCTCGGCAGTACAAAATTTATTTTATTGTTTTAGCATCTCATTTATTCGATAATATTTATTCATTAATCAGCTTTCAGAATATATTGCACATAGAGCCACAATTTGCAAGCAGTCAGCCAGCAGTCAGCAAGACTGGACCAGGGTTTGAACCCTTCATTAGCAACGCATTATTTACACATTTACTAGCTAAAAGTCTTGCAAACAATAAATTTAAATAAAATATAATTATAGTTATTATTATTTTAAAAAAGATAAATAAATTAACTTATATATTTATAAATTAAAATTCTTAATTTACTACAAACAAAAATACAAATTTAAAAAAAATTTTAAAGAAAAATTTTATAATTACCATATTATTTTTTAACAATGTTGTATAAACAACATAACCAACATAAACTTTGATCAACAAAAAGTAAGAAAACTTCTAAGAATAAATTATATTTTGATCAGTATTTTCATGAAATTTATTATTAAAGACAAAAAAAGCTATGATGATTTTAATGTAAAACTGGAGTTTCTAAATCTTGCAAGAAATTTATCGAAACGTCAATTTATCTTTAAAAGTTTTTTGTAAGTTGAAAATCATAAAATGTGTTGCATATAGGCATGTTTCCGAGTGAACGAATTTCCCGGCTGCTGCGTTGCAGACAAAACAGAGTGCACTGGGGAAAAAAAGAAAATCTCGACCGAATATCGCACTTTCATGCACTTTCTCATTAGAACAGGTTCTGAAAATCCATCTCTAATACGGTGCCTCCCGAGAGTGCTCGCATAATAATAATAGCGCGCGAGTCGCCGCCGCTGCCACCGAGATGAAAATGAAAGTGCGTTGCGGCAACACATTGCTTGCTTTTAGTGCGCCGAGCAATATTGGAGCAAGCAGTGTCAATTAAATAGGCACGGCCGACAGATGCAATAATACAAATAACTAACTGACCAGCTGAAAATGCACAATCTCGTTCCTCTAATCAAGAATGTAGTGGAACTAGTCTTGTTGTGTAATTGAACAGAGCATCGCGTAATCGCTCTTGTAGAAAACACGTTGTTGATGTCAATTGAAGACTAAAGGTCGCTCAAATCACCATTAAATCAACATAAAATTGAAGATTTATCTTTTATTTCTTCTACAAAGTAAGCTTTAATAAATAATGTAGTAACATAGAAATTCAAATATCTTGAGGTTAAAAGCAAAGTTTCGTATACTTTAAAGTTTTGCAATAATTAAAGAAGTCATTTTTGTCTTGAAATCAGCCGGTCAAAAAAGTAAAGAAAAAAAAATATTTAGTTTTATAAATGTAATAACTTTAAGGCCTCAAATTATAAAATGTTATATATTATATATTATTTACGGAAATCAACTTCGGATTCTATTTCCATTTTATTTGATATGGCGCATGAATGTACTTAATTATTATTTTTTTTAAATTTGTATTAAATTAAAGCTGTATTTTCTACTAGCCGAGATTAATTGAGTGTAAAATATTACCGACCTTTATGTGAAAAACTCAAATGATTAATTGAATATCAAACGTTTAAATATGATAAAATGTTAAAAATTAAAATATTAATCATGCACTAAAAAATATAGAGTGCGAGTTCTTAATAATTCTTGGATTTCTTGAAGGACTATCAATAAATGAAAGCTTGTAAATGACTCTCGAATTTGATTGTCATAAATCATCACATAGAAGCTAATATTCCTTTAATTTGCAAGTTCCACTAACTTAATACATTATGCAAAGTATGTATTTGCCAGTTTTTTCCTTGTCCGTAAAAGAAGGTGCTGGTAGATAGCTCTAGCAGCAAACCAATCGACTATGGCCTTGCTTTCTTCTGCGAACAATAATAATTCAATGAAACAAAAAGATGAATCTCTCAGAGTAACATTGAATTCAATTATTACTCGAGTGAGAAAATCAAAGTTATGTGATAAATCTCGAGATACTGATTTTAATTAATCTCGGCAAAGCTGCAGTGCGTGGAGGCGAACCCCTTTTTGCTCCCATATAGCGCCGGCGAACGAAAGTGAAACCTGGACTGGTGGAATGGCGAAGTGATGCAAGTAGTGTATCATTGCAGAGAGTCAAGGTCCAGCAGGAGGGGGCCTCTGTCCGAATTGGACCGTTTTGTCGCGAAACTGCGATTTGCATTGCCGCCGGTCGATCCGCGGCTAAAGGTGGTTTGGCGCGTGAGGCTCTTTCTTTGTCAAGTTTAGCTTTTTGTCCAGTCTTGGGACGCGGCGCGGCGCCTTGTGGAGGGGCTTTGTTCGGCATTTCCTTGCTGCACCGACAGCCTCACTCTGCACTGGCATGGCCTGCGAGAGCTGCTAGGCCTGTGGCGTCGCTCAAAGTTATTTATTTTTCCGTGTGCTAACCCACAAAACACTCATTTGGATCACTTTTGCAATAAGGAATTCCACAAAAAGGTCAGTTTGAAAAAATAAACTAAATTTATTTTTATACAATTTTCACTCATTTTAATAACAATTTTGATTCAACATTTTCCGGTAAACATTTAAACAAGGAATTTATTTCAGCTTCTTTTCGATTTTTTTTGGTTCGATCAGTTTTTAAAGCAGAACGAAAAGAATGAATGAATTATGTCATTTGGTAGTGTTACGGGCTGAAACCGGTTATTGCAACGCTCGCCGCTTTGCATTTTAGTCGGAGCTTCATTCGAGAGAGCTGATTATATTGAAAATAGGCGATTAATTTTATTGCTAGGTAGCATGCGAGCAACAACCTTCACATATATATATACCATGGATTATAATTTATTCCAAGTACTCGCAAGTCAACGCAGTACGCAGATAATACTAGTAACATGTGAAGAGGGCAAATCTAATTATAAGGTTCTTTTAGTTGCCTTCAATGATTTCCAGTCCTTCTTTTTCCTTCACTTTTATCTCCAATTTTTCATGAAGAAGCAGAGCGTGAAATCGCGAATGGTAATTATGAGCGTATTATTGCAGCATGAATTATGTTTCTTAATAAAAGCAGATACTTGAATTTGCAAACGACTGGGACCATTGTTTTGCGTGAATCATGATTTCCTTCCACACTTAATTTCTATGGAATATGAAATAATCGCCACCAATTTTCAAGGCGCATTAATTCATGCCGCGGAGCAAATAAAAACACATTTTAAAAAAGTTATAGATGAATGACAAATTTGCTTTATATTTTCAAAAATAGACTTATTTTAATTATTAAGAAACATTATGGGCGGATCCAAATTAAGTCTTCCGCCCTATATAAATCTGCAGATTTTGTTTGGTAATATTTTGAAACATTTTGAAACAAGGAAACTGAAACAAGAAAATGAATTTACCAGTTTAAACTGGCAAAATGCGCCAATTAACCGCTAGCGCCAGAGTAATAATTATATACCGGTCATATCGACAGAATTAATGAGAGTTATTTAATTTGACATTCAAATTCCTTTACTCCCCCTGCCTTGATTAATGTTTATTATGGCATTGATAGGCCGCATTTACCGATTAATTTATAAATAGACCACAATTATTAATAGTGTGTCTTATCACTGTATGGAAAGACTTCTGCCGATTGAGCTTATTTATTTAAATGCCTTTTCAATGTATACAATTTCTGGCGCAGTACGATGAAAAATGTCAATTTCAACAGGAGCTTTTGAATTTTGATTTTGTTTGTAAATAAATTATATTGTTATGTTGGATTTTTTGAATTGCAGTGAAGCATACAATAAAAATGTTGTTGAGGGCAACGGCCTTGGTTTTCTGCCTGCTAGCCTTTGGTGAGTAAAAAATTTGTTGATTTGTTGAATATTAAATTATTTTGTCTGGGCTCAACGCATTGCGATTAAATTTTTTTGCACAATTCCTCTCTCTTGAAAATTAAGCAATCACTAATTAAAGTCATTCTTCGGAACGAAAAATGAGCCCGAACGACTCTCGTCAATGTCACGTTCTTGTTTTTCGCGTAGGCCACGCGGCCCAGTTCAACCTCACGGACAGCTGCAACCGCCCTCCGGAGGCAGACAATGCTGCTCTGGCCGCCCTTTTACAGCTTGTGCCGCCGCTGCCGCCCCTTAAGAGCGATAATGACGAGTGTCGCCTTCACAGCCGCCTCTTCCACGAGGAGCTTCAAGAAATGAAAATGTGGGCACTCAAAAGTAAGTAAAAAATGGTTTTTAGTAAAATTATTAAATTTCAAGAAGATGTCGCAAATAAAATGGAAATCAATAAATAGATATTCTAATTATACTTTTTTAATAGCTTGTGAAATAGCACAGAGCAGAGCTTTTTACTTGCGATAATTAGCTCAAATAATTTTATAAATGAAATGAAAAATAAATAAATGACATTTATTTAAATATTTAAACAAATTTATTGTTTTCATAAATAACTTTTAACATAACAAAGGTGAAAATAAGACAGAAAAGTCAATGTTTTCTAATTAACTCAACATTTAGTTAAAATTCTACATGTTTTGAACTAAAATTAATGAATATTCAAAGTGTATCTTCCGATATAAGAAATATAAAAAGAGGATCGACCGTGACAGGACTCGAACCTGCAATCTTCGGATCCGAAGTCCGACGCCTTATCCATTAGGCCACACGGTCTACATTGAGCGCAGAGAACACCAACTGTATATATTCGGGAAAGCAGTGTTGCACGAATGCGCGAGAACAGTGGTGGGGGCAGCGCGCGGAGAGTTTGAAAGTTTATAAGGGAGCTTGCTGTGCTGATTATATAATTTTGTAATTCGTTCGAACAAAATGTTAAAATTCATGCACGTCCAAAAATTAGAAAGTATCAGTTTTTTAATGTATTAAATTAATTGATGTACTTTAAATGGTAAATTACATAACATACTCAAGGTTTAAAATGACTTTATTTTTCTTGCTTAATGCATGGCGGCATTCAAAATAACGATAATTAAAAAATTATATATATTATATAGCTTTGTAATTCGTAACCCTTTGTAAATAATTATAAAAAATTTGGCCATTCATCCTGTAAATATAAAAATATATTAAAAAAATTAGATTTTTTCTTACCTTTTACTAAAAAAAAGGGGGAATCGATTCATCTACTATATAGGTGGATCAGCGGCTGTTTTGTGTATGTCGATCTGACGCGATGCCAAATGAAAACTGACCCGGTCCAAACTCATTGCTGAAAACATGAGTAGCAAACAAAGTTCGCAGACATGCGTAGCACATACTGTATTATAATCCAGCAGGGGGACGGTAGAAGGGGAGAGATTTTGGCGCAATGCGCGGGGAGTTGATAATAATAATAATAATAATAATAATAAGGAAAAATGCTAATGTGAAAGCTTTTTATCACTTTACTAATTATTCTAAAATATTGAATTGAGATTTAAAAAAAATCCTGTTCCTGTTGTATGCCTGTGAATTTTTGACTATTGATTATTTAAATAACATTAATTTTTCACTGGTACCTTTTATCATTTAAAATTTTAACGTTATGTGCTTCTAGATGCATGTTTAATAAATCTGTTGTTTACAAAACATATACTCTGACATTTTTAAATTATACAGCAAATTATTGTAAACTGAATCAATAAAAGAAATCGTTTATTATGTTACAATAATTTCTAATATAGATCCGCACTTTTACAGTGTACGACTCTAACAGCAAGATTGGCTCGAGCCTGCTGAACGGAAATTTGGTGCACTTGGGCGATTTTGACCAGTGCGTGTCTGTCCTGCGGTCTCCAGAGCAAATGGGTGGAGGACCCCGCGTTCGTGGCCGGTATTGCGCCGTTTCCATTTACCTCGAACCAGTCGGTTTACCAAAAAAGTGGCGCGAACTGCACTCGATCATCGACCTTATGAAGTCGCACAGTGCCATGAGCAACGAGCACCAAAATGTTAAACACAAATTTCTTCTCCGAAATGAAACTAAAAATAAATTTTTAGAACGATCTCCACCTGCCGACGTTCAGTCCGGTGCAACTCGGCTTCTGCATCCCGGACAGTTGCGGCCACCAAGATTTGGAAAAGAGCATTTTGGAGTTTTTGAGACCGATCAATATTACCTCCGGTATTGATTTCAAAGTCAAAATTGGTGAAAATTCGTGCCGAAATGGGGATGCTAATTCAATGGACATCTGGACGGCAATCACAGTGTAATTAATTATTTTAAAATTAATTAAAAAAATTACAAAATTAATTATTTTAGTTTGTTTGTGGCGTCTCTTCTGCTGTTCGCTTTGATTGGAACGCACCACGAGAAGGCGCACACTGCTGAAGATGGTTCTTTGCTGCCCACGGCCACGAAAGGTGTCTGCAGCTTTAAGTAAAATTTGGAATTTAAGCTAATTAGCTCATTCTTTTTCAATAGGCACTTTCAATCGACTGCTGCTGGCATTTTCATTTCGGCGAAACTGGCGCTCTTTAGTGGACACTGACGTGCCCGAAGACGAGCTGAGTTGTCTGCACGGCATGCGATTTATTGCATCCCTCATGATTTACATAATCCACAAAGTGGTTTTTATTCTCTTCCATCCCTTTTCAAATCGCACAGACGTGGCAAATGTACGTTAGTTGGTATTAAAATTAATTTATAACTCGATTAATTATTAAATTTAAAGCTCTTGGAGGGTGACTGGACCATGATTTTCCGCGCTTTTTGGAACTGGGTGGACGCGTTCGTCATCATGAGTGGACTTTTAACTTCATTTTACGCATTTAAAAAGCTGAAAGCTGGACAAAGATTGAATATACCAAAAATGTACTTCCAGAGATACCTCAAGTACGTAAATAAATAACGTAGTTTGAGTAAGAATAATTTCAAATTTTGGCTCCGCTCTTTAGATTCACACCGATGGTTTTCGTGTGGAGTTTAATGCTTCAGAATTTGATGCAGCACCAAATCTCTGGCCCAAATTTGATTAGAATTGTTGGTCCTTACATAGACAATTGCAAACGGGGACTGCTGCCAGTATTAACTTATACGAGCGTGTTTGACGGGCTGAACAAAATGGTAAAAGAATAGCTCTGTAAATATACATCGACGCAGAAATAAAATTTTTCCTCTAGTGCTACCCTCCTGCACATCAACTGGTTACGGATATGCATATGTACATAATGGCTCCATTTATTATGATGGGGATTTGGAAATATCCCAAGAAAGCACCGGCTGCTCTTCTTGCTGTTGTTGTTGCACTCGGCGCGATGAAATATTCCACGGTGATGAAAAACGATCTTGGATCGTTCTTATTTTATGGAATGTCGTAAGTTTTTGTACAAATATATGTTAGAATTTTATTTAAAAATAATAATTCCAATTAAAAATTATAAAATTTCTAGTACAGAGACGACGGTCAGGTCGGCAAACGCAATTTACGTCAACGCCCTGCATCGCCTGACCCCATACTTGATGGGCCTAAGTCTCGGCTACATTCTGCAGATAACCGAGTGCAAAAGGGTGCTGAGCAGGGTGCAAATGGCAGCAGGAACTGCCATCGCCATCGGCTGCGCCACATATGCGATGTTTGGAGTGTCCCACACGGCGAGAAAAGGATACATTTACCAAGTGTCGGAGGCCGCGGTTTTCGCCACTTTCCAGCCCCTCATGTGGGGATTCGCCCTCTGCTGGCTTGTTTACTGCTGTGCCACTAAACAAGCACCATGTTAGATTTTGTCATCAATTTGTTATAACAAAAATTATAATTGACGTATTTATAGGTTGGCTCCGTCGATTCTTGACGTGGCGAGGCTTTCTTGTCTATTCGCGCCTCTCATACGCTATCTACCTCACACAATTATACGTGGTGGCAGTAAATGTTGGAAATGCAGTTGACGCCACCAGATTTGGCGTCCACAGAATTGTGAGTTTGAAATCATTGCGAAAAAGATTTTTTTATTTTTGTATATCAAATTTTCAGTTTGATTTGAACGACATTGCTTTGGTCGGAATTATTTCGTTGCTTAGCACATTGATTCTGCTTTTACCACTGCAAGACGTGTCAACGTTGATAAGTGGGGGATGTAAGTTGTATTTTTTTTTTTTAATTCAAGCTTTCATTGCATAATTTTTCTATAATTGTAGACAAGCCTCCTAATTATTCAAAGTACATCAAACCTGTTGGCGATCTTACAAAGGAAGTGAGCAGCTCAACCGAATGCCTAGTTGAAGCTGTTGAAGAATAAGGTGGACAAGATTGCCAGTACTACTATAGAAAAAATCTTGCCACAAGATATGTATATTTTTTTACAAATGACATTCAGTGGTGTTGAACTGGGATATTTTTCAATCTTTTCTGATTGCTTTAAGAAGGATTTTAAAAACTTGTATTGTGCGTGGGAAAGAAACTTTCCTTCTCTGACTGAATTATCTATTTACTTCACTATTTTTAAGTTAAACGAATGAAAATTAAATTATATAAAACACAAGTTAAGGTATAAGGAGGAGATGCAATTTTATTTCAATACAGTTCCAATTTACGTTAATTTGGTCTTGTCATTTCGTTTTGCGAACGCGTTCCACATTTCAAGAATCGGGACCAAATATATTACTGTGAAGTAAGTTCCAAGAACGACGCATGCCAGGAACTCGTGCAAGTTGAACTGAAAATTAAATGAAAAAATATCAATTGAATAAGTTAGGCCGCCAGTTGAGCTCTGATGTCACGCCGGTTGTCTACTAGGAGAATGTGCAGGCGCTCATTCCAGACTCACCAGTTGGAAAATAGAGAAGGTGTTGGCGGAGCGGACGGAAGCGATCCAATAAAGTAGGACTGGTATTTGGACCAAGTTGAAACCTAGACCGAGTCTGGTGCACATCACAAACCAGTAATTACTTAGGAATTTATTTAGGCTCTCTAAAATTAGATGCTTTATTTTTTGCCAAACACAAAACTTTGAGACTAAATTTACCTGCATGGCCGGTAGAGCAAATAAAAACGAGCCAACTCAGAACAAAAGCCCACAAGAATGGCTGAATCAGTCCATATACAAGAGTTTTCTAATTCGGAGAGAAATAAGAAATAAATAACTAATTTTTTTATTATTTATAAATAAGTACGCTCACTTCGTAATGGTGGATATATCCTTCTTCAGAGGTTTCTGAATGCCAAGCAACACAATAAATGGCCATCAGGACGGCAAGAACGTTTCCCAACCACAACAATTTCTGATAAAAAAAATATCATATTAAAATGAGATTAAATTAACTTTTTAATACTTTATTAAGTTGAATTTTGCAGTTTATTTTTTGTAGGTAGCAACCACAGCAAAGTCCAATTAAGTAAGTAGGGAGGCGCATTATTGCGGGGAACAGCAGGTGATTTGCAACCTTGATTGTTGTTTTTCGACTAGAAATTAAAAATAAATCAAATTTTTAAGCGTAAATTTCGTCGAAAGCTCACTCCATATTATTATGAGCAATGGTTGGCACGTCGTACATCTGGATTACATGGTACTTGTAATAAGAAACCAAGGTGCACAACATGTAAATAAAATTGATGGTTCTGGACGGGTATTGCCAAAGGCCGATCACGATAAAAGGTGCCAACGTGTAAAGCAGCAAGTCGGTCGTCAGATGGTTTGACGTGTCGTAACACTGATTTTTTTTTTTAATTTTCAAGTTATTTGTTTAAGATGAGACATCCCAATTCCAAAGAAAGTTTGTATGCAATTTCTATTATTCCTGTTTTCCTCAAAATGTCAATTAATTTTTGCCCAATTTTGTATCTTCCATTTTTTTCAATATAAATCTTATCTACATTGAAAAGTGTAAGTTAGGCGAAATATGAGCACAATAGAAGCTATTTGTTTTTCTATATTTTAATAGTTTTCAATGTAAATTAGCTTAAGAACAAATTGGCAAAAATTAATAGACCAAAAGTGTGCAGTGCAAGTTGCATACCAACTTTGATCAAAATTTGTGTATCTCAAAAACACAATTAGTTTTTTTTACGTTGTTTGGAAAACCATTAAAACTGGACGTAAAAGTGGCCAAGGTCCAAATTTTTCCGCGACAATTGTTGACGGTAAATTCCAAGTAGCGCATCCAAAGGGGCCCACTGCAAATGTACGGCGCCAAGTGCGTGTAAGAAAAGGCGATCACCACCAACAGAACGGCGAATCTACACGCATGATTAATTAGGAGACGCTCTAATAATTTTAAATAATTTTCCACCTTATGTATCGCTTGATGTACATTTCAAGGATGTTGAGCTGCTTTCCGTTTTGGAGAACGCGAGCTGCATAATAGGCCGTGGTGACGGCGCTCAGGAAAATGAAGCCGTCCACGTAGTTCCAAAACATTTTTACCACGAGCGTCCACTTCTGGTTCATCACGGCGAACAATTCCAATTTATTGGTAGCGGGAATCGACGTGAATCCGGCAGTTTTGTGAAGAAAGAAAAGCAAAAAGATAAAAACGGCTCTGATTCCGTTGACGCAGCCCAGTTGGTCTGATTCGGTCGGACGCGACCAAAGCAGCTTCCAGTTGCGCCCCAAAGACAAGGCTAACAGGAAGGAATTGTTTTCCTGCGGTTTCCATCGCGCTTCTCTCAGCCAGCAAATTAAGCTCAAAATTAGAGGAAATACGAGCAAAAAACTTGAATAGAAAAATATAAAAATCTGCACAATAATTAATAGACACATTCTTACATTGCGAAAATAGCTTCAGTTGAAAATTCGATTGTGTCATTTGTCCGGCAAAAACCATCCCTGATGATAATGTCAGCATCAAAGGGGGTGTCTGCGATGAGTCCAGCGACCTTTTCTTTCAACATGTCTACAGCATCGACTTCATTGCAAGCGTCTGGCAAACACATTCCCACAAGAAATACGTTGTTTGCAACGTTATAAAACGTTGGCTAATTCATCAAATTCATGTGAAAAAATTAAATATAAAAAAATAATTTAATTACGTCAGTCAAATTTCCTGTCACAAGTCTGTTGACTTGTGCGAGTTTCAATAATTGAGGAAATATTTGGCTGCTGTTTTCATTTACGCTAAACTCAATTTCGGGAAGACAGTATTTGCCCCTGATTTTAGTTTCCTAAAATATAGATTCAAATTATTTTGTTTTACTTTTCTACTGTTTCATTTAGAAATTTAAAACCTTCTTTTCAGAATGTGAAACGACGCTTAGACATTGCTCGTAATCTCCCAGTAGATCAACATTGCCCTCTAAAATTCCAGACGGAATCTTTGCATTAGCATCCAACACTATATGAGTCAAAATTAATCAAAATGAAACCTTAGAAAATAATAAAATTTAACAAAAAAAGCTCACTCCTTAATGCCCAAGGCTCCAGATTTTTTATAGATTTGTGGAAATATTGCATGTTTTGCCTGCATTCTGGATTAGTTCCAAGGTATTCGAGGCTCTCTGCCCTTAATTTTTCGCCAAATGTGTGGCCAGCGGAGGGTACAAAATATATGGCACCTAATATTGTGCAAAAAAAAAACAATGAAAATGAATTTAAAAATTTCGTCTTGGAAACGTGGAAATCGGAAAAGGTCACACTAAAAATTTGCAGGCGATCAATAATTATTTATAACAAACTGTTTCACTCTGATTTCAAAAATATTGCCCTAAATGTATAGGTACCCTTCAAAAATATTGTCTAATATTTTTTTTTAAACACACATTCAGCTTTCCTTAAATCAAGCAAACTCTTGAAAAATCTATCACAAAACATTATCTATTTTATGTATTTAAATTTAAATTCAAAAACGCTGAACCTGGTTAGAGGGACAAAGGAGAATGGTCTTTTTATTATTATAATTAACAAATAAAATATATTTTAATCTATAATATTTTATTTTAATTGTAGTTTTGTTTTAAAAAAAATTGTTTGTTTTATGCTATATTTGTTAAATAATTTTGTTTAACATTAAATCTATTGTTTAATTATTAAATATTTTTGTTTTTTAAACTTGTTGCTTCTTTTGTTACTTTTTTATTATTATTTTTTTAATTAATTTTATTTATATAAAATAAACTAAAAAGCCATGTCTATTACAATTATATTCATACAAATGAGCTTCCAAAGAAGTGCAAGGGGTTCGTTAAATAGCAAACAAGTAATAAGTATTATGTATTTACATTTCCTTAATGAAATTCAACATTAAAATTGATTGACAAAATTTGAAATTTTGTGAGCCAAAAACTTAAAAAGTGTCGAAAATAATGTGGGTTTTACATTTTGGGATTAAATTTTTGATACGCACTGCATTATCTATCATACTCAAGAGATAATTTTTAATTTTCTTTAAATATTTTAAATTTTATCTGTTCATTGATTTGCCTAACTTATATTTGTGAATTTTAAATTATGCGGTTTACAAAATTTTCAGGGATTTAAAATTAAGTTTTACCTCATATGCATGGCACTTAAAAAAAATATATCTTTCAAGTATTATCTTCTAGTGCTTATAGAATAATAATTAAGGGAAAGATTAAGCTGGTAAACATAGGACACATAATTCGCAAAGAAACTGATCCTAGAAAAAAATTGGAACTTATACAATTGTACTAATGCATGATTTCTCTATGCCATGGATTCCATGAACATGCCACTGGGACCTTTTCCGATTTCCAAGCTACCAAGATGATGTGCGCAATAACAAAGTTTTTAAAGAGGTTTTTACGTGATTATACTGAAACTGTGCCAGAAAAACCTGGTATAAAAGAATAGTTGTATAAATACCAAAATGTTTTCTATTGAATTTTAATTATAAAATTAATTTCAAATGTGACTAAAAAAAATATGACAAAACAATGAAAAACTTGGTAAAAATCCAGAAAAAAGCTTTAAAAAATATAATAAATTGTTCACCCTTAAATAATACTGTATATTTACCTATTAACAATAAAATTACTCCCTTCATCTTGCACAACCTTTCACTACCGTTCTCATTTGCAGAATGCAGCACTTCTTTTTCACCTTCAAATGCATGCAAAATATTTTTTCTCACGCTAAATTTAAATTCAAGGGCAGATTTGCATTGTGCATTTCCTCTGCTTTAAAAAATTGTCTCCCTCTGAGGAATATAATAAGCGGCAGTCAAAATAAATTTCCGAAGCTTTTCAGTATGAGCAACTCATTTTGTTTTTAATAATATCATGTAACAGGGCTATACATCATAAACTTTTCATTTTATCAAAAATATAGATTTGCTGTGTGTGGCAGTTCAGAGGCGTTGGATGAGGATGGAAGAAGCGCCACCACCGCCGTTGCAGATGGAGCCGACGCCGTACTCGCCAGGTTTGAGAGCATGAGCGAGGTGCACGACGAGTCGGGCGCCGGACATGCCGATAGGGTGTCCCAGACTGACGGCACCGCCGTGGACATTGACCTTGGCGGGGTCAATGCCCAGCATTTTGATATTGGCAAGAACGACAACGCTGAAGGCTTCGTTGATTTCCCACAAAGCAACATCCTCAATTTTGATGCCGGCGTTGGCGAGAAGCTGCAAATTGTGATTTACAAATTTACTTCGGCAGCGTATTGAGCGGATTTTTCAATTTAAAGTAAAAAAAGCGATTTTAATTTGGCCATTTCAAAATGAAATTAAATAAATAAAATGGGCTGTACTCACATTGGGAATGGCGAAAGCTGGAGCAATGGGGAAGTCAATGGGCTCAGTCGCAGCATCATAGAAACCAACAACCTTCGCAATTGGTTTCAAGTTGTACTTTTGGGCAGCAGCCTTGGTGGATAAAACAACGGCAGCTGCTCCGTCATTTAGGGTTGAGGCATTGCCAGCAGTTACAGTGCCATTTTCTTTCTAAAAAATTTTGATAAAAAAGAATATAAACAAAACATTTAGGTTAGTCATCAAATTTCATACTTGGAAAACAGTTGAGAGCTTAGGGAATTTTTCAAAATTGACTTTCTTGTATTCCTCGTCAGTGGAAACTTCTAAATCAGGTTTTCCTGAAATGAACAAAAAATTAAAATTCAATCCATTAATTTTTTAATAAATTTTATATCATTCAACCTCTGCCTTGGGGAACCTTGACGGCCACCAGTTCATCCTTGATGTGTCCATTTTCGTAGGCTGCTGCGCTTTTCTTGTAGCTGCTGATGGCGAACTCGTCTTGCTGCTGTCGGGAGATGCCCAACTTCTTGGCCGTGTTTTCCGCACAGCTGCCCATGTGGATTTTGTTGTAGACGTCGGTGAGTCCGTCAGCAACAATGCCGTCCTGCAGGTTGATGCCTCCGTAACTGGTCTCACCACGACGCATGTAGAAGGGCACGTTGGACATGGACTCCATGCCGCCGGCGACCATCACCTCCTGATGGCCACACATCAGGTTTTGAGAAGCCAACTGAATGGCCTTCATGCCAGAGGCACACACCTGTCATAAAAAAGATAGTTTTAATAACAAATTTTAAAATAATTAACGATTTTGCTTAAAAAATTGATTTACTTTGTTGACGGTGGTGCAAGGGACACTCTTGAGCAAGCCAGCAAAGAGGGCTGCCTGCCGGGCAGGGGCCTGTCCCAGTCCAGCCTGGCAAACGCTGCCCATGTACACCTCCTGGACAGCCTCTTTGGGCACACCGCCTCTCTCAACTGCCGCCTCGATGGCAGCTGCGCCCAATCGAGTTGCAGACAACTTGGACAGGGAGCTGTTGAAGGAACCCATCGGAGTTCTGGCCGCCGAGATGATGAGCACCTCGTTTAGAGTTGGTGCCGTGCTGTACCTCCGAAGCACCTGAAGAAAAAGATAATTACATAAATCATTTTTCACTTAAATCGGCATTGGGAAAAAAGTATTGTATGTAATTGAAATCTTTAAAGGTATTGTGAACAAATTTTATTGATCAATTATATGAACATATTTTTTGTTTTCTTAATTTACGTATGGATTGAAAAAATCACTCTTTAAAATTAAAGCAACAAGTTTTAAAAGTTTTGAACTCCACGGGCTCCACTCATGGTGTGCTCATTTTCAGGGATGATGGTTCAATGTTTGTTTATATTTTTTAACTTTAAAAAGGGGAAAACTTCAAAATTTTACGAATCGCTTGACTGGTGGATCAAAGTGAATTTCAATCTGGACGAAAAAAATAAGGCAAACCTGTTTCAAGTGACTGTATCGACAAGCCGCCATGGTTCTCGTTTCCACACGAAAGAAAATTTAGTGTTAAGTTGCAAACCCCTTCCCTCTCGGGCCGGCCTCCGCTAAATTAAAATTAAAAACTCGGAGGACAACTGCGATCTTTTCGCGAGTCCCCTTGTGAAAAAAGGGGCGTGGTTGGTTGAGGCGAGCGCGAGAGGTTCGATTTTCGTGTTTTCTTTTCTTCTCTCGCTGACATTCAAAGGACCTTGGACTCTTCAGCGGCAGGTCAGAACTTGTGAGGAAGGAGAGTGAACGACTAGACGGTGCTTTTGTGTTCTCTGCTTGCTGTTCTTCGTCAATTCGTCGTGAGAGTTCAATCGGCTTTCGAACATTCGAAGCAAGCAGACGACAATTTAGGAATTTGGAAAAATGGCTCTCAACAAACTCAGCATTGACGCGGTGCAAATTGCCGGAAAGAGGGTGCTTATGAGGTTTGCAACCAATTTTTGTCAGATTTAATTGTTCTTATGAAAATCACGTATGAATTAATCCACAATTCATGCATTATTTGTTAGAAATTCCAACATGAATTCAGGGAATTCATGACAAAATTATTTTTATTCAATTGCCGGTCACAGCAAATTACGTACATGTATATTTGAAAACGATCTATAATTTTAATTTGATTTGGAAATTTCAAAATGCAAATTTTCTTTAAAAGGATTTTGGATTTGGATGTTGTTATTTACATATTATGTTGATTTTTAATTTTTTTAATTTCCTTTTTTTATAAATGTATTTCACGAGGCATAAAAAACTTTATTTTTCTCTTCTGTCCTTTTGACATGACCTCTGTACATCTGCCTATTACGACTTTTCCCACTTCTTGCTATTTTTTATCTGCGTAATCATGCGCACATTTCTCTCACTTAATTATAAAAGCTTTATTTTGCAAAATTTTTTGCAGAGTTGACTTCAACGTGCCCTTGAAAGATGGCAAAATCACCAACAATCAGCGCATTGTCGCTGCCCTGGAGTCGGTGCGATACGCCCTTGAGAAGGGTGCCAAGTCTGTGGTGCTCATGTCCCACCTGGGACGTCCCGATGGCCGCCGCATCGAGAAGTTCACTCTTGCCCCAGTGGCCGAAGAGCTGAAGAAGCTGCTGAACAAGTTGAACACAAGATTTGAGTCGATTTTTTTTATCTGAAATATTTTTTTTTCAGGGAAGTCCAATTTTTGAGTGACTGCGTTGGACCCGAGGTGCAAAAGGCTTGTGCCGCTCCTGCTGATGGCTCCGTCATTCTGTTGGAGAATTTGCGCTTCCACGGTGAGGAGGAGGGCAAGTGGGTGGACGAGAACGGAGGCAAGCACAAGGCTGACCCTGAGGCGGTCAAGAAGTTCCGAGAGGAGCTGAGGCAGTTGGGCGACCTGTACGTCAACGACGCTTTCGGCACTGCCCACAGAGGCCATTCCTCGATGGTCGGAGAGGGCTTTGACCAGCGAGCCTCTGGTTTCCTGCTCAAGAAGGAACTCAACTATTTTGCCAAGGCCCTTGACAACCCTGAGAAGTAATTGAAATTTTTTTTTTTTGTGATCCAATCTTTTCATTCATAAAATTATTCTCCCCCAGGCCATTCCTTGCCATTCTCGGAGGAGCCAAGGTTGCTGACAAGATCCAGCTGATTGAGAACCTTTTGGATAAAGTCAATGAAATGATCATTGGAGGTGGCATGGCCTACACTTTCCTCAAGGAGATGAAGGGAATGAAGGTAAATACATGTATACATTTTTTTGTAATGAAATAAATTTTTATAAAAAGCTAAAAAAAATTATTTTAAATCATTTTAAACTATTAATATTAAATATATTGAATTGATTTTGTATTAAATTATTTATGTTCATCATTCTCAGATTGGAAAGTCTCTCTATGATGAGGAAGGAGCTAAAATTATCCGGAAACTCGTCGAGAAGGCCGAGACAAACAAAGTCCAGCTGCACCTCCCCGTCGACTTCATCACTGCTGACAAGTTTGCTGAAAATGCCCAGACAGGCACTGCAACTCTTGAGGATGGCATTCCTGATGACTGGCAGGGTCTGGACGTTGGACCCAAAACCAGGGAGCAGTTCAAGGAGCCCATCGCCAGGGCAAAGGTCATCGTTTGGAACGGGTATTTTTTTATACAAACAAAATAGTATTTTTCTGACATTCCATTGATTTTTAAGACCTGTTGGAGTGTTCGAGTTCCCGAACTTTGCCGGCGGCACCAAGTCCCTGATGGACGAGGTTGTCGCCGCCACTGCCAGAGGTGCCATCACCATCATTGGTGGGGGAGACACTGCCACCTGCTGCGCCAAGTGGGGCACTGAGGACAAAGTTAGCCACGTCAGCACTGGAGGTGGCGCCAGCTTGGAGTTGCTGGAAGGTTTGTCTCAAGCATCTTTTATATTATTCAATAATAAATTAAATTTTCTACAGGAAAAGTTCTGCCTGGTGTTGCTGCTCTCTCTGATGCCGCGTAGATGGCTTTCGGAATCAATTAAATTGATTAAAAAGAGAAATGGGAAAGCGATATTATTGAGAAGCAAGAAAAGTCTTTGTTTGTAAATGTTTTACAAACATTTATAAGGTTGCTTTTGTGATTTTCATTTTCAGCTGCACTTAAAAAGTTAAAAGTAAGCTAATAAATTTAGTGGAGATATCCTTGTAATATTATAATCTTGCCTTGATTTATTTTTCTATACAAACATAGCTCTTGAAATATATCGTTATAACTATTGGCTGCACTTATTTATAATTTACTGTTGCAAATTGGTCGTAAACGATAAATAACAGGTTCAAACAACATTTTAATATGAAATACCTATATACATAATGTTATATTATAATGGATCTTTCTGAATCTTTTGTGGATTTTTGAAGAACATCATTCATATTTATATTACATATTTTATTAATCATCCCTTATTACAATAATTTTGAAGATTTAAAGTATGAAAATTATTAAATTTTTACTTCCTTTTTTAATTGTGTTTAATTTAAAGTAATAAAAATACTTAATGTTGTATTTACACGTCTAAAAACATTATGCTGTTATTGTAATGGAGTGTGCGCCATATGCTGTACATTGGAGTTTACGGGAGGATAAAATAGTTGAGCGCGGCCTCCGCGAGCTCCTCGTCGGCGTTTTTTCTCACTGACTCCGATGTAGTCATGCAATTCTTTTGAGCCTCTCTGCTGGAGGATCAAGCCGTGCAGCAGGTGCCTCTCAGGTTGGCACGCATGCGTGCTAAGGTGAAAGACGAGAATTCCTTTTACTTTTTCAGTTTGGTGCACGCCACCTTGCAGCATGTCTGCCTGAATAATCGCCGCCGTGTGGATTATTTACGTGACTGCAATTTCCTCCGCAGCGGACGATTTCAACTAAAGGGTGAGTTCTGCAAGTGCGGAAATCAAATTTTTCAATTATATCTTCAGATCAAGCCAAAGTTGAGCTCTTTTGCTGCGGGGTTCGTGCATTATTTTCGTTGCTTAACTTCCGCGAGTGTGGATGCAAATGAACCTCCGACATGCAGCAGCAGAGAGGCGGATCGAGATGCGCGCCGTCAAAAAAGTCGCGATCTTATATACGTGGGAATTTGAATAGCTGTAGCCTTGTGTCTCCTTATTAAATATATTTACGCAGTCACGCAGTGAAATGTCAATTATTTGAATTAACTTATTATTTATATTAATGCAACGTTGCAGGTCAACATTATTATTTTCATCTTATATATTTTGGTTCAGTTTTGCTAGCTAAAATTTTTATAATAATTATCCTTATAAAATATAACTGAGGTTGACTAAATCGAGGAAAGTTATTTCAATGCGTCTCTTCAATTTTCTTATAGATAGGCAAGAGGAGAGAGATTTTTTACGTTATTTAAATACGTAAAAGACGCACACGCTTTACTTATAACAGTTAAATCTATAAAAAAAATTGACAGCGCAATATACTGGAAAATAAAAAATATTTTATAGGAAGGTTCTCACAAATAGTTCTTTCAATAGAAGTTTTGAGCCTAGATCAAATTAATTTATTAAAATTTTAACTCTCCTTTTAATTGTCAAGAAGACAATAAGTTTAGCGCTAAATTTGAGGAAAGGTACATTAACGAAGTGAATATGAATAACCACTGAAAATTAAATAATTGTTTTTTGATAGTTTTTAGATATTTTACAAATTAACATTTTTAATGCTATATATAACTGAGCAATTAATTAAACTTAATAAAACAAACAATATTTATCATCAAATATTTATTAAGACGTGTGTGCAAAATAAAAAATGAAATACGATTTACAATTGAGAATTATTGTAAAATAATAATTTTTTTCTGCATTAAAAAATTATAAAACAAAAAATCCAAACAAACAAGATATTTTATCGATTGATTTTTTAAAATCATTTCAAAATCGTTTTTAGAGTCCCAAAATTAATTTAATGCACGTCTGACGACAGCGGTTATTTCTGTTGAAATAATTATTTTTAATAACGAATTTAAATTTTACATTATTTACTTTAGATTAATTTTAATTTATCTGATATTGATTTACTTTTTGTAAATAAGTGTTTCCTTTTGTTGTGGTAGGCCATGAGGTTGTTGGCCGGAGTGGCCGTCGTGGCCTGCTTGGTGGCCTCAGTGTCCTCTCATGTGGCCCTTACCTACCCGCCGGCCCGAAAATTCGACCTTGACTTTCTGGACAACTCGAGAACCAAAGGGCCATGCGGAATGCCAAAAGGTAAGAGGAAATAAATTACTTTTCGCGGTTAATTTCGTTTGTGTGCGAATTCCTTGCGGCTCCGTCGAATTTTCAACTCATTTTTATCGAGGAAAAAAACGAGTAAAAAAAGAGTGACAGCTCAATTGACCAATGAAATGAATGGGCGCGTTGCACCAAAGAGAGATACCGAGAGAATTATCCACTTTGTAACGGTACAGCTTCATGTCTTGGTGATCGCCGAGGAGACTTTCCACATAATTGCAGAAGCAGCGCCGCGTCGAGCAGGCGAGATCGCCGCGGCATTTTATTTGGGCCAAATCGCCGAAGCGATTGGCGAGGATGAAAGTGGACCAAAACGAGCAGCGAGAGAGTTTTTCTTTCGTTTGGGTGGTGCCAACTCGATGATGATTTCCGTTTCTCGTTTTGAAGGTTAACGATTCATAATTGCAAAAATTGACTCGTCCTATTTTTGTGTGACAATGTTCCAATAGCAAAAAATTTCTCTACTGCAACAGTTTTTCAAATCACTACATATTTAAGCGCTAAAGGTTAATCTTACTTATCAATTTCTGAACATTTTTATTAATTATAGTTAATAAATTATCACATGAAGATTACATATTACAATTTAAGAGGCTAACGAGTACTTTTATCAATGCATAAAAAAAACTATGTAAAAAATAGGCAAAAAAAATCTAAAGTTTATAGACGGAAGCGAAGAATAAAATCTTTTGTAATAATTTGCAGTATCGGCCAAAAAAGCCATTATTAAATATTTTAAAATAAATTGACATGTTCATAAAAATTCTGAAATTTAATAATTTAACTCTGGTGAATCAGTGTTGTGTTTAATAATAATAATGTCGTAATAACAAAATGGGACGAATATGAGAAAACATGAGAGAATCGAGGTTGGCCTATCGGGATTGACTTGGGTAAATGGCCTCAAGGGGAATTTAATCAGCTCTTGTTGTCCGTGTTGGATTTCCCATTGTCCTGCTGCACACTCGAGGCGGAGAGCAGTGCGAGCGTCGCTAATTAAAATGATATTGCTTGGTGCACCAGCAATTTGAAAGTGAGCCGCTTCTTGTGTGGCATCTCCATTCTATCAGCAAACACCAATCTAGACCATTTACTCGTTTTGTGCCATTTAATCTTATATTCAGCTCACGTCATTAACAATTTGTAAAATAATTTTTCCTTCCATTTATTTAAATTCATAAATAAGAACATTTAAATAATTTTAATTTTTCAGAATCAATATCTTGTTAAATCATAAACAAACAAAAAGTAAATATTTACAAAGGTTAATCACTTTTGGAGGAAAATTTCTTTTCTATTCTTTTGTTTTGATTGATTCTCACGGTTATCCATAATATTTCGGAACTATTCAACTCTCATTTTTCTTAATAATTGTAAAAAACTGTAGACCGTGGGATTTTGCAACGCCAGAAAAGTAAAATTTAGTGTTGCACCAATAGTCAATTTCGTATTGGCTGCGTGAGAAAATTAAGCAAGCAATTTTCAAATTGGCGTGCACCTTTTCAAGCTTCAGAGCGCCAGATGAATGCACCTTTTTAGTAAAGAAGGTGTTTTGATTGCGTCCACAGCTGCCGTGTTCTTTTCTTTTCCATCACTTTGTTTTTCATTCCATCTTCGTTCTGCTTGCTCAGTTATTTAGTCTCGGCGTGGATGGGATCGCCACTGGGGCTCCCATGCTTCTTGAGTCGTAAACGCACCGAGAGCCGCTACTTTCAACAACTACTGTAATTATCTCCCAAAGTATAGCATCATTTCTCATTCCATAACCAGACCTCGATGGAATATAATGGTCTAAAACGGTGCATTATGTAATTGCTTAAAAATTTGAAAGTCTCGGTTGTAAAACAGCAGTTCTTTGAGTAGTGTGCATTTAATGCTCCACAGGGGGGAAGCAAAATTTATCAGCATTTTGTTGAAAATACTGACATATTATGTTAAAAATGAAATCGCCGTGTTATCTACTGTCAGAAATATCTGCCCTGGAAGTAAACATAGTGGCCAAGGCCAACGCTGCTGCATGACAAATTGTAAAGGAATTTAACTAAAACTAATTAATTATTAGAAAAATAAAACAATTTTTATCAATTTAAAACCTTTTTAATATTTTCTGAAAAATGGAATTAAACAACATTAATATCTGGTTTACTTGAAAATGATCAAAATTTGCCAAGTAAACTTTAAATATAAATAAAATATAATGTAATATAAATTTAAAATTTTTTTATAATTATTTCAGAAATAACTTTTTTTTATTTTTAAAGTGGGTTTGATAGGAACTTTTGAAATATCCGCTTCAATCTACAAATAAGTGTAACCTCGGTGGCTCATCCTCATTGTTTACCGCCTAATTTTGGTAAACGTCGGCAGGTCATTCATTTGTCGCGGCGGTTTTCTCCTAAATTTTGAACGGTACCAAGCTTATTTATAAATTAGAAGCACCTGTTATTTTTACTCGAGCACCTGGGAAATCATACAGCGTGAATGGCGAAAATTAATCAAATCTCGGCTCGCATACACTCGACTCCCGCGCCGAGAGTGATAATTACAAACTATCTCCCTGGCGAGCAGAACAAATTCGGCCAGCGGCCATCGACTCTTATTTCAAAATATAATAGAGATGCGGAATGAGAAACTTTTTCCCGGCGCGTTCGTTTTTTTTTCACAGAGAGAGTGCGTCGCGTCGATTGGCATTTTTGAGCGTGACGTAACGCTCTTGTAGCACCTGCGAGCGCAAATGAAACTGCAATTATCGCCCGCAGGGATACATAACAAAGTGCATAACGCAAGAGCTGATTATTATGTAACGTCAGCAGCGGCGCCGGCCCGGCCAAGGTAGCCGAGCTTTTATCCGCTCGCGCATCGGATGGAGCGAGAATGCGTGCACGAGACTTGCTGGCAGAAACAATTGATCCACATCAGCGAACACTTTTTTCTCGCGCGCTCGCTCACCTGCTATTATATCAACACACAAATGTGCCGTTCGCTAATACATGCGACTTTGCAAACGATCGGCGCTGCTGTTTCGACACCCGCGGTAGCTCAATGGGGCCTCGCGCCGAACAATTTGAATGCCCTGATATTCACTGTGTGGATCGTTGCAGAAGAAACCCTATTGTTCTCTGATCTTACGGCACAGATCTTAAAATCTTTGATCGGAGCCACTTGCGTAATCGTGCATATCTAATTTGATTCAGATGGAAGTTGCTTCTTGTTAAGCATTAGTGCTGTAAAGCTTTACAATGTGTTATGTCGTCTTGAAAGAACAACGGCTATCAATATTTACAATTTAGATTTTTGCAAATTATGTTATTCAAATTAATATATGTAAATTTTTTAAGCTTCTGGATTGCAAGAAACTTTCCCCGATTACAAAAAAGCCCTGCGAATTTTCATCTCTTTTGACAAAATATGACATTTCAATTCAATATAGTTTCTTATTCTGTTAATTTGATGCATTTGATGAAGGATATTGTTGGTATTTTAATGTATGGATTATTGGAGAACCAACAAATGAATTTTAAATTAAAAAATTGTCCAAAAGCAACCTTTAAATTAAAAAAATCTTGTTTTTAATTTTCCAATTTTTCACAATAACTAATAGTTTCCTTAACATTTATTTGCACTATGTACTAATGTACTATGTACATTGTCGTTTTATTTATTTATTTTTAGTATCGAAAGAACATTCTTGTTATTTTTACCAGGCTTTCTTCAATAATAAAATCGCGTTCATTTAATTTTTTCCAATTGGAATTCATATTATTTAATTTTACGCAACAGAAGTTCTTTACAACAGCTGCAATAAATTTTTTCGAAATTCCCCTGTAAGATAGCCAACGCTGCATATTGAATGTTTATGCGTAGCGTAACACATAATTGATTGATTGAGCCTTCCAGTCTACCGAGTTTCAATAGAATCAGTTTGCGTCACGCCATTGCAGAAATAAATTAATTTAAAATTTTTATAAATATTAATGCGGTATCATAAAAATAAGAATCAAAATCAAACTGATGGCAATTTATCAGCCGCAAGATAACAAAGCAAAATTCTCAATTTAAAACAACTTCTCAAGCCTTTCATCAGGTGCATTATCGCTTTTGAATGGTCGGAAATCATTCGTCGAGACTGCAGACGGTGTTGAGAACCTTTTTTAATTTATGCAGATGAAAACACGCTTAGCGAAATCGAAACAGGAAAACAATGCATTCAGCACGTGGAGTACAAAAATGAGCCGTAAACAGGTGGCCGGCGGCGGCCCTTTTTTGGTCCACCGCCGTGTTTCCTCACAACCTGATCTCGCGCGCAGCATTTCATTCCGCATTGTTTTGTGTCCGAAGGCATGCATGCTGCGTGCTGGACCATGTTATGTTCTCCCGTCAGAGAGAAAACTGGCAGCGTGTGGTACATATACGCACCTCTAGGACGCTTATTTGCTTTTAGCAGAGAAAGTCCACGCTCAGGGGCGATCGGCGGCTAAAGTGAAAGTCGATTTTTGTAAATCCCATTTATTCATTATGCCGGGTCTGTGAATTAAACGGACGCGTGCGGCCCGCCGAAAATCTCACACATGTATCATGTATTCCCACGGAAATTTCCTATTGCCTTTTTTTGCTACACACGATTTGTTGGCGAAAAACGATTGTTTATATCATTTCAATGCGGCCATATAAATATCCGATCGGCTCTCTCTTTTGATAATTTGTATAAAGAAATGTTTGTCGCTTTCGTGAATGCGTGATTCGTAATACAATGATTTTATAAACAAAGTAAAAATAAATAGATAAAAGTAAATAAAAAGTAATAAATAAATAACTTAAAACTGATGTTTACTTTATAAATTGAATTTATTCAGTCTATATTTTAATCATTAAACTGTTTTTTTTATTAAGGATTTTTTATCTTTTAATTTAAAGAAATTATAACACATTAAAATTAGGAATCAAGCGAACAATATTATTTGGAATGTCATTAAAGACTGCTGACGAGATAAACAAAGATGACATGAAACTCCCCTTTTTATTTATAAAATTTAGAATATTCATGATGAAACAGCACTCAAAAATGATTGTTTGAACGGCGCAGGGCCTTTGCAAACAAAAGGCAAATTCGTGATATTTGTAAAGCAGGTGCGTCACATTTGATTTTCTCAACCCGCGCAGCAAGTGGCTCGTCTCTCTCAAAAAACTTTTACCTAAAGGCGGGTTCGTTTTATTTTACTTCTTATGCAAAATAGTCAAATGCGGCGCTCACGCACGTCGGCCAGGAAACACGTTTTCGGCACGGCTTGAGAATTGCATCAGAGAAGTTGATAGTTATACACGGTGACGACGGCAATACACACGTCCGGTCCTAATTTCCTTCGTAATCTCTCGTTGACCACATTGTTTGCGTATAATATTCTGCCTGCTGCAATAAAATGCACGGCAAGAGCGCACGAAAGTTAACAAGAGAAACGGTTGTGTGCGTTGGCTCTACAAAAAAATTATAAATAATGCACATTTTATTATATTATCCGTTCTGTTCACGAAGTATTATGGTCTGTTAGCATGTCTGTCTGATGTGTGCGAGCAAAAGAAGTCTTTGCCCGCTCTCACTGCGCGCTGTGACCTAAAATTGCAGGCTATAAATTTGATTTGCCAAACATGTTCTTTCTCAAGTGGTTTGCAATTTGTTTCTGAATAACTCCAAACGTGAAAATAACTGTTATCTGTAGCCACAATTTGATATAAAAAAAATATATATTCTATTTTACTATAAAACGTGCAGTAAAAAGAAACCACCAAAAGACGGCAGAACAATTTGAATATTATAAAAAAAATGATGTGAAACAAAAAGGGAAAAATTAATACAAAATTTTTTTCTGTTTGGAGACTTTAACGGTTGCAATTCAGGACACCTCGGCTCTAATTAACAGATTATACTCTTGCCCAAGTGCTAGCTTTTCTTATATCCTCTAAATATTTAGGCCACATTTACTCATCGAGTGCGAATGAATAGCTGGAACACGCCGTGTTTGTCTTTTATTTTCCCTTCTCGCTTTTGCTTCAATCGGAATCGCGCACACTGGGCAAGTGCCAAATGAGCAGCGTGGCCTTGGTGCTCGCTCTCGACGATGTTAATTGGAAATGGTGTCATCCTCCATCTATACACGCTCATTGGACACGAGAAACTACAAATTTCTCCACTCGAAAGAATATTTATTTTTTATTCCTCAGTTGGACCCACAAGAGTTTATCGAACCAATCTTTTGATTAAAAAGAAGCGTTCGTCGACCCGGTTGCTAATAATTAACAAAAGCGCTAATGCTGTATAATTAGACACGGTTTGCATTATTGCCACATAAAAAAAAACGAGAAATGCAAGAAGGAAGAGCTGATGGAAATTTAAGAATGACCGCGAGCAAATAATAATAAATATATAATTCTCCTCGGATTGGTGAATTCGAGAAAATGACTCGAAGGTGAATGGATTTTTTATTTCGCCGCCTCCGCGCGATATCGTGACGCTCTCATTGTCATTCATGACTGGTGCCCATGGCTATAGTATTCAAGCAAGTTCGGCTCCAAGCCAAAAAAAGTTAGCCGCCAGGGTCAAGTGCATTACTTTCTGGCCAAATTTTTGATGACTCAAAAAAGATCAATCTTAAGGACGCACGATTTATTTTCATGTTTCATGACTGGACGTTTTTAGCTCTAGCTATATTTTCGCACGCTCTATTTGCTCAGCGAGTTTTGTATATTATTCCAAATATTAGTAAAAGGATGCTGCTTATAATAAAGTTAAATGTGGAGCAGTAAAGGGAAACGATCGATTTTCGCCAATAAACGTTGAAATTAGGAAGTATGCTTTAAATTAATACAGCGCGGAGATTGTTGAGCTGCAGTTTTCAAGTAATAAAAATTTTTACGATCCACAAGCCAATTTTCGCAGACAACTCGTTTATTACGAAACGCTGGAGAGAGCCTGAATTCCCACACGTTCACTTATCTCTTAACATTCACGCGTTATCTCAATACAAAATATGCAACACACTAGACTCGTCTCCTGCAATTAATTTCTGTTCTTTTCCCAGGTTTGACGCAGACTACGTTGATGGCAGGTTCCACCTTCAACATCACGTGGCACTTAGCCTATCCCCACAGGGTATGTTATTTATATATTAAATCATTGTGTTTCATATCTTCTCCTTGTTTCTCACCTTAAAAAACTTCAAAAACCCAACTTGAAAAAATACATGAGATCTTAATCATCTTCAGTTACAAAACTTGAAGCTGCTGTGTATATTTCAGTGTGCCACTGAGGCAGCAGAACTGGTTTTTGTTCTGGCCCTAACGAAAGAGTCGCAAACACATACACCTGACTCTCTTGTCAAATACAATTTGATCGTGACCATATACACATCATGCATGACTTTTGCCATTCAGAACTTTATGCTGGAGAGACTCTCTGTTAATCAAGTTTGTCACGATCGCTCTTCTCACATTACCAACATTCTTCACAAACAAGTTAACAAGTTATTTCTTTCATTTTTTTTCTTGCAACTGGTTAATAAAAATAAACATATCATCAAGTTGTATTTTAATTAAACAATTTATTTCGATTAAAATATTTTAATTTTTAAAAAATAATTTCATACAGTTTTGTTGACTCGTCCGCTTTTAACAAATTTTTACTTTGATTTTAGGGAGGATTCAAGCTGCAAGTGCTGGACGCTTTGCAGAGGCCCTCCATGGATCTGACCCCGGTGACAGCCGAATCAGATTTTGTCAAAACCGACGTCACGTAAGTGTTGAGCCATCGCCGAGCCGTTCCTTTGTCGGATCATGATAAAATTATAAATTCTAATGCTACGCGCGCACAAAGCATGCTTTCATGCCTTATACAGGCCAAAGTTAACAAGGCCACGGGATTAAAAGCCAAGATGTAATTCGCCTCTTTATTTTTTCTGAAACAGCGCCCAATCCTACATGGTGCGGCTGCCCTCGGACATGACGTGCACCAATTGCACAATCAGGCTGATGCGACAGGCCAGCGAGTGGTCCGACGGCTACAGATTTTGGTCCTGCTCAGACGTTGACATCGTTCCAAGTGAGTCAATAAAAAAATTTCGTAATATAATATTTATTTCTTGGTTGAAAGTTACATTTCTTCAATAATTTTGAGACTTATTCGCACAAAAATTCCCGTTGCAAAAAGATTTTCACTTTTTCTCTCGTGGTTATCCATGTCAGAGATGAATTAGAAGTAGCATGCTGAATGTGGGTTGCAAACAGCCGTGTGGCGCTCCCACTTATTCCACGATTGACTGAATTCATCGTGTGTGTGTGTGTGTGTGTGTATATAAAATTTGCCCTTTCAAGAGACATTGTTGATCATCATCTTCAATGAAGATATTTATTTATAAATCATAAAATAATACCAAAGAAAATAGCGAATGATATTTTTTTTCAATAATTTATTGATTATTTTTTTCCAAAATAAATTCATTAAATTTTATTTTTATTTCTCTAATCGCGAATTGCAGAGACACAATACAAAGAGGACTGCAGTGGTCACGGTAGGCACCTGCTTTCAAAGTGCAGGTGCGACCGCCTGTACTACGGCCCACGGTGCCAATACCGCGATGAGTGCGTTGACGACGCTGATTGCGGTGAAAGAGGCAAATGCGTCAATGTCGAAGCCACCACAGCGCCCAAACAACAATGCTACTGCGAGCTGGGTTGGTTTGGACCTGGCTGCAAACAGAGGTCAGCGGTCAAGAGCCCAGAAATCAACCTTGCGAGCTACACAAAGAAGCAACTGACGCCCAACTTTGTGCTTTACTGGCGCATCCTTCGAGAGGCAGGAGAAATTGAGATGGCTCTGCAGGTACGACTTATTTTAAAATCTTTTACATGTGTTCTATGAGATAATTTGGGCAGGTAAATGGGTCAAGCTACGCGGCCATTGGGTGGAGGCCTCGTTCGTTGACGGCTGAATGCAAGAATTTCCCTTACTTGGAAGACTTGCCAGGCACGGCTCCTGTTGCCGAAGGCAAAAGTGCCAAGGCGGAACCTGAGCCAGCAGCGTCAGAACCGGAGCCAAAATCTGACGCCAAATCAGAGCCAGAACCAAAATCCGAGCCGTCTGCGGAGCCGGAACCGTCAGCAGAACCTGAACCTTCTGCCGAACCTGAGCCGAGCAGTAAGTTTTAAACAAAAAAATGTAAATATTGATTTATTTTCAATTTCTTCCCAACAGCTACTGAAGCACCAAAGACCACATTCAGGTCAATTTCGCTGCCTAGAACTTCCAACTTTAAGCCAAGGCCCAGACTGAACTTTACCTCCAGGAAGAGGGCCACACCTTTGGCCCAGAGTAACAGCGGTTCTGACGTGGAAACCAGTGTCCAATTCCGCGTGAGCTCCAGACAGAGTAGCAGCAGCAGAACAAAACGACAGCTAGAAACTGGTATTTACTAAAATTTTAAAAGCCACCAAAATGTGTACAGTCTTGTAAATAACCATTTGCGACCTTATCATATTCTTGTCAAAAATTTTGACCTTCGTTTATACTTTGCTCTTTTAAGACTTCATAACTCTTTTAATTTTAGTGCTAATGATTAGTCTGTCTTGACTCATCTTATCTAATAATAAGTATGTCTGCACGAGTTTGACACGTTGCAAGTACTTAACAGAAATTTGAGCAAATCCTTGGCTTTATTGGCACAATAAATTAAAAGAAAATTAGCGCACATATTTTAGAGCTTCCAATTAATATCTATTTAGTTTTTTTTTACATTTCAATTTATCTTTTCGCTCTTTGAAATCTGATTAAATCTGGTGTAAATATTTCCTTCAATCAAACATTTTGACTGCAAATAGGTGTAAGATACAAAACTGGAGCAGTGTACACGAAGAAAGCAACAACCACTCCTCAGCCTGAGCCAACAACAGCAGGTAGAGCATTCAAACTCTTTTGGTATAAATAGTTTATTCTTTATTATTTTTTTTCTAAATAGCTGAGCCGGAGCCTAGCACAGTGAGCCTGAAGTCGCACGCGGAACCTGAACCCAGCTCTGAGCCGGAGTCCAGCTCAGAACCAGAGCCGGAGCCCAGCTCAGAACCAGAGCCGAAGCCCAGTTCTGAGCCGGAGCCCAGCTCAGAACCAGAGCCGGAGCCCAGCTCAGAACCAGAGCCGAAGCCCAGTTCTGAGCCGGAGCCCAGCTCAGAACCAGAGCCGAAGCCCAGTTCTGAGCCGGAGCCCAGCTCAGAACCAGAGCCGAAGCCCAGTTCTGAGCCCGAGCCCAGCTCAGAGCCAGAACCAGCTAAAAGTGAGCCTGAACCAAGTGGAGAACCCGCGCCAAAATCGGAGCCAGAGCCAAGCTCTGAGCCTGAACCGTCTTCACCAGAACCAGCTACTGAACCTGAACCCAGCAGTCATGGTATAATCAGGAAATACATAAGACAAAAGCGAATAGTGCCTATTCGTGTAAATAATTTAATTTTCCTTCATTTTCATTTATTATTTGCTCTTCCTTCGCAACAAGCTACTTGCTTGCATAGTTTGATTTGCTGTATGGACTAGTCTTTTTCTTTAATAAATTATTTTTCCCTCTTCCATCGTAAATTGAATTAGTAGTTTGTAAATTTATAGCAAATTTAAATATAAACCAATCATAATACATAATTATATTAAAACGATTTATAAAATATTCAAAGAAAAAATTATAAGAAATAACATTCAATTTAGGCAAGAAGCCGTCTGCGGAACCAGAACCGAAAACTGAACCAGAGCCGGCATCTGAACCGGAACCTTCGTCTGAACCTGAGCCTTCGTCCGAACCAGAGCCATCTTCAAATCATGGCCATGCCACTGAAGGGCGCTCTCACAAATGTAAAATTATTTTAAAATTTGTAATGAAAAAATTATTGATTTATTACAATTATTTACAGCGTCAGGATATCCTGGCACTCACTTATATGTGCCAAAACATGACTTCAATGGTATGGACTGCACGGATATTGTGATCGGAATGGCCAGAGGCAGTGCCAGCAGAATTTGGGATTACTACACCCGAGATAGGTCCACTCCTCGCTTTGACACTTTCTGGGGAGGTAAAAATGATTTGACTGCTGCCATGGGCTTTGAGAAAGACGGCGTCACAACCATTGTATTCAGGAAAAAACTTATTGGTGAGGAAAATTTTTTTAAATTTTTTTAATTTCATTCATTAATTCTTTAAAAAATATAGCAACCGAACTGACCGACCACTCCATTCTTGAGGAGCCAATGCACGTTATTTGGGCTGTAGGACAAGAAACTGGACGCTACGTGCATAACCCTAAATCAGGTCTGGAGCAAGACCAAGCGAGCGTTGCAGATTTCTACAAGCCAGACGAACTGAAATACCACGGCCACGGGCAGCAACGAGGAAAGACAATTATCAACTTCTATGGTATTAACTAAAGAAAATCAGCCGCATTTTTTTCTAAAATATTTATTTGCAGAAGAGGAAGCTAAGTCTGTTGCTTCTGGTGAATCTGAATCGGCAGTCGCAACTGAAAAGCCTGGCAGCATTCTTGACCAGTGCGGCGCCGGATTCTGGCAATTCCCGAGATCGTGCAATGAAGACGACTGTGAATATCGCGCCTCATGGACGGTGATCAAGGACACAGCTCATTTCACTATCAAAACCAAGCACACAGACTTGTGGACGGGCATCGCCTTCTCCCACAATGAGCGGATGAGCCAAACTGACGCTATCCTTGGGTGGGTGGACAGAGCTGGTCGCCCATTTGTAATGGACACTTGGATCAGTGGTTATCAGGTATATAATATTTTTGTTTATTTATACATATTTTTTAAGCTGTTAAAATAAATAATAAATAAAATAAATAATAAGGAAATGATCATGGAAATAAGAGATCGAGCTTTTCCTCATTGCAAAAATATTGTTTTTATTCAAAAGCCACTTTGATTTATTTATTTTTTTTTTTAATTTTTTTTTTTAACAAACAATTTTTGCAATGATTAAAATCCTGATATCTTCATTTCCATGTTAAAATATATACATATTCTTAGGCTCCTCAACTTGACGCCCAACAAGACGTGTCAAACGTGACTGGCAGAATTCAGGATGGAATCACCACCCTGTCTTTCCAACGCCCCTTGGATACTTCAGACCCCAAGGACGTGGCCCTGGGAGGCAAAGAGTGCCCTTACATCATGTTCCCCATCAAAGGTGGCAAATTCAACTCGGTGAACAAAAAGATCTGGAAACACGACGAAGTGCCCGCCCTGACCGCCCACAAGGTTTGTCTCAGGGCCTGCGCTCCTGGAGTCACAACCACCACCCCTGCACCGCCCCCGACCATCAGCTACAAGGCTGAGGTCAGGCTGGTCAACCTCGGAGACGGGTTCAAGGTGCCCAGTCCTGGCTCGCAGGACTTCAACTCGCTTGCAGACACAGTAGGTACTGCCCTGTCTGCAGGGTCTCTTGGCCAGATTTCTGGATTGAACAACGTTGTCGTGCGACAATTCAAAAAGTAAGTGGAATTGGTCTTGTTTGAACCGCGAGGATTAACAACAACATTAATTAAGGGACGAGGACAAGCAGAGCGTGATTGCTGAAATCGCAGTTGTTGTGGACAAGCTGAAGTACGAGCAATCCAAGGGAATGACTGTTGAGACTGCCCTGGAGGAAACGGTTGCTGCAGGAAGAGCAGGAAATTTGAAACTCGACCCCAACTACCTCATCATGCAAGCGCCAAGAAGTAAGAACTAAATTTGCAGAACCGCGGGAGCAACAATTTAACATTCTTCAATTTTCAGTCACTAGCGTAGATGACGCAGCAGAAGGCCGAGCTGAGGACACAAGGACCTGGTTGGCCATGTCGGCCACGAAACTGTACATTTTGGGCGGCTGCGTCCTGGCCCTGGTGCTGATTGTCCTTCTGCAGGCCATGTGCACCCTGGTGAAGCCCCGGCGAGGCAAGAAGGAGCAGCTGATCACCTCGGCCTCGGCATGGAACGCCACCAACACCAACTACGCCTTCGACGTTGCCGACTTCAAGCAGCAGCCACCCATGCAGATGCAGAAGGTGCCGGCGCCGATGGACCCCAGGTACGGCGTGCCCAGAAGCACCTACTCCCTGCCGAGGACGGTCATGGCCGACAGAATGGTGGCCGCCGCCCCTGGCTACTACACACATGATCGACGAGCTCACAGGCACCCCAACGGCCTCCAGCCCGACTTCTACTTCATGCCCTCGCAGAGGAAGTACTCGGGGGAGGTCGTCAGGGTGTATGTCGACTACAATAAGGCCCCTAAGTAGATTTACAAAAAATCCTGGTGCACTTTCTGCTGACTGTAGGTCAAGTGCTTTAGTTGAGGGACCTAAATGTATGTCTCGTGTTGCTCGGTGAATTACAGGTAATAATTTTAGCTCTGGACAGTTAACTTTGTAAATACAACAGACATAAATTGGGAAACATTCAGTTTTTATAAATTACAGCAGGTCATTTAAAAAAAAAATAATAATGACAATTATTTGAATTTCATATCCCTGAAAGGGCAGCAAGGAGCTAAACAAGTTTTTAAAACTTCATCATGAAATTAAAAATTATATCTCAGGGTTTGGCAATACAGAACTTTGACCTGTTCGCAAGACGAGTTAAAAATTGAATTTTAATCCCAATTTTCAAGTTTGAGATTTATGTATCAATATTTCAGCCAGTAAATTATTATTGTTTTACTTCTTCTTGTTGATAATATTTCAAAGACAGGGATCACAACATGACACAGTCAACTTTTGTAATATTCTTGTTATTCCTCGGCAACATGGCATAATTATTATTATTATTCACGACTTATGTAATTTAATCATGTAACTCAGTGATTTTACCCCTCTCTGAAATTGTGCCATACACTTAAAGGCCAAACGCAGGTTATGAGCACTCATTGAAACACCACCACGAAGCAAACAGTTGTGAACAAAATATTTTCGGAATTCAAGAAGCTCAACTCGATGGGGTACGTAGACGCGTCATCAGTTAGGACGAAGCTCAATAGAATGTGAGAGTAATTGACTCTAATCATGGCGAGGAACGAGTGTACAATTATATGTTTAATGTTAGAATCTACAACTTAAATACTCCCTTAATAACCTCATTATAGTGATTTGTGTTACTCATAAAAAATTCATCGGAATAAATAAAATAAAAATGTACCGAAAATGCAGATTATTTTTCAGTAGAATGTGCGTATGTGATAATATCATCTTATTATTTACTGTAAGTGCTCCAAATTGTGCAAAAGTATGGTGGATTTTGTTTCTGTGAATAAAAATAATTTTTTAACTAGTTCGATTTTAGACTTTTGACTCGAATCAACCCTCGGAGATGACTGTGGCAAATAAAATATTGGTTTCTCTTTTAAATTTTTAACAATCATTTAATGACTATACTTTTTACAACGGAAACATGTGACCTACTTTTTAGATGGGAGATGATTTGAATCCCCTGTCATTGTAGTCATTAGGAAGGGATCGCACCTCTCTGCTGTAATAACCTGGCTCGCCCTTCAGAACTGCAGCCTGCGAATAGGTACGGGTGAAACCACCTTTGCGGAGCCAGCTCTGTGGAGAGAAATAAGACCATGAAAACAATAAAACATCAAAAAATTCTTCAAGCTCACATTTGTATTGTATTTCAAGTTGTAAGTGACACCCAGAATTAACAAGTAGGCAATGGCAATTCTTCCAGAGTAGTATCGCAGAGACTGAGCTCTTTGCTGACCCTGGATAAATAAAAAGTGTGATTAAAAAAATTAGTTTGTTTTTAAACGTTTTTCTCAATTACAATGACTGGCATCAGAGCCTTGAAGAGATTGTCCAGGGGCCAGCGGTAAAATCTACGAATGGGGTTCATCAGCTCTCTCTCCAACTCGGGCACAAATCTGGGTTCGTTGGGCGAAAGGTGCTGGTCCTTGAGCCACTGCTTCCTCCAGGCTCGTTCGGCGTCCGTCATGCCCACCAAGCGTTCTCGTTCGTCGACCATACGGCCGGCGACCGGGTAGGCATTGGGCCGAACGTTGAGCGGCTCATTTTTGTTAGGTGATCCGCCGCCCATTTTACTGCCGTCTGTAAAATTATCATCAAGTTAATTCATTCCCGACTTGTATGAAAGAATTTCATCAATCAATAAACATTAAAAAAAAATTATCCCGGTCCCTAAAACCAGAGAAAATTGAATTTTTTTTTAACACCTGCTTGAATGATCAGGCGAGCAAGCAAAATTGTTTTATGATAATATTAATATTAGGTGGTTTATAATTGCATCAATTAAATCAATTTCTTTATAATAGTAATTAAAAATGAAAGTACTCATTAATTCATAAATATTTGGCATTCCAACCTGCTTAATAAAATTCCAATTCACTTTTTTCGCTGCGTTCTTTGAGCCCCGTGTTTTGATTTTCGACGAAAAATGGCAGCTGCTGACTTGCTGAGTGCTGAGAGAGCAAGGAGGCAACTTTGCGAATGCGATGCGAATTGAGCTCGAGTCTCGAGTACTTACTACCAACTTAACGAAACTCGTTTGGTGCTTTTAACCAAAGCGCTTTCCAAGCGCTTATATACTTGTGTGTCTTTATGGGTAAGCACGTGTTAAAAAAGTGCGTGAAATTAAATGGGAGTTAAAAAATAATATTGTAAATTAATATAAATATATTTTTTTAATGATTTATCTCCGAAAAAAAGTCAACTTATAAATTTTTCTTTCCTAAAATAACAGTAAATAGCGGCAAATAATGTGCTTTTAAAAGACAATCCCAATAAAAATTTACTCCTATTTTAATATTTATTTTGTTTCTTTTACAAATAGCAAACCAAAATCCATAGGACAAAGTAAAATTGTTTCCTCCACAGAGTATACTTAAAGGAATGAGATGAAAATAAATTACCACCCGGTGGTCGTGTTGACAAGACGACGCATACGCCTGCAAGAGAATAAAAAGTAAATTAGTTCATTAGTTACAAATGGAGACGCAAGGGTATTATAAGCTCTGGGTAGCAAATTTAGCCCGCTTTCCGACCAAACACAATAAAGCAAACAAGTGAGGGGGAAAAGTGTGACTGGAGCACCTCAGAGAAACTTGCGAACATAGCTGGGGAGCGAAACGTTTGCTCGTCTGGGGCCGGGTTGGCACATGGTTGCCCTGCGTCGCACAGACCTACCAACAGGTTCGCAACTTTTTTAGCAAACCTCAAATTAAATTCCACCTAAAATATTTTGCAACCAATCCCACAGTTTGTGCCAGAATTTTTCTTTGAATATTGTGTTTCGTCCTAAGGGCTTCGTCGCAAAGAGCGACACTTGCCTTGTGTTCCTGTCCTGGTCCCTGATCTTCTTCTCCATCTCAGCGTCAGTCAGGGTCTCCAGGAAGGGTGACCATTGGTCTGCGTCAGACTGCGACCTGAAAGGGGCGTCGACGGTGCTGAGAGGGGCTTCGCTGAAGGCGTAGGTGCGCTGGTGCCAACTCAGTTGGCCGCGGATGCTGTACGCAATTGCAGTCACAAATTCACCCCCCAGGCCCAGCTCGGCGCACAATTTCATGGCAAAGGTCTCAGGGTTGTTGTCCTTTTCGCTCATGTCCCATTCCACTTGGTCCACCAATGACGTGTTTCCAACATGAATGTTCAGCTAAATTAAACAGAAAGAAATTTTGATTCTTTGTGCAGAAAAATAAAATGTTATTTCAGTTAGAATCTAAAATATTTGCATATTTATCCGCTTAGAAAAAAAGTCACCTTAATCAGAACTCGCTGGTCTGGGTGCTCCGTTAAAATAGGTTGTTCTGCTGGAAAAGCGTCGATCTGCTGCCTGATGGCCTGGGCCACAGCAGGTACAAAAGCAATTGGATTCAAGTCCAAGTCGTCGCATAAAATTTCAGCGAATTGCTCTGGTGTGATAACAGATTCTATAAAAAATCAATTAGGATAAAAATTCAGACAAAATAAATTTCGAACCATTTTTGTTCCAGGTAAAGGTGTCTCTCAATTTCTGCCCTTCGATTTCCATGTCCAATCTGACTGGAACAAGCAGCTCCGACTGGCAAGCATTTTCGTAGATCGAGTTGGGGTCTGTATCATCGAAACTGAACAGACGTTTTATTTAATTGTATTTTATGGATGAACCGACATATTTACCAGAGAGGGAAAGTTCTGACTTTTTTGTTGTTGACTCTGTTTCGGTTGATTGGAGTGGCTTGCGGCACAGCGTCCAAATGAGAGCTGTTTGGCAGGGCCGGTGCCCAGTTTGTGCTCTTACGAGTTTTATTTTCCCTAAATCATTGAAAATTTATTTACATAAGCTACAATGTTTTAAGTTATTTGTAGTAAAGTACCTTGGTGTCGGAGGCTCAGCTGACGAATGAACGGAAACTGCCTTGTATTTTTCATCATTTCCTTCGATTATGTCTTCAACTTCACTGGCTTTGAGAAGAGAAACACTGGATGCCAAGACGTGCTGGCTAAGACCTGTGAATCAAATCATGGCTCAATTTGACACATTTACAGATAATTGAAAGCCAAATTATACCTAATTCAATCAACTTTTTTCTCTCGTCATTAGATATAGTCCTCCTGTACATCCCAGGGTACTTTTTGTACAGAGAACCTCTGAAGAGGCGCAAATAATTGCCAACCTGTTAAGGAAAATACATAAAATTAAAATTTGTACAATTTGCAGTAAAATTTTGAAGACAAACCTCTGATCCAATGCAAAAGAACTCGCCATTTTCTTCCACTTGGAAGCTTATAGGCTTGTCACCATACGTACGAAGAGACATAACGGAACCTAAAAGTTTGATTTGAGTAAGAAATTTGAGAGAAACATAATAATATTTTGAATGATATATTAGAATGAAAAAATGCCGGCTTTGAACTGCAACTTTCTTGCGTTTATTGAAATTTACCTCTGGATTTATCGAGAAATCTTGAAACTCAAATGAACTTCTCTCGATTTTTCTTGTATTTTTCTAATTTATGCAACTCTTTAGTCTAAAAATCTGGCTGAAATTCACCAAAAGTTCATCAGCCCACAAGTATAAACATTAGAAAATCGAAGCACAACACGAGAAGCAAGACGAGAAGCTTCGTGTTCGACCAATCGCTGAACGTTATTTCAGTGACGTCACGCGGAGTTTTGCGAAAGAGCACGGGGCGCCAAGGGGGCTTTAGAGCGGAGTTGCAATTGCTATCAAACTCACAGGCGAATCCATGCCAATAATCCCCTTAATCCTCCCACCCTCTGGCCCAGCCCACACAAAGTAGAAACCTGCTTTGCTTTGCTTTTGCTCGGACTTGAGAGAGTTTTTAGCTCTGTTCTGTGATGTGTTTGGCCTGAAATCTGTCATCGCGTCCTTGCCTCCCCTGCAGACCTTCAGTCGAAATATTGTCCTGTGCCGAAATCCGGACAAAATGAAGTCGGGTTTCTACAAAGTGGACATTAATCGGACGGAATGGGAAGCGCCCGAAAGGTACCAAATGCTGTCGCCCGTCGGGTCCGGCGCATACGGACAAGTTTGGTAAGTTTCCAGATAAGAAATTCGATCGGCGCGCTAAGTGCTATAGCTCACACACCACCTGTGTTTGTAATTTCACTAATTTTGTGATGCAGCTCCGCTGTCGACAGCCAGACGGGCATCAAGGTGGCCATTAAGAAGCTGGCACGACCTTTTCAGTCGGCCGTTCACGCCAAGCGAACCTACCGTGAGCTCAGAATGCTCAAACACATGAATCACGAAAATGTAATAAATCTTATACAAATCATGTTTTTACCTGACAAAAGAAATAAAAATGTCTAATTTCAGGTGATAGGACTTTTAGATGTTTTTACCCCTTCGAAAAGCCTTGAGGAATTCGACCAGCTGTAAGAAAAAATAATAAACACAAGTTAAAGAAATTAAGCAATCGGTGCCTGTTTTAGGTATCTGGTGACCCACTTGATGGGTGCTGATTTGAACAACATCGTTCGAACACAGAAGTTGTCAGACGACCACGTTCAATTCTTGGTCTACCAAATCTTGAGGGGACTCAAGTACATACACTCTGCTGGAATTATTCACAGAGTAATTGTTCAATCTTAAATTATTTCATTATATATTAAACTAAAATAATTTTTTTTTAGGATTTGAAACCGTCCAACATTGCTGTGAATGAAGATTGTGAGCTGAAGATTTTAGACTTTGGCTTGGCTCGTCCTACAGAAAATGAAATGACAGGATACGTTGCCACCAGGTGGTATCGTGCCCCTGAAATCATGCTCAACTGGATGCACTATAATCAGACTGGTAAGATTTTTTACTTCAATAATTTTTTATGAAATTAGAACCAAATTTTAATATCACATATTTATAAATTTACAAACTAAATATATGTACATTTTTTATTCTTTTAGTGGATATTTGGTCCGTGGGTTGCATTATGGCAGAACTGCTGACGTCAAGGACTCTTTTCCCCGGAACGGATCGTATCCTTTCAATCCATTAATTTTCTATGGTCCCAGCACCCTTTTTATCAGAGTATGACCCCCACTTCCCTTAAATGTAGTAGTCTGAGAGGAATGTAGTTGTTTGCATGCTATTCCCCTTATCGTGTGGTCAGATATACACCAGTTGAATTTGATTATGGAACTCCTTGGTACACCTCGAGATGAGTTCATGAAGAAAATTTCTAGCGAATCGGTGAGTAGTCCGTGTGCTTAGAAAACTGATGTTGTGTAATTTTTACGTTTGATTGTCACTTGATATGTTGTAATCGTTTGACCATAACGTTTATTGCGCTTTGTAACTGCTTGGCCTTAACTTGAAACTACAGATATTGATCATCTAACGCGCGTTCTTGTCTTGTGTGGCACTCCACCGCCTGACATGCTAGCTAAAATTACCAGCCAAGAGGTGCGAATTTATTAAAATTATTTTTTCTTTGCGGATAAAAATCCACCACATTTTTTTACGTTTTGGAGTAGTATATAATTTAATTTGAATTTATTCTAAAATTAACAAAATTGATATAAATAGGAACATAATTTTGTGAAAAGCTTATGTTTAAAATTTATGAGATTTTTAATTAAATGCTTAACTGCCGATTACTAAATTATACTAAATTTTTCCAAATTGTATTTGTATTGCTATCTACGTGCTTTTAAAAAGACCGTCCTCGTCCATTCCACAGGAGATTGATGTTTCTATAATCTTTTGAAACTGTAGCAAGCACTTGTGCTAGCAAGTTGAGACTGATGAAGATCCATAAGATCAAAATATAATAATTTTTTATGGAAGCTGACAGAAGCTAAAAAGATGCAAGGCTCAGGACGAAATAATTATTATATTATTTTTTCAATGAAGAAGGGAATTTCCTTGATAAAGATGAAAACTTAATTTCTCAATTTATGCTTTACAAGTTTTCATCACTTTCAAAATTTCCATAAAGAGTTGTTTTGTCTAACGGAACATTTTACATTTTTAGGCCAGGAACTACATCCAGTCGCTGCCTGCGCTGAGGAAGAAGGATTTCAAGGACGTCTTCAAGGGCGCAAATCCTCTTGGTACAATCAAGAATTTTATAATTTTCATCGCAAAATTGATCAATTCAATTTTTAGCCATTGACCTGATAGAGAAGATGCTGGAGTTGGACGCAGACAAGCGGATCAATGCGGAGCAGGCTTTGGCCCACCCTTACCTTACTCAATATGCAGACCCTAGTGATGAGCCCGTGTCGCAGGTTTACGACCAGAGCTTTGAAGACATGGATTTGCCTGTTGAACGTTGGAAGGGTAAGTTATTCCATTTTTTTCCCATTCAGATTCAGAGTTATAATTGGTTTTTGAAGGAAAATAAATTTAAAAAAACTTTCATTGTTCTCCCTGATTTCAGAGTTGGTCTACGAGGAGACAATCAATTTTGTGCCGCAACGGCCTCCCCAAACTGCTGCATAAAGGGTGCAGACCAGAAAACAAAGGGCATCTATAGAGTGAGAAAATTTTGTGGCCGAATGTAGTTGTAAATATTTATTAGATTCCTGCAACGCATCATCACATGACACAATAATGATGTATTGAGTTTACATGGGGTGCCAAAGTTGTTGTGTCCGTGCCATCATGTATACCATTTAGTAGGGAGTACAAAGTACTTAATTAATTAACAGCCTTCTCCTCGAGAGCACTTTTGAAGAAATTTTATCAGTATTCACTGAACTTTCCGCAAGACAGCTTATTTTTATTTTCTACCCACTGCAAGTGGACTACTTATTGATTAACCACTTATTAAACCTCTGCAATTAGGCGATTCCAATGCACAATTAATTAATATATCGTCTTGTTTTAGCTATTTTATGTTATGCATTAATGTTTTGTTAACTTTTTTTATAATCGGCGTTGTGGTACCATGGTGATGTTTAATTTCTCCAAATCGTAACAATATGTCCTAATTTTCAACCAAGACTTTCACTTGGAGGATTTTTGAGCTAACCGGTTAGGAGCCGCCTTATTGATTAAGGCGCTCTTAGTGATTGATAAATAAAAAGAAAATCAACGAATTTGAAAATTATTCTATGGTGTTTTTTTTTTACTCGAAAGCCTAACTTGATGACATAGTCGAGAATGAAAACAAAAGAACCTTGAGACTGTAGAATACACAAATCAATAAAAAGAAAATTCGTTCTCATGAAGACAAAGAAACAGAAAGTCATCGTAAATTTTAATTGACTCCGGACTACGGCCCTAATCAAAACTGGCGGCGACTTATCGGGCTTATCCACTCTCTGCGTCGGTCAAACCTCAAATTGGCTGAGGCAGCTGGCTTCAATTGAGAGACTAGTCAAGTGCAATAAAGCCATCGTCGCGCAATCTATTTATTCGCGCGAGCGTTTTGGGCCTGCGCGCAAACCGGTCGATCGCAGATACTGCGGCGAGCGGGACCAACGCCGAAAAGCGGAGCAGTAAGACTCGGAGCTGCATCCGAACAGGCGCCTCCATTCAATCTTATCACGGCGCACCGAAACTTGGCCTTATCAGTTGGCCTCCGTCGCCCCCGATCGCACTAGAGACCTTGACCTCAAGTGAGTTGCAAATATCTATTGCGATTTTTATCTTTAATGGTCATTCGGCCAAGATTTTCCGTTTTTTTTTCACTGAGAATTGGAACTCTCAAGTTTATTTTTAACCCAGTGTTTGAAGTAAGGCTTCCTGCTCGAAAAAATTTTGGTGGCTCGGCACAAGTGTGGCGACGCGCTTTTTCATGGCATAAGTCTTTTTATTTATATAATAATATGGGGTGTAAATTTTTTCTTTTTTGTGAAAGTTTTAGTCTAGATAGATCTTTTGCACACAAAAAAAGTGTATTTTTTATGGTGCCGTTTAAGGTTTTTGGAGCGTGTTGCACATTCACTTGTCTGTCGATTAGAAGTGGAGTTAACTGTAAAGCTTGTTTCTTTTTTTTCTGAAAGCGTTGCGTCGAAGGCGTCGAAGCACCGCAAGATGAGATGCCCGTGCTAATTTATTCGTCAATGGACCTTAGACGCATCTTCTTTGTTGGCGGAAGTCAAAGGCTTACGAGCAGATGACAACTCTGGATTTTTAACTGGTTGATTAGGTAGGACCATTTAATATTTATTAAAATGCTGGTAAAATAGTGTTATTCGCTTAAATCAAATCATTATTATTCTCTTTCTATTTGATAAATCATCAAATAAAAAAGTATTATTTATCTCATTTTATTCTCGCGTGTATGCATTTTTCTTGAAATGTGCTTAGTTAAGCTTTGAGCAAAAATTAGCGTGACTTCAACAATAACAATAAACGCACTGTCATACAAGAAGCAAAAAGCTTTCCAACAAGTGAGATCGTATAGATCAAATCAATGCTGAGCCTTCATGGTAATTTACTTTCATTATTAATTCTCTCTCGCGACTCTTAAAGGGTCAAGAATATATTCGACCTAAATTTTGAGTGACGCAAATCAAAGTTAGTTGTAATTTAATCAGTAACAGTACTAGTACTATGGAATTTATTTAACAAATATTTCAACGAAAGTATAATAAAGTTAATTTTGCAGAAAATATTTTAATGATGATTTCAATATTAAAGCTTCAAATAATTTAATAATTACAATGATATGTTAATAATTTAAACAATTTAACTTAAATTATAATAATAATAAAATATTATTAATTTAAAAACATTAAATTGAATTATTAAATTAGATTAACAATAATAAATTATTTGCATCTATAATCTGAATAAACCCAGCAATTTGAAAAAAATCTTTGCTCTGCTAATTATTTTTCTGTCGTAAAGTTGAATAAGATTTATGCAAATATTAAGAAAAACAATTTTTTAAAACTGTTTCTTATGAAGGAAGTTGCATAACTTTTTTGCGAAACGCATTCAACGTTAACTGCGACTTGTTAATTCTTTATTTGGAATTTTATTATACCTGCTGAAAATTATTTTTACTTGAAAATTTTTCTTAAAGCATTTTCATTTTAATTGCCTGCATCCTCCACTGTGTAATGAAAATTATGCAATGCAGCTGCGCGTGCAGGTCAGTTTTTCTTCCAACACACCTATGTAGCAGATACGTTGTAAGCTTCTCTTCAATGTCGTTTCTTTCCACCTCTAGTTCTAACACTCTATGCTCTTGGCAAGGTCTCGATCTTTTCTGAACCTGCCGAGAACCTGCTTTTGCTGGGGGAAACCCTAACGACGCATTATTCTATTTTTATGTGGCAAAACTCTATTTTACGTGCCTCCAATCAGGTTTTATTTTTCACACTCTCAGGTAGAGTCGCTGAGCGGCATTTTAAAATTGCGTTCTGCTGCGAGCTCGATGATGAAGGCGGCGGACTCGGAAGATGCGCTGCCTGCCAAAATTATTTCACTGTGCGATAACAGCAACAACAGCGAAGCCATGGAACACGTGCTAAAAGAAGGTCTTCCAGATTTGCTTCACGACCGGGACCAAGATGTAAACTGCAAAGGGGTCGGCATCTGGTTTGAGGGAATTTCACTCACCGTACGGAAGCCGTTTGGAAGTAATACGATTTTAAATTTTTTCAACTGTTTATTTATGCTAAATTTAAAGCAAACATAAAAATGGGTTGCAATTAGAAATTAAAGCAAGGGTAGAAATAAAAATAAACAATAATTCATGATATATTATCATCCAGTTATAATTCAGTTCTTTTCAGACAATCAAACAATTTGCTTGATACTTATTTTTTATGCTTTTGGCTTTTTTTCCAAGGCATTATTTACACTATCTTATCTACGAAATGTCGCCTGATCTTTTAATCTCCACCAAAAATTAATCGCCCGTGGAAAGGTTTACTGGTTGGCCCTATTTATTAATTAATTTACAATTCTCCATTTATTGTTATTTATTAACCGTTCAATGATATTATAGCTCCCAACCAAAACTTTCATTTTTCGTCATTTTGATTAAGCTGTTGAAGTATATCATGTCAACTAGAACTTTCCTTAACAAAAAAAAAACTAGTTTTATAAATTTATGCTTATCATACGGACGTGTACCAAAGCTGTGTGTAGAATTTGAGCCTGTCATAGAAAGTTATTTGAAGAAAGTGCTTCTGAAAAAAAATTATACATTAAATAATCATCAAAGTATATAAAAAATCACCTCAACTTGCCAATGTTTGATATAAATTTTCAAATTTGTTCAATGGATTGAAAATTTTGGCCTAAACGAAATTGAAATGAATATAATGTTTCTTGCGATCAGGTAAAAAGGAGATTTTGACTGACCTAAGCGGCCACTTTCCGAGCGGAAAACTCTCTGCCATTATCGGGCCTTCCGGCGCGGGCAAAAGCAGCCTCTTGTCGGTTTTGGCCGGTCGTCAACGCCCGACCAAGGGTTCCGTCACCCCGCGCCGTCAGAGACGACGACTGATCACCCAAACGTGCTTCTTGCCCGAAGTCCTAACGGCGCACGAAGCCCTGAGCGCCGCCGCCGCACTCAAGTTGAACGCGCCGTCTGCTGTCCGGCGAGCGGCCGTCCGACGTGTGTTGGCGGTGCTCAGTTTGTCGCAGTCCGCTCGGACACCGTGCTCAGCTCTCTCCGGCGGCCAAAGAAAACGGTTGTCAATCGCTCTCGAGTTGATTGACGAACCACCCGTCCTCATTCTGGATGAACCTACAACAGGTAATGAATAATAAATTTAAAAAAAAAAAATAAGTTATTTTAAAAAATTAAATATATTTACTTTAATTTCACTGTTACTTGTTTTTGCTAAAAATTCATTAACCATAATAATAAATTAATTAAAATTTACATTTAAATTTTATATTTTTTAAATTTTGTTACTTTAATCATCAATTATTTTTTACAATATTAATTTTAACTGATTACTTTATGATTTTTAATTTCAAATAAATATTTGCAAAATTTTAATATAAATATTTGTTATATCTAAATATGTAAATACTATGTTATCAATAAATTGCAAAAAACTTAGGCTTGCTTCCAACTCGAATGCTTGATGTTATTGTTTATGACAAGTTTCGTTTTAAAAGATAATTGCTACTAAATTTTATGGAGAACAAGATATAAATGATGCAATATTATATAGAGCTTGTTTATGTAAATAAATTATGTTATGATGCACGAAGCAATTATTTTAAAAGTAGAAACGTGTTAATTGCGCCAATTTAAGGTCTGGACTGCGTCTCTGGATTGAGGTGCATGCGGCTCCTGCAGCGTCTCTCACGATCCGACTCGCGCACCATCGTGTGCACCATTCACCAACCGAGCGCTCGTCTCCTCGACTTGCTCGATTTTGTCTACCTTTTGGCCGCCGGCCGCTGCATTTACAAAGGTCCCGTTGACGACCTTTTGCCCACTCTGGCCGTTAAAAATCTTATATGCCCACCTTACCACAATCCTGCAGATTTTGGTATGAATTGCTTTTTTTTTAATGAATAAAATGTTTATTATTTTTTTCATTTTTTTAGCTTTGGACGTTGCTTGTGGCGAATACGGTACTCAAGTTGTTGATGAGCTCGCGCTGGACGAATCGAAGAAATCAGGAAACTTGAAATTCAGAAATGAAAGTGGAGAAAACGGGCATGGTCCAGCAACGTCATTTTTTAACCAGTTTTTCATTCTCACCTGGCGCTCTTTGTACATCATGATTCAGGAAAAGGTAAATGATTAAAATGATTTGAATTGTATTAAAAATTGATTTGACGCAGTCGGTGGCCATGGTGAAAATTGTGGTGCACTTGGCAATCGCCATCGTCCTGGGAATTTTGTTCTTTGACATCGGCAATGACGCATCGAGAGCGCTCAACAACGCCAGTCTCCTAGTGTGCATCCAAATTTTCCTGGTTTTTACTGGATTGATGCCAACCATATTGACATGTAAGTGATGCCGTTGCTGAATAATTGTTAAATAAAATTTGTTATTTTTCCAGTTCCCATGCAAAAAGCCATTTTCAAGAACGAGTTCTCCAACTGCTGGTACTCGATGGAAGCCCACTTCCTTTCCACATTTGTATCAAATCTACCACTTCCTATTTTCAACTCGGTACTCTTCTCATCAATTGTTTACTGGATGAGTGGCCAACCCCCTGATTTTTACATCTACTTCATCAATGTGCTCACAGCGACACTCACTTGCCTCAACGCCCAGAGCATTGGCTGGCTTATTGGCACTGTTGCTGGATTATCAGTAAGTTGATCAAACAGAGTCAATTTCAAGCATTCTTAAGAAGTAAAAAACAACAGTAAAAAAAACACGTATTTCTTCTAGATATTGTAAATTATCTCTAATTTTCTTATTTCGGAGATAATATTTTATGAAAATTTTCAATTTTTTTTTCGCCAACTCTTTATTTGCAATTAGAGCTTGAGAATCAACAATGAAACAATTTTTTATTTTTGTTTTGGTAAAATAAAATAACTAAAATCAAATCAGAACGCCACCATAATGATTGAAATTTAACATTTAGACGCATGAAATTGAAATTTAATACTTTTGTATTAGATTAGTAAAATTTAAAGGTAAACATATTATTTTGGATAATTTATTATTTCATGAAAAATTAAATTTAAAGAAAAAAAGAAAATAATTATAAATTAATTAGGTAATATGAATACAGGCTTGTTAATTGAAATTTGGGTTGACTGTTGTGATGCGTGGGTCTCTTTTCAATAATAAAATAACATTAAATTTTTCTTTGTGATTATGAAACTCTAAATATTGTTTTGCTTTTTTTTCTTTCAGAATGGAATGTTCCTAGCGCCCCTTTCGGGGGTGCCGCAGTTTTTGTTTTGCGGCTACTTCATCGCCCTGAGCACCTGTCCCATGCTGGTCAAAATCATTGCCTACTCAACCAGCTACACACTTTACAGCTTCCACGCGGGCATCGCAACCATCTATGGCCGGAACAGACCCAAACTACGCTGCGACGAGCTCTATTGCCACTTCCGGTCACCGATAAAGCTGCTCGAGTTTCTCGACACCAACGACGAAGGAGTCGAAGTCGATCTGGCCGCTCTTTTCATTTTTATGACTGTCATCAACTTACTCACTTACTTGGTGATGAAATTCAAGTACTCTCGCTTGCAAAAGTGATTCATCACGCGCATGACACGGTTGCATTGTGAAAGTGAAGTTTTATTCTCTGTGATGGTAATCTCATCTCTGCTCAAAGCTACTGTTGGTTAAAAAACCAAATTTGTGATATAAAAATTATTAATAAAAAAAATATGCTTTTAGTATTTACTTTATTTATTTATTTTATTATTATAAAATTATTTTTGTCACTGTCACATTTGTTTTCCTTTTGAACAATTTTTGGTTTCTGTTTAAAATTCTGTGTTACGCTGATTGAAAATTTCAAATTTATATTTATGTTGAATCTGTTACAATCTTTAATTGTTTATAATAAATTAACAAATTACTTCAATTTAGTTGATGATATACTCATATACTGCTGAATATTAATTTGCGCATAATTGATCAAATTTAGCCTGACGCTTTGATGAAAACGCACGTCCGGTTTGAGTCAATCCAAGTAAATCCGCCATTAACGCAAGCTTCCATAAAATCCTTGTGATCTTCGGCGGTCCACTCGTAAGGGGCTGCAAAAGCAGACGGCGAGATGATGCACGTCCAGCAAAACACCACAAAGGTGAAGATCCAGAAAGCACCACTGATGGTCCTCATTCTTGTTTCTTACTTAGAAGACTAACAAGTTCCAGAGACACGTCTCTTTTTTATTTTATTTTTTTTATCACGGATGTGCGGTCAAAGGAAATTTCTAGTTTCTGGTATTTAAATGACAAAGTAAATATCACTGATAAAATTTTTTATCTTTTATTGTACCCGAGAATTACATAATTTAATGGTTCATGGTGATTTCAATTTAAAATCGGCTTTTCCTCAATGGGTTTTGTGAGTTGTTTATTATTTAAGAAAAAAAACAATATCCTGCTCTACATGTTATGGCTGCAGCAATAATTCATGAGCTTTCTCGGTGGTGGTCACAACAATAAACAACACAAAACCCATGTAGGAAAAGTCGATTTTAAATTAAAATCCCCCTTGGTCGTGAAATTCTACCACACAACAAAGATATAAAGGATATTTGTAAATTCTGATTTTTACCCATTCAAATTATTTTTTAAATTTTTTAATCCTGAGAAAGAAGAAATGTCACTTTGCTATACTTTTGATCGCTTTTAATTTGGAATCTCATTTAACCATCCAAAAATAGCTTGAAATTACTGAAGATTAAATTTTATAATCAGCTCAATCATAAATTCATAATTAGCACAAATATTTTGGAGTTAGTAAAGGTTTTTAATATATTGGGTTCGAAGTTTACTTAGAGACACACAATTATTTATCGCCTTTTGCCTTGACCGAAGGCCACAAGATGTGTTTCAAGTTTAAATCCGCCTCATCTGATATGGTCGTGTGAAAAACATATGCATCACTTTAATCAGTGACTGCCAAATTTGTTGGTTATATTAGTGGGATTGCGCTGTGAGTCAGTGCAAATATGGACGAGAAGCCGGAGAGTCCCACTTTGCCAGATTTGCTGCAGCGCGATGAGCCGTCCGAAGCTTTCAGCGACAGAGTTGGAATCAAATTTGAAGGAATTTCACTGGAGGTGCAGAATTCACAAGGTGCGAATTAATTTTCTTTGATTACAATTTTTTATTCATTTTGTTTAATCAACAAGTACATTTTGGAATGTTGTGCTGCAAAATACAAATAAATTTAAAATTTTCAATTATTTATCAAAATAAATGAGCATACAAATTTCAGTAACGTGTCCACGTGCTAAATACATAAACAATCATTGTTGTAATCAATTACAAGCAATTATCAATTATCACATTCTACTTTGTCTGGTAACTTTTACATTTTATAATTCATTATCTGCAAGTCAAGTACGTAATCTTTATTAACTCATTTGGGTACAACTTTTTACTTTTTATCCTAGATGAACATATTATAAAATTTAACAGGTGCCGCTGGCCTTTCAAATTCCTCTCTCAATATTTGGTTTGAATTTTTAATTTCAACCTTGCAGAAAACGGTGATAGCGTACAAAAGGAGTTTGGTGGGGATCAAATTCGAAAATACGGACCCTGTCACCTTCTTAACCTAGAGTCCTAGAGTTCTTTGTGCAGATTTTATCATCAATTTAATCAACTTGAAACTAACATTGTGAACATTTATTTGCGCTAGGAATGTATACGTTATAAAAATCACGAAGCCTTTTGAATCCGAAGTCTAATTAAACAGATTGCACTTGCTCTTGATTAAGATTAAATAAAAAAATGTTGCATTGTTTTCTTGAAGTGTGTTTAAATTGAGCCGTCCTGATGACACTACATTTATCGCTATGTATTATTATATAAATTTAATTATTTTTTTTTCAGTTTTTACGTTCACAATTTGTTGACGTTTATAAAAAAAAAACAAATTTTTCCGTCTAGGCTATATGATTACGTTCTATAATGCTAGAAAATCGACTTGTTATTTATTAATTTACATTCCTCAAATTAAAAAAAAATCATTTTTGTTTTTAGTAAAGAAGAAAATTCTGCTCAACTTGAATGGCTACTTTCCGAGCGGCCAATTGTCGGCCATCGTCGGCCCTTCAGGTTCTGGCAAAAGCACCCTTCTGGACGTGCTCGCGGGTCACAAACGCCCTTCGGAGGGTTCGGTGGCGCCGTGGGGCCAGCGGCGCCGCCTCATCTCGCAGCAGTGCGTCTTTCCCGAGGTGTTGACCACCCTGGAGCTGCTGAGTGTGGCCGCGGCACTCAAACTCAATAGTTCAAACGCCGATCGCCGATCCGCCGTTCGCCGCGTGCTCACAGACCTTGGCCTGACCGAGTGCGCCCGAACCACGTGCGCAACCCTTTCTGGTGGCCAGAGGAAAAGATTGTCGATCGCCCTTGAACTCATTGATGAGCCGCCGGTGCTTCTTCTGGATGAACCAACCACAGGTACATTATTAGTTATAAATAATGAAAAAAAAATTAGTCTTCAGCATTTTCTAAAAAAATCATGAAAAAAATAATAATAATAAAATAAGTCTTATAGGAAAAATTCATTCTTTTTTTATCAAAGATGGTGGTATTAAATTTATATTTTGTTTAATTGTTTAAAGTGCTATTTTATATATATTATTATTTTTAATTACTATTTTAATAATTAAATTTAAAAACTACTATATTTAATTTATTGTTAATTTTATGTTTATTTACATTTAATAATTTTTTTGCAAAATCTAAATATCGTATGCGTAATTATTGCAATACTTAGCTTATATTTTTAATTATAAATTAATTTGGCATCACACTAACAACTATTCAGAGTTGTGCCAATAAAATAATGAATATTTTTCATATGTTCTTTAATTAAATTAAAAATTAACACTGATGTATAATGAAAAATTTAAAACAGGTCTCGACTACGTGTCTGGGATGCGTTGCATTCGTCTTTTGCAAAATCTATCCCGCCTCGAGTCCCGCACTATTGTGTGCACTATTCATCAGCCGAGCGCTCTCATCCTGGAGCTCATTGACCAAATTTATCTTTTATCTGCTGGTCGGTGCCTATACAAAGGAGCGGTCGATGGCCTCCTACCCAAGCTGTCGAGCAATGGCCTCTCTTGTCCAAAGTACCACAATCCCTCTGATTTTGGTAAAACATTAATTTACTCAAAATATTGTTACGAATATTTGAGATTTTTATTTGAAAATTGTTTTCAGTTCTTTATTAAAATTTGATTAAAATAATCATTACAATTTTACCTATTTTAAGCCCTGGACATTGCCTGCGGTGAATATGGCGTTGAAGTGGTGAACGAATTCGCATTGGGGGAAGAAATGAACATTCCCAACACCGCCTTTCCCGCCGAGCTGAACGGACGAGACAAAGGACCCGCCGCCTCTTTTCTGACCCAATTTTCCGTTCTCTTGCGCCGCTCGCTATTCATCATGACCCAAGAAAAGGTGAGTCTGCTCTTGTGGTGAAAGTGAAATTTATTCAAATATCATAATGGTGCTTTCTAGTCAGTGACATTAATCAAAATTTTCGTGCACATCATCGTGGCAATTCTGCTGGGAGCCACTTTTTACAATTGCGGCAATGACGCAGCACGCGTGCTCAACAACGGCGCCCTGCACGTTTGCATCCAGATTTTCCTGCTCTTCAGCGGCCTCATACCCACCGTGCTCACTTGTAAAAGCACACACTTTATAATAATAATAAGTTATTTAATTAACAAAATAAAAAACAGTTCCTATGGAGAAATCGGTGTTCAAACGCGAGTTCTCCAACTGCTGGTACTCGTTGGAGGCGTATTTTCTCGCAATGTTTACTTCGCACCTGCCGCTGCCGATTTGCAACTCGCTTTTGTTCACGTCCATCGTGTACTGGATGAGCGGCCAACCGGCGAATATCCACACATTTTTATTGATGTTGCTCGTAACGTCACTGACGAGCCTCAACGCACAGAGTGTTGGCATCCTAGTCGGAGTGGCATTTAATTTAGTGGTACGAATTATAAAAATATAATTTAGATTATTTAATGGCTTTTTTAAAAGGAAATTTTTTGACTGATAAAGGACATGAAAATTTTGTTTTTGTTGGGCCTAATTTAATTATATAGGATTTTAAATTGTACCAATAAGTGCAATTTATTTTGCAAAAGAATTTAATCAATTTTTAGCTAATTATGAATACATGCCTATTATTTAATAATATAATTGCAGTATTAAACTTCGTTCTATCCGTAGAGTATTTCAAACGATTAAAAATTTGACGACAATGTATTATTTAAAATTAAAATTTTCAGAACGGGATGTTCTTTGCTTCATTCTCGGGAGTGCCGCAATTAGTGTTTTGCGGCTATTTCATCGCGGTCAGCGCAGCGCCCTTTTTCATAAGGATATTCGCGCACGCGACCAGCTACGTTTTGTACAGTTTTCACGCGGCCATGGCGACCACCTACGGCCACGGACGTCCGAATCTGCAGTGCGACGAGATGTACTGCTACTTCCGCTCGCCGAAAAAGTTCCTCGACTTCCTGCAAATCACCGAGGAAGGCGTCGGCCTTGACGTAGCCGCGCTTTTTATCTTTCTGTTCGCCTTCAATATAATCACATACTCCGTCATGAAACTGAAATACTCGCATCTCCAAAGATAAAAAGTGTTGCAGACTTAAAAGAAAAATGTGTGATAAACAAAATTAAAGAATCTCGAGTGCTTCTATGAGATTTCATCAATTATTTAAATTGTGTTCTTTTAAATAATGTCTCAGAATAAACTATTGTTGATGTTTTTTTTCTAAATTTCTCGAGTTTTATTTTATTATTTTTTTCTTTGAATTAACCCAAGGGCGGGTGTTTGCCGCGCGCTACATAAATAATTGCAGAACAACCATCACTCTCACGGTCACAGCCAGGTGTGATTGCACTATTTTCAGAGTCTCTCGTCAGAGCACGTGAACAGTTTTAACAGCACAACAAGGGACGCTCTCTCGCCTACGGTGGGGCAGGCCAGGGGCAGGGGTCAGTGGGTCTGGGTGCCATTGGGGCACATGGCGCGCATCGAGGCGCAGCAGTGCTTTTTGATGTAGTAGGAGCCGCAGTATTGCAGCGGGTATCGCGACAGCAGCTCTACGCAGCTCATGCTGGCCGAGGACTTGGAGGGCAGGTCCTCACACGAGTCCTGCTCGCCTGTCAAGCGAAAAGAGTGCAACAAAATTATCACCAGCTTAAAGCAAAGGTCGATTAAAACCAGGTCAACTCTCATGCTGTGAACTTGAGGCAATAATTTAATTTTAAGAGACTAATGAAAATATGGCCTAATTGATCAAGTATAAGTAAAAAAAAAATGTATTATTTTATAGCTTCACCAAAATGTTTGACATCTCCAAACAGATGCGAAATTTAATTTATTCTATTTTACAGCTTTATTTTTAATGATAATTTTTTTCTTTCTTATATTTATTCCAAATACGTAGCAAATAATTTTGAAATTAAATTAAGTTTCTATGTTTTGAGACGTAAAAGTGATTATAAATTCTCCCCAAGTTCATCTGCATAATTCACCATTAACTTTTTAAATTCATGCAAAAAGAATTTTTATAAAACAGGACAGAATAACAAGATTGATTTCTCCACTACGCTGATCGTTTCCTGGAAAATTTAATATAAAACATGTAAAATATTAAAATCAGTCTCAAACGTCAGTAGTGTGCAATAAGATAGAATCAGGAAGAATTGATGAAACCGCTGCATTAATTTAATTTTTTAAGTTTTATATCCAAGTGTTTGCGTGTGCGTCTCTCCAGTGTAAGTGTTTATTTTTTTTCTCAGCAATTCTGGTTCCGAGTGCCACTTACCAACGTGTGTGGCAAAAGGGTTTTTTGTGGAGTAAGGGGTGGTGCTTTTGGTTTGCTTGGGTGGTTTGTAGGTAGTCGTGGTTGTGAATGTGGTTGATGATAAAGTGGTGGTGCTGCTGGAGGTGGCGGGGGTCAAAGGGGTGGTGCTCCTCGTCCAGAAGTGTCCCCACGGAATCCTGCTTTGGTCGGCTGCGAGGTCAAGAAACGGAAAAAAGGCAGAAGGAAACGAAAAACTCACCTGCTCGTGGTGCCGTTCGTGCTCCTGTCCGGCGGCTCGGCGTACACGGGACGCGTCTGCGTGGCCGCGCTGTCCGGCCGGGCGTACGTCGGCGTGATCTGAGTGTAGTCGGGGATGATGTTTTCGTGCTCGGCCACGCACCGGCCGTTCAGACACGACTGGCCGTCGCCGCACGGCGAACCCTCGGCCGCCGGCCTGTAGGCCACGCAGTAGCCAGAGTTGGCGTCGAAGCAGAACAACTGCGCGCATACCCTGTCGTCTTTCTGCAAAGCAAAATAATAAATAAAAATATGTTCTAATAATAATGTTTAAAAAAAATCGTTTAATGTCAATAATAACTTTTCTTTTTGGTGAAAGTGAAAACTGAAATCTAAAGGAAAAAAAAAGAAAGGTATCAATATTGGTATCAATTAACTTGTGTGGCGCGATATATGTAAACCGTGCCAAAGAATTATTTAATTTTTTTTTATTATTATTAAAAATTAAATTTTACTTAATTTACAAATAAATTCTAATGTTTTTTCATATAAATTCAACAAATTAAATAATTATGAATATTTTTATTTAAAAATTTATATTTCAATTCTTAAAAAATAAATAAAAGATAATATAAATAAGTGGTTATAATTATTTAAATGATTAACTTTGCGTTTGCAACGATTTTAAGAAAATTGTATCTTACAAAGCAAGCGCTGGTTCCTCTGTCTTTCCTGCACTGGGCGTCCAAAGACAACAGCTTCCCAGGCAAAACTCTGGGCAAAGCGTCGTCCTCATGAGGAGCGTTGAAAAGACAAGTAGCAGTGTCTCCGCTGCAAAAAAAAATCAATCAACATAAGCTGAGACAATGGAATAAGGGAGTTTAAAGACAATAATTTTAAATTATATCTTGCAATGTCTCTAAATAATTAAAGGATAATATTTAATAACCATGAAACCATTGAAAATTATCATGTTTTTCAAGGTCCGCTCATCAGCAACAATGAAAAAAGGTTTGATTGTTGTTTGAGCTCTCTGATTGGGTACAAGTAAAGTTGTACCCAATCAGAGAGCTCGACAACAATTGAAATTTTCTGACGAGCGGACCTTGATGTTTTTCTTGGGAATAATTCAATTTTTAATTTGTTTTATTTTCACCAACTAAAGTAAAAACAATAAATTTGGTAAAAAAAAGTTTGAAAGATAAATAGTTTTATATAATAAAATAATTTTTAGATAAATTAATCTTGAAAAAAAAACATACAAATATATAAAAATTTGCAATTTAACATGTTCTTTTTAATTACAAACAAGCATTTTTGTTTGTTTCTTTTTAATCCATTATGAATGTTTCTTTTTTTAACGGATACGCACTTGAGGAAGTGGTGGAAGCTCGCAACACTGCACGACGACCATCTGAATCCTTTCTCCGTGTGCCTAAGGTCGCTCATGATGAATCCGTCTTCCCATCGGCACTTTTCAGCGCCAGGTCCTCCCAGGTAGCTGGGCGGTGGCGAACCGTCGTGCACGGCGCCCAGCCTGAGAACAAGAAAAAACCGCGAGCGTGTTACGTTCCGACTTGACAGGTCAAGGAGGGAGCACTCACAGGTGGCCCACCTCGTGGGCGGCAACGATGATGCCGGAAAAGCCGCCGGTGTCTTCGATGATGGCCACGCTGTTGACCTTCTCCAGCCGCTTGTTCACCACGCAGGCACCGCCGACGTACGCGAAACCTTGAGCGAATTACGATTAGCCAAAACAAAAATATTCTTCGAAGCGCAGTTTTGAGTATGTATTTTTGTACAAATTAATTTTTGAGTTTATTTACAAGTTTTATAATTCTTGGACCGCCAAAAGCAGTGGAAGAAAAGCGAATGTGTTTGGACGAAAAACTAAATACGGACATGCTTGGGACCGGCAGAGGTTGGTAACTATTTGATTGAAAATAGAAAATAATTTTTTATTTTATAACTTAAGAAACAGTCTGGTTTGAATTTATGCTACTTGCTCTTCACTGAAGGCGAGCAGGTTGCATAACCTTAATAATGTTTGATTGATTATTTTTTGCAGGTGATTTTTTTTTAATTTAAATTTTTATTAAAACATCGAGAAAGTTCCTAGCAGATTTATGGCGAATTAACGGTCTTCGTGATTTTTATGTGAAGTCCGGTTGTCTGAACATTTATTTGCATGAAAAAGCAGCAATAAAAACGCGGAACAGTGACCCCTCTTTGCTGATCCGTAAAACAAACAGACGCAAAAATAAACAAGCGGTATAATAAAAACCTGGCAAACCACATACATGCAAACCAAAATTCCATGCGAAGCCGAAGCGAAAATGTTTGAGCTGCGCACTCCCTGCTGATTGTGTGTGTTCCTTACCTTGAGGTGTCTGGTGGTGGCGGAGTAATAAAGAGACAGACAGACAAGACTGATTGCACTGACAGAGACTTTTCAAACTAAGTTTGTGTGCTTTGGTGGATCTAACGAATACACGTTCTCAACTACGAGGGAAATAAGATACTCTTAAATATGGTCACATTTCTGTACAACCAGAAAAAAAATATATATATAAAGAATAAAAAGAGGGACAGGACAGACAAGAATTTTTCACTAGGACAACTATTGTAAACAGTTGAAGGAAATGAAGTGCATTTTCAGGTAAATGAGCGTTGATCTTCTCTAAGTAAAATTTATTATTAAATTCGGATTATGAAAAGTCGCGCGGCTCAACAAGATCTGGTCACGTGTGGCTCAAATCCTTCTCAGCGAGTAACGTAATCTTTAGTCCACTTTCTTTCTCATTTCTCTTTTAAATTGATACATCCAGATCGGGTTCTTAATTTTAAATTATAAATTATTTTAAATTGAAAATAATCGGACCAGTTCCAGGCGTAAATTCAATTGTATCAGTAGTTAAATTAATTTAATTATTATTTAAAAAGGTGAAAAAAATTAAAAGTTATTACTGACCTGCCTAATTTTCTCAGTGGAAGTAAATTCAACGCTCATTTCCAATGAATTTGAGATTTAACACAAGAAAACCTAATTTATTTATAACAATTTAGGGTTTTTTGTTTAATAGGTGCTTCCATGTCAATTTAATTATTGTTTATGTGATTTATTTTTACTTTCATATTTGTTCATTTTACTATTTTTTTTGTCTATTTCGACCTACCTGCCGTTCCTCTGTTGCAATTATCGTTGGCGTACTGTCTTCTGCACATATCCAACCTGCAAGCAAATCAAGTGTCCCACTCGATAAGACCACCTGCTTCAACCAACAGCACTTGCACTCAATTATGAGAGAGTTAATGATATAATAATAATGATGAGTCTCGTTTTTACAACGTAATCGGCTAATGATTAGTCGCAAGCCCAGCCAGCAACCGCACGGACAATTAAAAATTTGCCAAAATCAAGAAGAATAGAGGAGCATGCAAAAAATTAACACACAAAAATATCATAAAAAAAATTAGAAGGAGAATTGAGCCTCGAGGCGTGTTGGCTGCGGTCGACATACCAGCGGTTCCTTTGGTGCAGCGGCCACCTTTCCTGCGCCGGCACATGTCATACCTGTGGCCAGGAGCACGGTCAAACAAGAAATTTTGCACACGCGAAAAAGGGAAATTTAGAGAAAGAGAGGAATCGAAAATCGAAAGTTTGTATTGAGAAAACGTAAACGCTTCAATTAAAAATTAAATAAAATTAAAACCAGAAGTTCTTTGATTTTACATTAAATGAAGAAAGAAAGAAAAAGAGAAGATTTTTATATTTTAGAGCTATATAAACAAAAGGAAGAAAATGCAAGAGGAAATTTGGGAAAAAGTATAGACAGTTTTCAAGATTCAAGAAAATCTACCGCTGCAAAAGAACTGATGAATCAAATTAATATCCGACCTGCAATAATAGGAGCTGCACGTAAAAATGCTTAAGAGAAGTAAACTTAATTAAAAACCAACGTTTCAAAAATGAATCATTTTCGATAAAGTTAATTCTTTTTAAAGAAAATTGTTTTATAAGTATATTTTTTTCTCTTTCATTTTTCTTTTAGACCTGATATAATTATGTAAAGAATAAAAAACAATTATTCTTATAATATTAAAAATTAATTTTCTCTCTAGCATAATCCCTGCTGCATGAAAAATAAGGATTAGGTCTTACTTTGTGATGGCAACTGCAATGTCATAAACAGGAAGTCTTCTCTCCCTGAAGAGGTATTTGCCCATGTCAGTGAGTGCTGCCGCCGAGTCAATGGCGTCCCTACCCACTCTGTTCCTCTCCAAATACGGAGTGGCATCTCTTCCCTAATTTAATATTTAAATAATCAAAACAAAATCATTGAAATATTTTAAGCTTACTCGAGAAATAATGATTCCAGCGATGCTGATGCGAACTTTGGGTCCTTTCAAAAGTTTGTACCGCAGGTCGACTCCGTTCCAAAATGAGACAAAATACCTCTTGACCTGAACATTGTCACCTCCATGTAGTCTAGATATGGAATAATTTATAATTTAGTTATTTTCTTATCTCAAATCTGTAATATAAGAATTTGTTGAATAGTTGAAAAAGGATGGGTGCGTCTCACGTAACATTTTGTTTTGGGTCAGGACAACGTCCTAAAAGTGATATAATCTTTTTACGCGCTATTTTATCGTAAGCACACGACTTGCCGGAGTGACGTTTGTGGCGAGAAGGTAACAAAAAAGCAAAATAAATTAGCGCATGGGTGCGAAGGTGAAGTGCGCAACTCAGGGAAATCCATTACTAATTCAAATAATAAAATTCAGCAAATAAAATGTGAGCGCGTCACGGCTTTTAACTTTTAAGCGTCAGAAGTGCGTCGAGTATAAAGGGCGCATTTTCCAAAGTCGTGACTTTTCGAGGAAAAGTTTTGTTAACAACTTTTGAAATGAGCTCACCTGTAACCGTCGTAATCCACAATAACAAGGATTTCAGGGTAGATGACGTAAGGGGCCTCTCTTTTATCCCTCCTGTTGCTCAAGTCCCTCCTGAACCGCTTAGACAAATGGTCAGGCTCCATAAAAGCTGCAAATTAACACTTTTTAGTGCGCATTTTCAACTATATTATGAAAACAATTTTTGCGAATTAAAAATCTTTCCATTAGACTTGAATTGTTAAAATGAACAACAATAAAAAATACCATAATCGCCCATAGGATCGGCTTCAGCAGGCGACCTCCTGATGACGACGTGCATGCCCATGGTGGCCGCACTCCTCTTAGTCCGTTTGCTCTTTTTCTTGTCAATAAATGTGGCCTTCTTGGTGGGTTTCTTCGTCGGCTTTCTCTCTGGCAGAGGGAAGCCGGCCTTCATCACCTCCTCATCCTCTTGTTCCTCGTCCAGGAACATTTCGTCGTCGCTGCCCTCGTACTCTTCGTCACCCTCGTCCTCTTCGGCGGGCACCAAATGGCGCACCGACGACGGGACAGGACGCACCACTAAATCCTTGCCAATCGTTCCTTCCTATTGTAAAAAAGAATAATTGAAAATTTTGATATTTTTTACGTATGAAGGAAAAATTGAAGACATTTTGTACATTAAATTTTTTATTAGTAAAATTTTAGAAGTGAAAAATGAGCACGATTAAAAAAAATGAATTTTTTACTTTATCCAGCATAAATTGTTGATCTCTATAGTATTTATTGATTATTTTTTAGTTTAAAATCGAAATTTTTAGACTTCATTCCCATTATTTTACAGCTTTGACAAAAAGAAAGACACAAGATTTTACAAGATTTTATAAACCCAAAAAATTCATTATTATTAGTTTTCCTCAACTCTTGGTGTACAATCTGTCAATTTGAAATCATCTTTAAGATCTTTTAATTTGGACACTGATTGCTCAGGGATATTTTGAATAACTTTTTGCACCTAAATAAATTCTAACATCAAATCGCTCTTATTCATTTACCAGCATTTTATGTTGGGTTTATCAATTCATAACGTAAAACTTTAGCAACAATTGTTACGGTTCAAAGAAAGCAGGTAACTGCGCTGTAAAATCTTAAAATGCTTAGCGGAGCATCATAAATTTTATTAAGTTGGATTATTTAAAATTAAAAGAAATACGGTTATTGAAAAAAAAATCATTATTTGTAATATCGTGAGCAATTACATAAAATAATATTTACATATAAAAAGTTATAACTCATAAAACTTTTTAAAATAAAAATATAAGTCAATTTGAATAACTTAAAACTTGTTAAGAAATTATATAAAATTATTTTAACAAAAAACTTACAACAAGCAGAGTACCATCTTCAGGGTCCGTGTGGACAAGAAGGGCGGCGCCGCTGGCCTCGTCCTGGTACGTGTGTCCGATGTCGGCGCCGTGCTCCGCCTGCGGAATCTCGGCCAACTGTTCGCCGTCCTGCGCAAACATGCGCAGCGCCGACGGCCCCGCGGCGCCGGCCAGCCCTGTGGTGCGTCGCAGCGCCAACTGCAGCGGCCGTCCGAAGGCCTCGAGGTGGGCCACCAGGTGCGGTCCGTCCTCGGAGGCGCTTCGCTTGCTCAGGGCTCGCACTGACACCACCTGGTACTCGGGCACTGCCACAAGATAAAAAGACGCAGAGGTCAGAGGAAGCTCATTTGCATAATACAAGTGTATAATTAATTGTTTGTTTCTTTTTCTTGCTAAGACGTTGTTTTCCGCTTTTTCAGACTAAATGTATGTAAAGTGCAACGGAACTAACTATAAGAAGTTCGCGTGCCGTTTTCACGCGCAGTCACTCACCTTCATCGTGAGAATCCACGTGGAATAATGAGCGCAAGTCTTGTGGGCTCATGTGTGTGTGGAGATCAAAGTTGGTGCCCGTCTGAAACAGAATATGTAACTTTTATTTAATGCAGAAGAAAATGAATAAATATGGAAAGTGGAAAAAGATTAATGAAAATTTAACCGAATATTAAATATGAAACAGAAACAGAATATTTTGTAGAGGAATTTCACAATCAAGGTGTTTGAATTAAAATTTGGCTTTTCCTCGGTGCTTTTTTGTTGATTTTCAACAAAACAGTAACAGACTAAAAGAATAACGTGAGGAAGAGCCAAGTATAAATCCAAACACCAAACACTGCACGCTTTGTGTATATTTTTTTTTATTTTTTAATATAAAATTTTTTAAAACAACAATAAATTCATGGCAATATATTTTCAATAAATATTGTGATTAAATTTATATAGTTTAATTATCTTTAGTAATATTTTTTTTTAAATAGAAAAGTTTAATTCATATATTTATTTGATTTTGAGTATTTTCTAATCTTATTTTAAAAAGATTCATATTTAAAGTTATTATAAAAAATTATCATCCCTCTACAGAACTTAAACTTTCATTTGGTATCTCTACATATTGTATATTGCCTTGATGGCTTAGCTGTAATTAATATCTCACTTAATTATAAACAATAAACATCTACAAATTCATCCTAGGAATCAGAGAAACACCGCACTAATAGTAAATGCAGGTCATTTTTGATGTGCCACAAGATAGCAATTTTTTTGTATAAGTGATCAATCAAGCGCGGCCGCAAGTAATGTATCAATGCGCAAGTCATTAGAGCAGTCACGAACCAAGTACAATTATTTAAGCAAAGTAGATTGCAAAAACGTAATTGCGAGATAAATGAACGCGCGCGCGGCGGTGGCCAGCAATAAGGAAGCCGGGCGATCTGCCTGGGGTCACCGGTCGATTTTCGTAATCTCTGTTCGCTCAAATATAATATGGATCGAACGTGCGCGCAATTTGAAAAGGGGTCCGCCCGCCGCCTGTCTATCAATACTCTAATTATTTCTGGCTCTCGTGCACGTTGAGAAAGAAAGAGCGCATAACGCCTTTAATTTTTTTCCTCAACTCCCCGTGTGGTCACCTATCAATATCACAATTTATCTTTCAGCACGCAGCTTTCAATGGCGTGTTGAAAATTATTTGTAGTCGAAAAAGCGGCAGTCCACACTTATCTATCGATTTGCCTTGCCAATCTCGTTTTGCAAGAGTAAAAGGCCACAACGTGTGGCATCACTTTAGCTCAGTTTGGAAATATTTTACTTGGAAAAAGATGTGTTACGAGAAAATATAAATTTAATATTTAGGTTTGCTGTAAAATTATTTGTTTGCCTACATATTTTCTCATAAATTAAGTAAAAAATCCAACTTTTATTAAATTCCTTGACCTTCATTTTTGCATTACTTGATTTTATAGAAAGCCCCGGTCTAACTTCCGGGAATATCTTGTTATTAACAACTTAATTAAAAAGTCCTCCCATGTTTTTTTTCCTCTCTTGTTTATTCATAATTTTCAATCCTTGGAGTTGATGGGCTGTGATTTTACTTTTTATTGCAACGACCGCCGGTGGCATTGTGCGGCTGTCGAGGTAAAAATGACAATTGCAAATAATTTCCTCTTGGTGCAGTTGAATCGCTTGACCTCTTGGGAACTATATGCGTATAATTATGGAGTACATTTTTTTTATCTTCGCGCTGCATCGGGTGCGAGAACAATAAAATCGGGTCTCTTTACTCTCTTCCTCACTCGACTCGCATCAATATTGTACACATGCGTAAGATTCTGACACGTCAATGACGATGGAGAGAGAAGACGCCTCTGCTGTGTCACTTTGCGATCCAACATAATTCACACCGTGTTTAATGCTCGTTGCCACGGTGGGCTTTATGCGTTTATATTTTTGCCACGCTCACACGCTTTTTCTTTTTTTCCTCAGTAAAAATGAAATTTTAATTGAACCACACGCGCAACGGTATGTCTCCCTTTTTGCAAAAAAAGTAAAAGTGTCGCCCAAATTAAGCGAAACCTGCAGCAAAAAAATTATGTGTGTCAAATTGGACATAAAACTTCCATATTATTAAAATTTATAATTTGTCAAAGTTCATTAAATAATCTCTGTTTTGGACGATTATCAAATCTTGGAGCAGGGCTATTTTTTCTCTAAATTTGATTTTCAAGTCCATGAATTTTTCCATACAATGTGCTAATGTAATTTATTGTTTTTTTTTTTACAGATAAGCTTTTTATAATATTTGTGCTTTTGTCTTCTCTCAAATTACTTAATTAATTTTTACCGATTATAATTTTTTTGCATTTCCATAATTTATCTCAATTGGAGCAGAGATTTCCTTCAAAACATAATAAGTAAATTATAAAATTCATTTTAAATTTTAACTGTCACTTTTATTGATTTATTTAATTTAAAAAAAATTGTCCCTAAATTTTAATTTGATTAGATTATTCATGAAATCCTCTGAAAAATTATTCGTATTTTCAACTACACGAGATTTCCTAAATTACATCACTCCACTAATTTTCATACTTACTGACCCAATATAAGTTTCCATTTGAAATTAATAGGCGCGTATCATTAAAAAACGGGGTTACCGAGGCCAAGCGAAACAATTAAAGCATTAAAGAAAGCGCAAGCTGAATTTATTTATTTTTCTTCGGTTTCTTACGGGTGAGTAGACGAACCTCATTTGTTAGGTAATTGCCAGCGGAATTTGCATAATCAGGCGTGAAGCGTGAACTCCATAGAGAGTACACAAATGCAGCACAAAACATTGCACCTAGAATGAATGGACGCGATTTGCATAAATTTAAATATAAGTACATGTGAGAAAAAGAAGAGGAGCCTTTGAAAAATAAAAATCATCTGACCTTTTCGAGCCAGGCAATCGCCGGTCGCGATCGGAATTCATTTCATCATTGTGAATTAATGTAATTTTCGCTGATTTGCATTTGGTCGGTTGCATGTAATATTGTGGATAGTTCGCATTACCACTGCCATATCAAGTTTTCTTTCTTTCTCGCGTGCTTTCTCTGCTAAGGGAATTTTTAATGAGCTGCTCACACAGGACATTACGAGCCGGCTCGTAAGTGGTCTGGCTGCAGCCGAGAGTAACAAGAAGTGCTTATTGTACATAGAAAGCGCTCGCCGGAGAGATGATCTCGTTTGCAGTTCCTTGTTACATCACGGCAAATCACGAGTGGAAAGTACACAGATTCGGACTCTTCACTTCGCGGCCTTGCGGCTCATCTCCTTTCTTCCTCAAAATATAACAAACACATTTATGCAGTTTATGCAAATCGACAGCCTTGGGACTTTTTCACCGGCACAAATTTCCGATTCTCTGAAATCAACACAAATGAAGCAAGGGAGAGTTTTGCTCTTTATTGTGACGCTCGAGTGGTCGCAAGTGAAGCAAATGGGCAAGGTCACAAACAACAAGTGCGCAAAGGACCTCGCCAGTGAGAGAGAAAGTGACCGGCGAACGCACACACACGCTCGTCTCGGTGCCGCTGCTGCATTCGCTCATATTTCAATACGACAAGCCTACGCGATTTGTCTTTGATTTTCTCGCAGGTGAAATAAGGAGAGGTCTGATGAGGCGGATCTTCCCCTTTGCTTTTGAACGCTGGTGAACGGCTCTCGAGTGTTGGGTTGCAAACAGTGATAAAAACGCGAGACCAAGTTTATTGTTCAGATTTCCTGCTTAAAATCTCCAGAGCTCTTCAAACCCTTGAGAGTAGATTTGCTAATTTAATAATACGTCTAAAATTAGCAAAATTTGTGGCATGAAAATAAAAATAAATTATCTCTGGATATTTAATAAATTTACTAATAATTTTACGACAACTGAACTATAACTGTTATAATGTTTATAAACTATTATTTATTTTATTATTGACTGAATAACAATATAATTGCATTGTCACCGCAGCATAAATTTTATGCTTACAAAACTACTTTTGTTGCATTTTAAATGACCTTTAAACCTGAAAATGTTTCCAAGACTCGTTTACAGAATTTAAATTTGCATATAAAAAAAAAACTGGGAAGACAAATCTCTTGAGATGTTTATCCTCAAGACTAAAGCGCATATCTTTTTCAAGAAAAACTGCACAAAAATATCTGATTTAAATATCGTTGACTCAAAAAGCACCGGCCGTTTTCTTAATTTTTTTTCTTCTCATGTGTCCAGTTGGTGAGCGCAAATTTATTTATGTTTTTGCGCTGGTAGGGAAATAAACGCCGAGTTTATGCAAAAGTAAGTTGGAACAGGACGCCGCGTACCAAAATGTTGAGCAAAGCATATCCTCCTCTTTGCACTGCTGGACCCAAGGCCAGGCGCTTAACGAACAATAACAGGCCAGAGAAGCGGATGTTCCAAGTCGAATAATGAAAACGTTTGACGTGCAAAATTACAATTTGTTGCCGTTCGCAAATCGCGTTCCTCTAATTGGGTTCATTTCAGTTGTGAGAGCAGGTCATTGCTTCACAGTTGTAATTTTTAGTAAAAGTAGTGCATGGAATTATATTTACTTTTCTTTTTAATTTTGCACTTTTAAAATTCAAAATTGAAAAATAAATCAAAATATTAATCTCTATAAAGCATCAATGAATCCTAGAAAATAAAACAATTAAAAGTAATAATAAACTTATTCATGATGCATGACCGACATAAAACTGTGCCATAAGGACCGAAATTTACATTTCAACCACATTAATCATAGCTTCCATTTCTTTTCCAATAACAATAAAATCCCGTCTGAATAAATAAAGCTGCGGTGGAAAATAATCTATTCTATTGTGAATAGAAATTCCTTATCTCTCCGCGCTTCAAAAACACAAGCAGCACAAAAGATCTCGTGAAATTTCTCCACCGCAAGAGAAATATATATACAATTTAACTAATTCAGAATTTCACGCAACAGCTGTAAAATTAATGCGAGCTCTTACTTTGTTATATTATTTTTTTTCCATTCGAAAACAAAAGGCCGAAAAAATGGCCATTCATTGCTGACATTTATTCAAATGTGCGTCATTGTGCAGCGACCTAACGACCTGCGAGTTGTTGACCAACCGTCAAATCGTCGAGACCACTGGCCATAAACGGCACAATGGTGCTCTGGTTTAAATAGCAATGGCCACTGGCAAGGCCAAATTGGCATCGGTGGGCGCGGCGGCTGCTGCTTTTTTCTGCCTGGGCAGACGACCGGCCCAAGGTTGCGTCATTTTCACCAAAGCAATCGAATTTCGCCTATGGACACTTCCTAGTTGGTGCCACCATTATGGAGTAAAAAAAAAATAAATATAAAGCAGGCCGCGATCGCAATCGAAATACTCAACCGACGATTAATCTCTCGTCGATATACTCACGCGCATTTATTTTTATTGTTGCTTTGTTCTCGAGAGTTGCACCACCGCAGCGGACGTTACGATTTGCTGGCTCAGGTGAAAAATGGAACGCGTCCAATTATTGTTTACTTTATATTCGAGACCAATACTGCACCGACAGACAGATGTATGGAAATTGATAAACAATTGGAATTGATGAGGAAGCGAATCTTATTTATGTTGAAAGAATTGAAGGTGGGTCACCGTAATTCATGTTTGAGCACCATTTAACCAAGTTTATGACGCTCTTAATTAGCAAATCTCTTTTAATTAATATGACTCATTTAAAAAAGCTCAGTGCCCTGAGGGAAAACAAAATTAATTTTTATAGCTCTCAAATCCTGTGTTTGGAATTTAAGGGAAAAACATTTACCAAGCCCGGTGGCTCAGTGGTTAGAATGCTTGCATTCTAATCAGTGAGTTCCTCGGCCGTCATGGGATCAATGCTCAGCCTGGGGCTGTTTGTGGAAACAAATAGCCTCTGGTATGCGAATCATTGATAACATTTCGGCTGACACGTCGGGAATTTGGGAGGTATGGCGCAAGCTGTACCGACTCGCACTCGGAGGTTTGCCACGTTTCCTCCGAGCCACAAGCTGGAAGAACTCAGCTTGTGTGGCGAATGCCTGCGTTTCATTCCAAGTCCTTCGTGGCAAGGCCGGGTCAAGGGGTAAGGTCTCAAGGGGGGTGGGGGGCCCATGCGAGCACCACCAAATCTGCTAGAAAGCCCCCGAACAAGGGTCAGGTTGGTTGGGAAGCACAATTGTGCCAAGGGTGCTCGACTACGGCAAGAGACCGACCCAATAGCCTAATAAGCTCACGGGTGCCATAAGCAAAAAAAAAAAAAAAAAAAAAAAAAAAAAAAAAAAAAAAAAAAAAAAAAAAAAAAAAAAAAAAAACATTAGCGAAATAATAAGAATCATTTTGGTTAATTTTCGTTAATTAAGATAACCAATCAGAATGCACACAATGTATTGCATTTTAATGCAATAATATCAATTGCAAGATCTATCACGAAAATATTAAAAAAGATGTTATAATTTTAATGTTCAATAACACAGTAAATAAATATGAATATGAATAAATAAATAAAATATAATATTAATAAAAAAAAATACAAAAACAACAAATTTTTATAAACTTTTTACAATAAAATTATAATGTAAGTTAAAATAATTATTACTTATTAATTTTAAAACTTTTTTATAATTTCAATTAAAAGCCAAAATAATTGTAACAACTCAAAAGACGCGAAAACAAGTGCTTTTCTATTTACTCCAGCTAGCTTTTGCTTGGTCTCAATAAGTATAGCAAAACTTTTCAACGCATGATATTTTCCAAGGCTATACGAACATGATAGAGACGTATCGCTAATTCCGTCGACTGGTTGTAATCTCTTGTAGATCTCATTTTGTTCTTTATCGGCAACACCTCTACTGTAGTGAAACAACAATGCAAAAGCAACTGCAGGATTTTCATCATCGTGCACACACAGGTACATATGTACACTTTGAAAGTGAGCCATTTTTTGACCTAGACATGAATCGAGCGATTATATCTGATTTCGTCCGCGAGTGGGTGGATTCGAATGCGCCACAAGTCACACTGACGATTTTTTTTTGGTAAAAGTTTGACGCAATTTGCTCGATTTGACATGCTGCCAATCACACGGTTCCTTTCAAAATTTCTAATAATCACTTATAAGTGACTTTTCGGATCAAAATTAATTATAATTTTGATCCGAAAATCTAATTTATGAATAATAAAAAGCTAGTTTACGAATAAATTTGACCTTGCAAAAACATATATACGCAGGGTTAAATTCTTGAAGAATTTATCTGAGCTTGACGGAAAGTTAGACACACCTTAACCTATCAAAGTTTGCTCTAGTTATTCGCAAAGTAAGGTCAAGTGGAAAATGGCCACATTCGACTGCAGTTTGTTTACAGGAGGTCAAGTGTGGATTGAATTACCCTTCGAATTGAATAAATCTTTGTTGCTCGGCAAATTTATTTTGTATGTTCTCGCTGATCTTTGACTCCCAAAGTCAGGTTGCGTGTGGGTGAACAGCAAGAGCAATTAGAACGTCACGTCAAGTTTTAAAAAAAAATACACTCCAAATAAATACCACACTGGGCATGCAACTGTACATTAAATTTTTTAATTTTCAGTTTGGACTTTCGAACTGCATCTTGCAACTCGCAATCATCTGGTTGATTACAGAGCAATTTTGGCACGGCAATATAATTTCCGCGTCAAACTCTGAGGAAAAAAAGGGATTTTGATAATGAGAGGCCAAGAGTGCGGTCAGGGCGCTGCGATATTGTAATGCGCGGAGGAAGGCGATTTGGAGAAATCTGACGGAGCGAGTTTGCTGCTCATTCGCTTGGCTGCGGCTTGAAAGGTTCGTAAACAAGGCTGGTCACCCACCTGAGCGAGTGAGCGTGCTAGTGAGTGAGTTTGCGAGCGAACGTGGAGAAAGTAAGAAGTGCAACGAGAGTGAGAGTGGCGGGCGGGCGGGCGGACACCCGAGCACACCACGCCCTGGCCGAAAAGCATCACTGACCTGGACACCGTTGGCACTGTAGAACGGGGTGGACAGGTAGAGCAGCAGCAGCGACGTCAGTCGCCAACCTGCCGCCATTGTGACCCTCGAGTCTGCAAAAAAAATGCAAATAAAACGTTAATTATTTTATAAATATAAACCAAATTTAGAGTAAATAGTAAAATTGTTTAAATTAACATTTAACCATTCCAATTTTGTAATTTCCAGTTAAAGTAATTGGTTTAATTGCGATATTCAATTAAAACTAATTTTAGTAATGTTCATTTTCCGCAGTAATTATAATTAATGGCAAAGCATTAGGTTTGTGTTGAAATTAACTCCTTACTTATTACTTTCATGAATTCCTAAAAAAAAAATTAAAAAGATTGTTTCTTTTTCATCCTATTAAAATTTGAATATAAAATTTTATTTGGCTACAGATGAGATTTTTCAGCCAAATTCTCTCAAGGTGAATTCTCTCTTGCCCTTTTTGGCAGAATCAATTCAGAAAGTTAAACTCTGCATCTCATCGTGGCATTAAATATTCATTTAACCTTTCTTCATTCGTCACCAAACAAAGGTAAAATGTCACCCGCTGCGGCTTTTAGAGTGTCTCTCTCTCTGTCTATCGTAATAAACATCATCGTCTGAACGCGAACAATTTGGTGCTGTAATTTTCGATTAAGAAACACGTCTTCTTCTTTTAGCGTCTGTCTTTCTCTACGTTAGTTGCCGTTACTTTCAAACCCATCTGTCAGCCGCGTATACGTAAATCCATCGCAGACGCGGTGGCATTTACTCTCTCACGAGGCGCGCTGCAGAGAGAGGAATTGACCCATCTCTGCGAAAGCATGACGCAATTACATACACACACTTTTATTGCAGCCGACAGAGATTCTCAAAAGTCATGCATGAGTTTCGACCGTTCGACGAAACGCAATAAATAAATAAATAATATTATATCCGAGCATGAACACTGGTCTGGCGCGACAGGGCAGCTCAACCTGAGAGCGAACGAAGGTGAAATTAAGCGAGCAGTGCAGTATGGAGGAGCTTTGACCCAGTGGCCTAGATCAGCTGCGAGAGACCGCAAGTGATGCGGTGTGTACTTAAGTTGAAGTGCAGGCCAGTTTCAAACTCATCTCGTTTTAAGTAAAGCAAATAAAAATAAATTTCAGATAAATTTATTCAAAAACAACAGATTAATGTGTTTTATAAGCTTATCAATAGTTTTTATTAATATGTAATATAGAATTTAGTAACAATCATTTGTGTAGATTTTGCATAACGTTTTTCAAGTTGTAAATTATATAACAATTAATGGTTGATTTAAGGATTTATTGAGTTATTATCATAACTTTTGATAAATAAAAAATGGGTTGGAAGGGACTTCAAATATGAGGACGCCCAGATTAAAAGCAAAAAAATTATTAATAATCTCATTAAAAATGTATAAAATATTCAAAAATGCAATAATAAAGAAACATACTAAAATCTCGTTAATATTAGCTACAATAAATTTCAATAATAAATTATATTCGTTTTTTTTTTAAGTTTACTTTTTAATGCCAATAGAAAATTAATTGAGATGAATCAATCATACTTTTTTAATATTGTTACATTTTTTCCAGACAATGATTAGTTGCTAATATTTTTATTACATTTAAAGTAATTAAAAAATATATATTAAGTACCTCTAATTACAAAAAAAATGCCTCTTAACGAAAATTACAAAATTACACGCGTACGGCACAGTATCGAAACCGACGATCAGTGCGGAGAAACAAAACAAACCTTCTGGGCGGAATCGTGAAATTCTTGTCTTTCAAAGAATCGGCTAGCGCAGAGCTAGCACGCTTCCTAATACAAATCACGGCGAGACTATAAATGCAACTATTGCAAAACGTTTCGTGAAACTTGCTAATTTGGCAGAAAATGTAAAAATAATCAGCGAAATGCGCGCTTGACAAAAATGAGCATTGCGAAATCAGCAGATAATCAATAATAATATTCCGGTAGCGACCTTGTCCGCCACAGAGTCGTTTCCCGCGGCTCAAACCACCGAAAAAATATTTATGATTACCTATTGTCCCTGAATTTTACGCGCACCTATGATCACAAATCACACAAACAAGCTTCCAATGGAACGGAAAAAACATTCGTTTTGAGCTTTTGTGGGAACATTTTTGAAATTTTAATTTCAAATCTTTTGGCTACTGAGGTCTTTTCTTACGCATCGTTGCACGTTTTGAAATTACAAATTTTCTTCCTGCTCCGTTCTGATAAGGAGCCAAGTAGGAAGGATTTTGTTTTCGGCATTCACAAGTGTGTACTCAAAACGATTTGTAATGAGCAATAAATGGCTGGGCTGAAATTCATGCCGTATATTATAATTTGCGGCTAGATATGCGTGCCGATGCGTCCGCAGGCTTCCTCATTGTTTGCAAAATCGTGGACCGAGGATGCGTGTCAAAGAGATTAAGCTGCTGCACGCCAATTAAACACGATTTTCCATATAGAGCCGAGAAAGAAAATTCAGATTAATAATTTTATCTCTCTTCATCGACCTTGCGAATCGTTAATTCTTTATAATTATGAATAATCGTCGCGAGCAAGAATTATTTTTTTCTTTTGCTATTAATGAAATCGGTTTTTCTCTCGTCGCATATTTTATTATTACAAAGTCTCGTCGATCAGCAGCCTTGCACTTTTCTGGTAACTCTCTCGGCATGTTCACGCGAACGGCCTTCGTCGCTCCACATTCCCTTTTTTTCGCCGCCGCAAACAGCAGCAGCCGCACATCTAGTCTAATTTGATCACCGGCACTCGACCTTTAGTAATAATTCTTAAACCGGCGGAGGAAAATGCAACCAAAAAATAATATAAAATATCTTTGAGCAACTTCTTTTCTCAAAATATTTGAGCAAAAAATTATTATAATACACGCGTACGTATGCAGCCCTGGCGAGCTCAGCCTTGTTTTTTTGCTCAATATTCGAATGTAAATGGCTTTTCGCAGCGTGAGTAACGATCAGCCAGGAAACACCATAAAGAAACCAGCGGCTTTTAATCTTGAATAGAGACTCTAATTTAATGTTTCATAAATCAGCTTTTTGAAGAATTATTGGTAAAAATAACCAGGGATAAAGAAAAAGGTCCCTAGGAGATTTCAACGAGTGGGTTTGGCGGAGCAAAAAGAAAAATAAAATAAAAAAAATTGAAATTTCGCATGCGAACGAAAGTGAAAAGAGAAAAATTCTAATGAATAAATAAAAGTTGGCAAATGCGCGGCGCGCGCGATTATTAGAAATGGAAACTTTCAGGTCTGATTCGCGCGTGAATTATCAAATCAATTAAGGCGCTCTGCTGGACACAAATGGAGTAGCTCGAGAATAATTTCTCTCGGCTGCCTAGTTTGAAAGAGAACGACTCTCGATTACATCAATCGGCGCGAGTGAGAGTAATTGCGTGTGAGCTCGCAGCGCACGTGCGTCGGTCGCACCCAAATCAAAACTGACAAACAACAAACAATTAAATAATAATTTCCTTCTTGAGAGACGATGAAAGGAAATAAAAATAAACTATTAATACAAAAAAAAAATTATAATTATTAAAGAAGTGTTGAATTATATATGCAAGTTTACTCACTCAGCTTTCAATCCAGTGAGGTAGGAATATTGTAAATCCCGAGCTGTGCGTAAAACGAAAGACCGCGAGCGGCAACCAACACACTCAGGTACAGGTGGTGTGCAACCTACCAACACTAAAGGTCCTCAGACGGTGGACTAGGCTTTAATTCAGACCCCCACTCCGGCGACCGCCTCCCTCTACGTGTGCTGGACCAGTTCCTCCTCCACCTGCGCGCACTCTGCACGTGCAGGAGGCCCTCGGCCGCCCCCGGAGGCCGCTCGTTCATTCGTTCGTTCGCACTTTTATTTATTTTAATTCTCTTTTTCTTTTCATTAAGAGTTGCCAAGAGGTCTTTGGAAGCGATTCAAGTTCAGATGCTTATCGCGTCCGCCCGCTCGCCCGCCCTCCGCAGGGTCGCTGCCGGCGGATCTGCTTTAATTTTCAATTCACCTTCCTTTGCTTTTCGACACCTCGAGAACACACCAAAGGGGCCGCTCCGAGGCAGACGGAACGAATAAAGAATTAAGCTGTGTCGCAATTTGACACCAAAGCGTCACGTTTGCCGAGCATAATAATTTGCATATCAGCCGCGAGACGCGTTGGCCAACAATTAATTATTGAGAGAAGCGGTGCTGCTGCTGCTGCTTCGGGCGGCTCGGCCCATTGTTCACCAAAGCAGCAGCATCAGCCGCGCGGAATTTCAATAGGCAGGAATCTGTGACCTGACTTTTGGTTTTTGTGGAAACTTGTTGATAATGAGAAAACAATTGAGTTGTGGTGTAGAATTGTAATTAAATGTTACTAATTTCCGTTAAAAACGTTCATTGTTACTATTGTTGGCATCGTTTCAATTTTCATTTTTATGTCAACTTTTTGGCATTTTCTAATACAAAGTATAGAAATGGGGCTGTCTGCAGCCATATTTCGTGAGCAGCGAAATTATTTTGTGAAGAAATGGTACCTCAATGAAATAAATTTATAAAAGTATTTTTTCTTCCTCATTTTTAAATTTAAATTTTTACTACGCAGTTTTCAGCAAATTTGGACAATTTTTATTTAATTATTTGTACCAAAATTAAAGTTCTTTCATAATTGTCAAAATTTTACGGAAAAAATTACTTATTTATAGTGGAAAATTATAATTTGAAAATAATTTTTTACTCTATTCATATTAATAACAAATGTTTATAATAATTGATTTATTTACTTTTTATTTTCATATATTTAACAATTATAATGATTCTCGGGGTGGTTATGGTTGCAACTGCCGAAATAGACGAGACAGGTATTTCTTTTCCTTTTAAATAATTATCCCTTGCAAATAAAACCTTGAAAACGTAACCGCTAATTTAACGCAAACTTGTTGAAACTCTGTGTGTCTTTCGCACAATCCTGGTCGACCCCAAATTCACGCGACCGAGAGATGAGGCAACCGCAGAAAATAATCGGCTTACGCCTCCGTGAGTAAATTATCAATAAATAA